ACCGACATGTACCTATCATGATAGACATTTTAATGTCTATGGTTTATAACATAAATTTATAAAGGTTATCATATCTATTAAAAAATGAATCAAAAAATAAAAGTCAGTCAAAATAAATATTTAAAAAGTAACTTGTACATTTTTGATGAGTAACTAGTTCCTTAACGAGATTCTTTTTTATTTAGGAACTTGTTACTTTTCTAAGTTAAGGAAAGTTACAATAATTTACTCAGCTACCAAAGTTGAATAAATTGCTCGGCTTTTTAATACTTTTATTTGTATCGTACCCTATTAAGGCCGTAATAGAAAACAAATGGGAGTAATTTTTTGATACCTACCTAACTAATTTGACGCCATCAGATTTCCTTAAAATAATATTTAAATAAACTGCCTATGTAGTATAATAAAGCATGGCGTTTTTTTTTTTTTTATAAAAATTGTATGTATAATTTATGTTCACAATATGTTAAAAACTATTTAATGGCATAAAATAATTTAGCAGTTGATTGTTTAACAAACGATATAAAACTATAAAACATCTGTAATAATATTACACAATACCTATTTCGAATTTAAATTTTAAAAAAAAGCTGATATAGCTGCAATGAGTTTATCATCATTGTTGTAGGCAGGAATTTGGGATGGTAGGATATAATATACAGAGTGATAAATATAACGTAAAACATTTATCAACTCGGAAAGTACCTATTAATTATTTTTTGGAATTTATTTTTTAGAAATTGTAAGAAATAAGCAACTCTAAAATGTTGCATTATCTATTTTTAGTTAATGTCACACTTATTTTTTGAAGTGAAAAAAAACGACTGTTTACTTTTGATTTTAAGTTTGTAATTTGTTGGTAGGGAAGAGAGTAAAACAATTCAACCGACGCGTCGCTATGCTGCCACATAAATGATGCTCTTCCACTACCCACACTTAAATGTACAATACCTTGCGATGGATTGACGAAAATTAAAAATGTTAATACCAAAATGTATTCAAACTAATTAAACTATTCCATCTATTTTTAATGGATATTTTAATATGGGTTACCACAGTGGTTTTCAAAGTGTGCCTGTTGTGCCATGGTGTCTGTACAGGAGCGATATGTCACCATTTCAAATATTTACTAGTTTAAAAATGAATTTAAAGCCCAAATTAGAGCGGAAATAGTGAGGCTGGCGTCATATTTTTGGTTTTTTTTCTTGGAAAATACTTTTTTGGTTAGTAAAAATGCTCCAAATTATTCTCATTGACCTTAAAATAAGAGGCAGATGCCAGTAGTACTTCATTAAAAAAAAAATGATTCTCAAAACTTTTTCTCTATAATTAAAAAAAAACTTAAATTTACCTTGGTTACGGCTATAGTTAGTGGTGTGTATCCAAAAATAAAAATTGGTGTAGCTCAAATCATTTTAGGTGACCTACCCCTCATAATATTGTTATACCTACCAATAAAATGTCGCAAAAATGTATTCATATTATTTATTGTACTGTAAAACGGAGTGACTTTGAACAGATTATGATGTTTTTAGATTCTGAGTGGAACGAAGAAGCTTATGGTTTTACAAAAATGTTTATTATTATTGATATTTTTTTGTGGACAACTTTTCTACCAGAGATTTGCTCTAAATTGTACGTGTAGCACCTTATCTGAAAGGAAATCGGTGTAGAAAGATACCTGAAGGAGGTCATTTTTCGATTTTCTCAAGAGTTTTCCCAGAAAATGTGAAAACCCAAGAAAAACGTGGGAAAATTGTTAAATTAAATAAATAATATTAAAAAATAGTATATAATGCCTATTTAATTGTTTTACCATAATATGACATATATATTATTGACAAAACCTTAATATCAACTAAACTTTGCTCCGAATCGTTGTTCGTTAGCAATAGTTAATCGTCACAAATAGATATACATTAAATTACCTATAACAGTGGCTGAATTCGTCCCCATTATCCTAGGACGACTTTTTTTAAAATTATTCTCAAAGTAATGATTGCAAAATTTAAAAAAAAAAAATAAAAAAAAAAAATGAATTAAGAATCTATAACAAAGATCGTATTCAGATATCTAAATTTTACATTGTCTTGCAGTAGTTATCAGTTGTGTTATTTAAAAATACCTACTCAAATACAACACATCATAAATATAATTATATTTATATTTTTCTATAATAATAATATCGTCTTTCTATAAAAACTTAATTAATTCATTATTGTTCTTCTAGTAATATCCACCCACCCATATTTAAGGTGTTGCTTGAGTAAAACTTGACTTTAATTGGTTACACGACACTAAGCTATATAATTTTGGATTGGGATTTTAAAATTTGTATCAAAATTTAAAATTACAACTATTATAAAAAAACCAATATCTTACGCTCAATATCAGATAAACCTTGTATTAAATTTTTAAATTTTTTTGCTGTGCACAACTAAATGTTATTCACATAAAATATAATAAAAATTAAAAGCCTTGTCAATTTAAAATGGCTCTAAATAAATAAAAAACAATATCCATAATTTTTTGATAATTGTATCACATACAGAATTGACAAATATAAGTATTCCAGGAAAATTGCACATCCCTACGACTCATTTAAACTAAAAAACCACGAAAAAATTATAACCAAAAATAACAGAAAACCATTTTTACGAAGTTTTTTAAATTATTAAAAAAAACTATAAGGAAAATCAGTGAATCTCAACTCATCGAATATTTGCACCCAAAACTACCTCCAAGTTGATGATTGGACAATCTAAAATTAATCAATTAATTAAATCGAGTAGTACTTTTACTTAAATCTACACATACTACCTCAATATTTGTTCTGTGTTATGTAGGTATTATAATGTGTAAACAATAATTTATTAACTTAATTATAAATATAAAATATAATTTATTAGTAATTTATAAAAGCCAATATATCTTTATCCATGTAGTAGGGTTCAATTACCCTATACATAAATATACACGTATTATATATATATATATATATATATATATATACATCAGGAATCGTGAAAATAATTAAATAATTGTAGGAACAGTTTTTTGTTTTTAATATTATATTAGTAAATATCATTATTTCCCAGTGTAGGGAAGGTGGTTTCTCCATTGTCCAATGCATTCTGAACACAGTGCATTGTAGTTGCCCTGCCCTAACCTGTTTTGATTGGTCTATTCTAGTCCTCCAGGTGTGGGTTATGTGGTAAGTTAACAACCTGGTCAATTAAAACAAGTTATGTTCAGTATTCAAACACTTAGACAGAAAACTGAAATTCGGAATTATCATGAGAGTCAGACTAGAAAGTAAGAGCAGCTGATAACTGGGGGACTAAAAGGATAGTGTGCAGTGGGATGAATCTAGTGGCTGATGACTCTCAGAAGAAGATTATCATAATTAAATAATATCATAACAAAAGTATTATAAATTATAAATCAAAAGATAATAAGATAGGTATAACTAATTATAGTTACCCTATGTTTCATAATAGACAGGTATAGTTTAATATAGGTTAAATAGTTAAAGATAATTATTTATATTGTAGGTACTACATTTATATTAAATACTTTATGATTTAGCACGGTTTATGCCAGTCTAGTTTACACAATACAAATACTTAGCCAAATGAGAGTTTGAATGAATTTTTATTTATGTATATTGTACAGGTAGAGGCCAAAAAACAGGTATAATAAAATTTAAAACAATTTGATTTAGGTAAACATACCTATGATCCTAGCAAACAAGTTAAAACCTAGAACACTACATATTTAATCTAAAATAGTAAATAAAAAAAATGTGGCATCTGTTAAATAGGTAGTCATAAGTACTTATAGATTTCAATTTTTTTTTTGTATCTAATCTTAATCCATTGATATATTATTATTATATGATCTGATCTACTAATGTAACAAGTATAATAATAATAGTAATTGTTTAATGTTGGTTTTGAATGGTACAATTATAGACATATTTCTAGATGGACCATTCATCAAAAAAACGTGTTTCGGTGGGTAGAGTTTCATTTCGAGGACAGAAACACGTGAAATAATAAACGTTTTAATTGGCTGTTCTCGGAGTGAAAATATGGTCTATCTCACACTAGGTTTTATACCAGCCTATCTTTCTTGATCCATTTGGACCAACCACGTCTCCCAGTCTTTGGAGTGAATGTTCCGTGTAGACATAAAAGTTTATAACTATACTATACGCAGTCCATACTTCTATGGACATACTTATTTATTTTCAACTAACTTATTTGCGTTTAAAATATTTTCTGTTAAAATATTTTTCAGTATATTATACTTTTGTATTTATTACTTATCTACTTTCTTTCAGAAAAGATGCTACACTTAAAAAACAGAGGAAATCCTCTGGTAAAAAAGTTGTCCACAAAAAAAAAAATAAACTTTTTTGTTAAACCATAAGCTTCTTAGCTCCAGAATCTAAAATATGCTGTAAAATAATATTACCTAACAGTACAATCTGTGAATGACTACAAAAACTACATAAGTCATTTACCAAAATAGTGTCTTATATCAATTTTAAAATGACTGATTCAATGAATATATACATATTGCTTTTATTGTTATAAGTATTAACTAATCGATTACCTACTCCATGTTAGGATTTTTGCTTAGTATAAGCTAGTCTGGGAGATCTGGAAACTCTGAAATCATAGTAGGTACTTATAAAAACTCTGTAAGGGCCTCCTCAGCCTGGTCCATTCAAGAATAGATAATCTGGCTTAATATGATAACAGGAAAAAAATTAAATTAAATATTGTTGTAAAAATAATACTATAATAGTTTTATAATACCTCCCTCCATTTTTAATCTGAATCTAAAAACAATAATAGGCATTTTAAACTATAAGATTATATTTAAGATAAAAATGGTTATTCATGTCTTTATTTTACTCACATAAATATAATACATAATAGATATATACATTCACAATAAAATGTACGTTGCAACATTCTATCATCTAACTAAAAGCTATAATTAAAAAAACATAAGTATACAGTAGTAGTTTATAATAACTATGTAAGTACTAAATACATAAACCTAAAAAATAAATTAAAGTATATATTTTAAATTGAATATAAAATGTATTAAGTTTATACTATTATTATTGTATAATGTATAAAAACTATATTGCTTAAAATATAAAAAAGTAATAAATAAAATGTTCGTAAGGTAAAAATATTTCCATCCAATTCCCTTATAAACATTAAACATAAACTAAGAGATCAATAAATCAATAAATATCCAAAAACCTAAATTTGTTTACACAAAAAAAAAATGAATGTTTATAGCCATGGATACCACGCTGGATCCATACGGCATAAATTGTCTACTGAGGATGCTGCACTGACAATTGTGCTTACCTTATTATCAGAACCATCGAAATTTGCTAAACTACTCAGTCTATGCATAATAGAACTAACTGCTTTTGTAACCATACTGATGATTATATCACCAGAAATTTCATCTTTATCAGTTGATAGTTCATCTTCAAGTTTCTATAAGACATTAAATTTATTAGTAATTTTTATAATAATTAAAAGAAATGTAAATTTAAAAAAATGTTTATTTCAAAATACTTTTTTATAAGATGTGATCATTTCATCTCTGAGTATAGCTCTTAAAATAGCTTGAACTTTATTGTTAGGTTGATTAAAACAACGAGCTGTTGCCATGATGCTTGCAGTAAGAGGCCCATTTTTACCAATATCAGTCATTAATTCAACAAAGTTGGGAGTTAATCTAAAAGGAACTGGACGATTGGAGACAAGTTCACCTAAAATCAATATTTTAATTTAATTTTATATACATTACGCCATTTTGGAAAAAGTCCAAAAGTACAACGTAATTACAATTTATATAGTAGTACCTATGTACATAATATCAGTGGTGTACACAGGGATTAGATTCTAGAGTTTTAAACCCTCCTCCTCCACCCCAAAAAAAATTGTTTGCAGTTAATTTTAGTGTATGTTAAAACAAAAAGATATGTATGCACATGAATCAGCCACTGTTGTAGGTAAGAAGCTTGGGAGATAGTAGAAAGGAAATTTAATGTATTTCTGTACCAACGATTAATGAAAAAACGATTCTCAGCAGAGTTCAGTTGATAGGGTTGTTTTGTCAATAATATATATGTCATATCATAGTAAAATAATTACGTAGGCATTATATATTTTCTTTAATGATGTACCTATTTTCTCGTTTTTTCCAAGTTTTTCCCATTTATTAGACAAATTCTTGGGAAAATCAAAAAATGACCTCCTTAAAGTACCACTCCAGTCAAATTTCCTCTCAAAAAAAGTGCTATTATGGTAAACCAGAGTAAAATTGATGATAGAAAAGTTATCCACAGAATATAAAATATAAAAATAAGAATTTGGAAGAATTATTTTGTTTTAATGCTGGTATTATTTACTAGTTCAGATATAGAGTGGGGTGTGTGGAGTCAAAGCCTCTACGGGTCTATGATAAATTTATAGTGAAAACCCTAACTGAACTAAATTCCTGTGTACACTACTGCATAATAATAGGTAATTAAAAGCAATAAGGTACATAATCGTATCATACAATGAATTAGATTATTACGGCCATAATTATATAATATTAAAATCCACAAAATAAAGGATAACAGAAGATATACCCATTGTAGTATTTCTAGAGATAATAAGGATAATACAATTTAGTTTTATTTATATTTGAATTAAATTTTCATATTTTGGTAAACAAATTTAAAAAATAACTTTATTTTATTATTTTTGAGGAACTTGAATATAGCTGTTTTATGGAGTTAATTCTTCTTAAAATTATGATGTTTCAACTTTTCATTTTCATTAAATTTGTAGATTTATATAATTTTATTTTAATTTCAGAGAAAAAGTGTACAGTCATGTTAGGCATAATAATGATAAATAATTATTCCAATCATCTAAAATTATGCAGCAGGCAGTAAATTATTACATTTGCTAATTGACTATTATTCTAATGGGTAATACATATAAAACATTTTAGTACACATTTTTTCTCTGAAATTTAAAATTAAAACAACAAATGCAATAATTTTTTTTCGCAACTTAAAAGTTTGAACTCACGATCTCTAGGATGACAAGAGATCCTGTACCATTGCTAGACTACAATAGACATACTTTAAAATTGGTAATTTTGAGTTATTTAACAAAACGTATCCGCATAATATCAGAACTTAAAAAAACTATAATTTCGATATGTCAATCCAATCAATTCTGACTTCACCATTATTCTTAAAAAAGCAATATACATATGCTAAAAAAAAAAAACAAAAAAAGTTGAAAAATTAGATTTGTTCCACATACTTTTTTGTCAAAATTTGATATTAAAATACCTTCATAAAAATAAATACTACATTAAGCTCAATATATTTTTTTTGATCATATAATACAACTTTTAATGAATCTCCTATTAAATTGTATCTACAAAGTACCTACGAAATAAAAATTACGTACAAAACGCATAAAATTAAATATCTATAAAAGACTAAAATTTGTTCAAAATTTTACCATGTTTAGAAAAGATAAATATAAGTTTTCTGTTCAAATTTCAAGCCTCTATAAATATTTTAATATTTTAACTAAATTACAACAAAAAACAAAATTGAAAATATTAAAAGCATTATTTTTATAAATTTTTCCATTTTTCTTAAGTTTTTTCCTGAATTTTCCCTGATATTACAAAAACCGCTTAGAAAATCAAAAAAATAACCTTTTAAAATTGCTATTTAGACAAAATTTGCTTACAGAATATATACCACATTTTTATATCAAAGAGAGATTTCTGAAAAAAATTTTTGTCAGTATAAAAAGAATATATAAATAAATAACATTGTAAAATCAATAAATTCTTTGCTACTTAGAATCTAAAAAAGTTGAATATCAATGGGTATATCTTTTGAGGAGACACTGTAAAGGTGTTAACAATATAAGATTACGTTGGAGGATCAATAGAGGTGATAAAATATTACATTAATTGTATTAAACAATTATAACTTAACCTAAAATACCTTTTTTGTCATCAACATCAAACTTGAAATATGAAGCATTTAATAAGCCAGAATCTTGATGTATGTACATCATGTCAGGATTCAATCTGGTAAGATGTAATACATACTCAGCCAAACATGATAATGATAATTGAAGAGTAAGCTAAAAAAATTAATATAAATGTTTAATTTAATTATTAATTTATTAATTTATTTTTATTTTTACCATTTTTCTAAATGTCCAATAATCTGTAGGTGAAGCATATGTAAGAGTTGCCCAATTTTTTAATGTATCACTAGAACAATAATTTTGTTGTATTTCTAAAAATACATCTAAAAGCATTTGAATATTTGCTTGGGTTCCCTGATTCTAAAAACATTCAATTTGATAAAAATTTTTTTTTTAAATTTCTATTAATATAATAAATTACCTGAATGTTAGCTAAGCGTTGATAATAATGCTCAATACAATCATCGTAAGGTTGGGTTGTACTCATTGATTTAAAAATATCCAGTAATGATAAAGATGAAGGATTATCTTCAACAAGCCGTTGTTGAGGAGATACAGCCACAACTCTGGGGACTGTATAATATAAAAATCTCCGGGAAGTTTCCTAAAAAATAAAATAATTTAGTTGTTGAGTTTATTGATAAAATATTACTACAAACCTTTTGTTTAGTCAAATAATGATTCAACATCCTTAATAGCTGCAAAACTCGTTCTTCACGTCTTGTATCGCCCAAGCCAGCATCATGCATAACTAGATATGAATATAATTTACCATTATGACCACGCATAACTAATCTTCTTGCTGACGTGTTATGTTTTTCAACTATTTGAACTCTAGGCATAAAACGAGCGATTTTCACATAATAATGTGAATGCTGTAAAAAAAAAAAATTATTCTTATTTCCTATAAATTAAAATATAAGTCCTAGAAAAAACAGTATGATTTTCACAAAGTACAAAATTATAATTTTCTTAATAGTGCATTTCTTAAACATAAATTTCTAATAACCTTACCTTAGGAAGTAAAAATTCCCCTGGAATTTCAATTTCGGCAGTTTGTAAACTAAAATTACTAAGGAATCTACATTTTTCTTCAATTAAAAAAGACCTAAACAAAAAAATTATTGAATAATAATATATAATAATAACATTTTACACACAAATTGTATATTACTTTGGTAAGAGCCTAATTTTAGCTTCTAATATTTTTATCCATTTTTTCATTTTTGAAATCATAACATGTAGTTTCATTGCTCCAGGTAAAGTAAAATCAAAATCAATAGAAAACTGTTGTTTCATTTTTTGGAAAACAGGATCTTGTATTGTTGTTTGTGCCCGTTTAGCTAAACTCTCAGAGCCTGAACCTGGAAATGATCCTTTTGTTGATATAGCTGCAGTATTAGCAGCCATATTACTTGCCAACAATTCTGAAAAAATATATAAATAAATGTATAAATATACACATACTTAAATAGGTTTATTTTAAAATATTACCTATTCCAATTCCAAATGTTGATACTAATTTCTTAATGAAATTTAATGTGTGAGGTGTAATTTGTGCATCTGCTACTGACCCTCGGCTGTCAAAAGCAATGTTATAACATTTTGCCAGTCCAAGACGAAGTTGTCTTAACACTTCTTCATACCAATTTTCTCTGAACCAAACCATCTTTCAACCATATAAAACATAATTAAAATAAATCCTTTTTGTTAACACTATTAATCAATAAAATTGTGTCTTAGGATTTTTGTTTTTTAAATTTAATTTGGATTACATTTTTTGCTTCATTGCTAATTATTTAAATTTTAAGGCTTTAATAATGAATGATATTCTAGGAAGTTAAAATTCATGGATCATAGTAAAAATAAAAAAATTAATTGAAACAATATTAAATTTGATTAAAAAATAACAGATGGACATATTTCGTACGATGGGCCACTGCCGTAGGAAAAAAGTTGGAAAAGGATAATATAGTGGGGAATATTATGTATTTTTGTATTCAACGATTAATCATTACTAACGAAAATAAATTATGAGCAGAGGTTGGTTATACATGTTTTAAAAGATAGTTATAATTTTCGTTAAAATTTAATATTAAATTCCTTATATATATATATAAACAAAAAAAATACTACAACATTAATATACTATAATAGACTTATCTATTATTTGCCACTAAGTACAACTTATAATGAACCTCCTGTTAAATTTTTAAGCATTTCTGTTTGACCTAACAATTTTATTCACAGAGTACCTACCAAATGAATATTAAGTAAAAAAACTGGCAAAATTAAAATGTCTATAAATAACTAAAAAAAAGGCTCAAATGTTTTGAAAATTATACAGTAACTATAATGTATTATAAAAGACAAATACAGGGTTTCTGTTCAAATTTCAAATTCCTATAAACATTTTGAATTGAATTTCAACAAAAAAACGAAATTGAAATTAATAAAAGCATTATTTTCATAAATTTTCTTGTTTTTCATTTGTTTTTTCCCATTTATTATAAAACCCCTGGAAAAATCAAAAAATGACCTCCTTAAAGTACCACATTAAGAAAATTTCTTTTCAAAAAAAGGTCCTACACAAAATCAAAGCAAAATGACTAATAGAACTTTTGTACACAATATCCAAAAAAATAAAATAAAAATCATTGTAAAACTAAAACAGTCCTTGTTTCGCTCAGAATCTAAAAAAGAAAAAAATGTATAACTGTTAAACTATAAGAAAATACTGAAAAACAATATATCGCCTAGAGAAAACCAGATAACAGCAGAGCTTCTGAAATATAGTGAAAAACAAATGGTAGTTGATATACATAATATAATGTGATTATGAAGCTATGCCAGGCAAATGGAATACATCAATTCTCTGTCCAATATATAAAAAGAGATCTAATAATACCTGAAAATTACAGAGGAATATCACTACTACATACAGCCAACAAAATACTGACAAACCTCATAATGAAATGACTAAATCCATATGTATCCACTATAGTAGGGAAGTATCAATGCAACTTCAAAAAAGGTAAATCGACCATTGACCAAATACACACATTCTGCCAGGTAGTGGAAAAGTATTATGAATACAAATACGATTTGCACTTAGTATTTGTAGATTTTAAACAGGCATATGGCTACAGCTGGCCTTTGAATATCATACAAATATAAACTTTTCTTTTATTAATTATAGATTCAATGACAATTATATTTAATATTTAATAATAGATACTTTATTGTAATTATAAAACTGAATAAATTATTTTATTAAAAAAAAATGTCAAATCTTTAACATTTATTTTAAAATGCGAGGCAAGTATTGCCTAATAAAGCCTAAGAAAGCTAAAATAATAATGACAATATTTTAAAACATAACTGATAAATTTGGATTAACCTACTAATTTTATTTATTAACTGGTAACATTTGATTGAATTTTTGTTCAGTATCATAATATTTGTTTATTAATTTATTTTATTTTATTTTATTTTATTTTATTTTATTAATGCCAAACCGCAATTTACAAAGAATAAATGAAAATACATAAATTAAGGTAAATAAATTTAAATAAACAAAACAATTTAAATACCTATGAAGTACCTATTTCTGATGATTTTAAATTGAATCCAAAAATAATATATCTGCTTTTATTATTATACTATATAATTTAATATTGACAAATTTAAATCATAAGAAATTGTTTGCCTCAAAAGAGTAAACAGCACTGAGTTAGTTAGGTGCTTAAGGGTTAATTTACATTATTATAATACTAAAGCATAAATATGTATTTTGTTAATACAGCAAAAAACACAAAATTAATATGCAAATTTATTAAAATGTATTTAATAGTAAACATCTTACTTGATCTACTATGCCTTCTAAAGTTAGAACAATTGTCGGATGCACTTCACGTTGCTGATGCATTACTTTGGAAAACCGCACCATTGCTGGTGTTGCACGCAAAGAAGAATCAGTTGATCCTGTGCTTTGAGTAGATGTAGAATCTATAAATAGTTATTTTAGTTATACATGTTCATAAGAATATGTTTTATTTTTGATTTATTACTTTGGGTAGTATCATTAGTTTGTGACTGCTTATTAGCTGCAGCTAACAATTCAGAATTTCTACAGCGTTCTCTATATTCAATTTTATGAGTAAAGTATAATGTTCTAGTTGGAAAATACACGGCTTGTGGATACAATCGTCCAACCTAAAAATAATAAATATATAAATAATAATAATAACCATTATTTTTATATTATTAATTTTTGTAAAATTGTCTCCAAAAAGTACTGACTATTGCACTTTATTGTATCTGATACAAATACCTAGATTCATTTTTTGGGGCCAGAAAAAAAAGCAAGTAAAAAAAATAATATAATTATTTTACATATCATATAGGTATATTCAATGACATTTTTTAAGATAAAAATAAATAAATAATTATTGGGGCAGTTATCAAAATCTGCAGACTATGATCAATTGTAACAAAAATGACTACTATAATTATAATATAAGTACAAAATATATAAAAATTAACTTAAAATAAACCTATGGCTGTAGTATATAGTAGATATATTTATTTTTAAAAATCAAAAACTGTATTATATTATTATAGGTATATTATATAATAAGTCATATGAAATAATAATATATTACAACATATATAGGTACATTAGTACAATTATTGTCCTATTCAAAAAAAAATGTCGACAATTATTTTTGTGAAAACGTTTAAAATATTATTGAATATATAATATAGTCTATGGTATTAAAATATGGTGTAGGTACCTATTATATAGTACTATAAAATATGTAATACTAACCAATAATATTAATTTTATAATAAAAGATATGTAAAATAAATTTATTGTTTTTTTTTTCATTACTTTTTTTTCTAAATTTATATTTATCCCTGAATGTTTTATAGACAGATTTAAGAGAAAGGTTGCATTATTCATATAATAATAATTAATATCAGAGTTTTTTCTAGAGTTCAAAATAATTTTTAAGATTTTTTTCTTTTAAGTTTAATTTTGAATTTTTAGGTATTTTTTTAAACAAATTTTTCAATAAATAAAAGACTTCAAATGCTTAATTTAAAATTTCTCTTTAAATTACTACATAATTTAATTAATTGTCTCAAGCTTTTGAAATAAATAAACTTCAGAGTAACTTTATTTAATTCTAGGAATAAATGGCCATTTTATTTATTCAAATTATGTATTCAATTATCCTGCTAATGTATTAATGTCTACCGGAAACTGGAACTAATAACAAACTGAATAATGACTTAATAATCTAAACAAAAATTGTTAAATTTATATTAATAACTACTTCTTTATCAGTTATGTCTATACTACATATATCATCCATTATTATATTACTATTGTCTATTATTATATTATGTAACACATTCACATTTACTGTTATTGTTATATGTTTAAAATTAGAATTTTATTCTGTAAAATAAATAAATAATTATTAAATTATTAAATCTCAATATGAACTTCAGCATTTTGTTGTAGGATAGGTTTTTTTTTTAGATTTGACTATGGACCTCGCTAAATGAAGTTAGAGAGATGAAATTGTATATCTATATTGAGTAGTAAAAAGATTAGTAGTTAAACATTTTATTTTGCGCGTTTTAACTTTCTATTTTCTAATTTTCAAAGATTCAATAGTGAGAGATCCAAGGCTTACACCAATGTTTAAAGTTCAGTTGGACATGCATAAATACTAGTTATATTCAGTAAATTATTATTTATAAAGAATATTTCTATAATACAAAATAAATAGTGGAAAATTTCACTATATTATTGGAGCTCTGTTATTCACAGGTTTTATTTATTTTTTTCAAATTAAAATATTTTTATTACTTGTATTAATAAATTTTGTAATAAAGAACCTCCATCACTGGCCAATGTAGTTAACAGTTGTGGCACCCAAGGTAACCATAATGCAGGCGGAACTCCATTGAAATGTGTATCAACTGTACTGAGTAATGAGTATTCTTTATCATCATATGTTAATAACCATAAAACTTTAGCTAAATATTTCCGGTATTTAGATTCATTTTGTTGACGACAAGCTTGAAGAAAACATATTATTGCAGCTACACCAGTTTGCATTGTTTGATTTGGATAACTTTTAGTAAAGTATTCTTCCATATACTCGCCCCATAATGCCCAAGCTTTTACCATAGAATCATGTAATTGTACTGCTGCTGAAAAAGCTTTGTGAGCTTCTTCAGATTTACCTTAATTATTAGTAAAATTAATAATGTATTATGTTTGTATATACCTATTAATATATTTGTAAATTAGGCTTATTTAATATTTATTGTTAAGTATAAATAATAAAGTTACCGATTTGTCCTAGAAGCATCCCTTTAAGTGCATAGAATTCAGCAGTCATTTCACTTTGGAAGAATTTTAAATTTGTTCTTTCAATAGCTTCCAAACACTAAAACCAATAATATTAAATTAAACACTTATTAATGTACGGTTTCCAAGGCGCGGCTTTTGCATGAACGGTGTTTACACGTTGTAGAGCTGCTGCGGCCAGCGGCTCTACCGCAACGAGAGTAGTGTATGGACAAAATTTAATAGTAAGTTAAATATTAATAAAAATACATACATCTTGTATTTCATGTTTATTGGATGATATAGATGCCATTTGCATATAACATTTCACTTGTTGTCTAATTTTATGGAAGCAATCAACAACTGGTACATTTGGAATTGTGTATAAACGAGATAATGTTTGAAGACAAACTCCAGTTAAATTATGTTTTCGGCTAACTTTTCCAAAGTGAATTATTGCCTAAAATAAAAATTTTAATTATTTATTTGAATTAGTATAGTTATATTATGTTGCTTAGCGTCAAGTGACACAACACAATATTTCGGTCATCTTTTCTAATAAAGACACGCACACACAATATTATAATAAATCACTCATTACTAGAACTCAAATCTTGTGACAAAATAAATTGTTGAAAAACAAAAATATAAAGATGCTAAACAATATGAAATTATAAATTAACATTAAAAATCAAATTTACAACCACATATTTAGTTAAGTTATTTTTACTATATTTATTTTTGACTATCTTTGTATACATTGAAAATGAACTTTCTTTGTCAACTGAAGTAATCGGTGCATATTTTAAATAAACTAAACAATTATATTGATTTAAATCAATATAATTATTATCAATAAGATATTAATGTTTGGTGCAATTCCTGAGTTCCATGATATATATTATTGATTTTTTTTTTTTGGAAAACCACAATTGTATTTTTTTTAAATCAATTTCACAACTCCACTTCATGATTAGGTTCATTTAATTTGTGTTTTGCTTCTAATACGTTAGCAATTTTTTTTTTTATTATTATTATTATATTATGCCAATTTTACTTATTTCTAGAAATAATATAGTGGGTTAAAATAAAACATAAAATTGTGTACAATTTTTATGAAATTTATGTAAAATTAAGAAAAGAGGACTTCATAGGGTAAGAGGGGGAAAGCACATTTAGTGGGAAAATGTAACTCAAGTTTATGTTATTTTAATCAAAATTAATACATAAAGGACATATATTTTTCTCACATTCCCTGCGAACATATCATTTGCTACAAAATCTGATCCCTAATTATTACTTATATAATAAAAAAATTTAAAAAATTACTACATTGGGTGGAGCAATGTTGGTTTAAACCTAATTATTTTCCAAAGAAAGTAGTATCCTAAGTGTAAACTTAAAATCTTCAATGCAAAAGATGCATTCTAAGATGGTCAAATTTGAATCCGACAATAATGATTTTAGGAACACCATATTAGTACGCTAAGATACTATTTAAGCACACACAGACTTGTATGAATAAGTACCAACTTAAACACCTATACAGTCGTTCATTAAAAACACGAATGTCAGTTTACTATATGTTATTACTTTATTAATTATTACCTGAGCAGAAGCGTGTACACCCAGTACAGCATTTGTAGATTGCTCTGGACGAGAACAATATTCAATAACAAATTGGTAATGATGTTGTCGCCAAACAAACACATCACTCCAATGACTTAAGTCATCAGCTACAACTGGTAAACGATTTTTCCATGTTTTTAAAATAGCTTTCATATTATGTAATGAATTATTTGTGTCTTTTTCCTGCAAACCTTGATGAATTTGAGCAGCCTCAGATAATTCCATTATCTAAAAAAAGTATAAATTATTATAATCAACATTTTTTAAAATAAAAAATACATAATATATTATACATATATATATATATATATGACCCGTCTGGGTCCGGGATAGAATAGGCCCAGAGCATTCCCTGCTTGATGTAAGAGGCAACCAAAAGGGTCTGGGGAAGAGCAGCAGCTTCCCCAGTATTGGATGTAGGTGGAGATCAAAGGGATCGGTACAGCTACATACCAAACATTTGTAAGCAAAGATGGCAGCCATCTAAATGGTTACAAAACTGTGAGGTGGAAGGAAACAGGAAACCACCACCTTATTATCCCTAGTATCTGCAGTTATGGATTGTGAATTCATTGTAAAAGATTCCGGACGTAAACTAGTCTCCCGTTCGGATGTCCAAGTGGAGACCGCCTTGAGTAAAGCAAAACAAAACTATAAAAGAGTAGGCACATGGAATGTCAGGTCCTTGAGAAGAAGCGGAAAGTTTGAAAATTTAAAACTAGAAATGAGAAGATTAAATATTGACATTATAGGGATAAGTGAAGTAAGATGGCCAGATCCCGGTGATTTTTGGAGTGATGAGTATAGATTCATTCATACAGACTCAAGTAATGGACATACTGGTGTTGGCATCATCATGAATAAACAGTGTGGGGAAAGTGTGATCAGCTACTATCAATGTACAGATAGGATCATCATGGTTAAAATTAATACTAAACCTGCTATTACAACGATTATCCAAATATACATGCCAACATCATCACATAATGATGAAGAAGTTGAAGAAACTTACGATAAAATAGATAAAATAATGGCGATGACTAAAGCAGGAGAGAATGTTACAATCCTAGGCGACTGGAATGCAGCAGTAGGCGAAGGGAAAGAAAGTAACATAACGGGTAGTTATGGGTTGGGAACCAGAAATGAGAGAAGGGAACGACTAATAAAGTTCTGTACACAACACAAATGGACAATTGCAAATACTTTTTTCCAACACCATAAAAGAAGAATATATACCTGGAAAAGGCCAGGAGATACAGCGAGATATCAAATCGATTACATTATGACTAAACAACGTTTTAAAAATCAAATTAAACAATGCAAAACTTATCTTGGTGCTGATATTAACAGCGAACACAATCTAGTTATTATGGAAACAAATATAAAGTACAAAAAAATAAAGAAAGGTGGATTTACAAAAAAAATGGAATTTAAAAGTGTTTAAGAAAGATGAGAAGAGAATAGAATTTAAAGAGAAATGTAAGAAAGCATTTTACAACATACTAATTGATAACTGTCATTCAGAGGAAATTAAATGGGACAATATTAAGAAAATTCTAAAGAACCAGGCAGAGGAAGTAATAGGAACCCAAAAAAAAGATGCGAGAAAGCCTTGGATGACAGACGAAATTGTTAAGCTAATAAATGAAAGAAGAAGGTATAAAAATCAAATTAGCACTCAAGAACAAGAACAATACAAAAGATTACGAAATGATGTGCAAAGGAAGATAAAAAAAGCTAAAGAAGAATGGCTATATGAACAGTGTAAGGAAGCAGAAGAATTTTTAAAAAGAGGAAGAAGTGACTTGGCGTTTTTAGAAATTAAAAAGCTTTTCCGTGAAAGGAAACAAAACGCAGGAACACTAATAAANAGATGAAGATGATAAAGGTGATTATATCTTACATGCAGAATTTGATCATGCGATTGACTTCCTTAAAAACAATAAAGCGTATGGTGTAGATGAAATCCCAGCAGAGTTACTTAAATACACAGACGTAGTTGTTAGAAAAGAACTGTACAAAATATGCAATGAAATATATTTAAAAGGAAAAACCATTAGTGATTTTAAGAAGGGTATTGTGATACTGATTCCAAAAAGGAAAGGAACACAAGAAGAAGACAGAACATTAAACCTCATCACACATGCCTCCAAAATCATCACCAGAATAATCAAAAACAGGATAGACAAAAAGATAGAAGAAAATCTGGGTAAAGATCAGAAAAAACATAGGAACCAGGGAACAAATTAGAAGAAACAAAGATACATTTATAGCCTTTGTCGATTAGGAGAAGGCGTTTGATAATGTAAAGTGGAGTATATTATTCGATATTCTAAAATTAATTGGGATTAAGTATTACGACAGAAGATGCATCTATAATTGATACAAAAACCAAACTTTACTAATACGTATAGATGGGAAAGAAGAAATAGCAAAAATTAAAAAGGGTGTACGACAGGGCTGCAACCTATCACCGATGCTGTTTAATCTATATATTGAAGAAGTAATGAAAGAATTAAGAATAGAAGTAAAACAAGGAGTTAGAATAGGTGGAGAAACAATTAATGCACTGAGATTTGCTGATGACATTGCTTTTTGCGCAGAAACAGAGAATGACCTGCAAAAGATTTTAACTAAGGTCAATAAAACATTATGGGACAAATATGGAATGCGATTAAATCAAAAAAAGACAAAGGTTATGGCGTGCAGCAAGACAAACCCGGTTCTACTTAATATACATATAGATAACGCACGCACTGAACAAGTGCATCACTTTAATTACTTAGGATTACAATCAGTGCAATAGAGAAAAGAAAACTAGAGGCCTTCGAAATGTGGTGCTATCGTAAAATGTTAAGAATTAAATGAATTGATAGAATAACGAATGAAGCAGTATTAAATAGAATAAAAGAAAAGAAAATACTACGGCATACCATAAAAGTTAGAAGAGCTAAAATGATAGGATACTACGCCATGAGAGTCTATAAAAAACCGTCATAGAAGGCGACGTTGAAGGCCATATAGGAAGAGGAAGACCAAGGATGGAGTACATGAAGCAAATCATAATTGACATGGGGAAGATTAGTTATAAGGAACTAAAGGAATTAAGTAACGCATGGAAAACTGCAGCAAACCAATCTAAGAATTGAAGACTGAAAAAAAAAATATATATATATAACATCAATAATATGTTAATATAAGTGGAAGTTATTTAAATTAATACTCCATTTATTTATAGAATTTTCAATATAGATTGTTATCTGAAAATCAAAAGTAGGTAGTGGTCTCACTTCCTAAAATAAGGGTGTCAAAAATGAGTAATGAAACATTTTAAGGCTACTTATTTCTTTATTTTTTAAAAAACAAAAACTTCAAAAAAAGTTATTACTTTCCGTGATAATGAGAGTCATATGCTATGTTAATCGCCCTGTATATATAAAAATGTAAAGTAAATAAATAAAAAACGTGAATTATAGCACACAAAATTAAAGAGATGGCTACCACTAGCCGTATTAAAAATTGTGGTTACTAAAATAATGACCACAAGACAGAGGCTGGACTGGGAGCATGGCAGGAACCTCCACGTGGTGCCCTGAAACAGCGAGATTGTAAGTCTATGAAATATATCTGGTATATGTGACCACAATGCAACTATCGCCAAACAATCCTACCAACCACGGTCTTCAATCAAAAAGGTCCTTTTCAGGGCCAACCATGATAATGATATCCACAAATATCGAAGGTCTTACACCAGAAAAAGAAAATATTTTGCTGGAGTTATATAAAACATAGGAATGTGATGTGCTGTGCCTACAGGACAATCATCAAAAAACCAACAACAGAAGACCAAAAATAAATCGAATGAGACTAGTGGTAGAAAGGCCACATAGCAAATACGGGAGCACCTAACTAGAGAATTACAGGAATGGTTATACAAAAATTGTAATAAGTGATTTCAACAGTCACAGTGTGATGTGGGGATATACGGAGAACAATAAAGTTAGCGAGAATGTCGAAGATTGGGCAGAATGATTCAACTTTAAAAAGGCTAAATGGGCAGAATTCACCAAGTATATGGATATCGAAATACAAACGCTACAACCAACACCTCAATCAATAAAAATTTGTTGATAGTTTAAAGTTTTCAAGAAAAATTATACCAAGGAGATACTGCACCTACTAAATCAAGGGACTACAACAAGACATCAAGGACTTCGAAGTTTACTACGAAAAGTACAAACAAGATCCTTTCTCTGAACTAACAATTGAAGCTAGAGAACTTTTCATTAAGAGGATAGCCGAAGAACGCAAAAAAGGATATCATTAATTAAGGATTTAGATATGGTTAAAAATAGTAATAAAGCCTAAAAGCTAATAAAAAGCATGAACAATGAAAAACAATAACCGAAAAAACATATAAATATAACACCAAATCAATATATTAACACAAAATATTAATGAATGACAAAACTAAAGGAAAGAAAATTAAGCTTAAATTTAAAATGGATATGAATAATAATACAAGTGACTTCAACGAACCGTTCGAGATGGATGAGCTGAATAAGGCGATCTGAACAATGAAGAACAGGAAAGCAACAGAGATCGACGGTATCATGACGGAACAGATCAAGTAACTAGGCTCTATAACTAAGGAATGTCTACTAAACATGTTCAATAACTGTATCGAAACCAACAATATTCCAACAGAATGATTTAAATCATATATTGTGACATTGAAGCCTGGGAAAGCCTACAGATGCATGTAATTTTAGACCTGTGACACTATTATGTCATACCTAAAACATTTTTAAGAGAATGGTACTAAATAGGATAAGCAACAAGAATAACGGGAAGCTTATTAAGCAACAGTCTAACTTTAGGGATAGTAAGTCATGCACGGGACAAATACTTAAGCTTGTTGAAGAAATAGCGAAAGGCTATGAGAACAAGGTAATAACAGGTGCGGCTTTTATCGACCTCAACGCTACACACGATGCGGTCAATCATAAATTGTCTCTAAAGAAAATATATGAGCTAACAGAAGATGCGAAATTTACAAAAATCATTGGTTTATTACTCAGGAATAGACGATTCTATTTATTACTGCAGAACAAAAAAAGCAGATGGAGAAGACAAAATAATGGATTACCTCAAGGAAGTGTACTAGTACCAATCTTCTTTAATGTATATACTAATGATCAAATTAAATGATCAACCAATTGGGGACTAAACGAAACACTTTATATACGCTGATGACCTTGCTATTACAATCCAAGGCAAAACATTCCAGAAGTTAGAAGAGAACCTGAATGTTGCGCTTAATTCTATGAAAGAATTTTACCATAACAACTATCTAAAACCGAATCCTGCAAAAACACAAATAACTACTTTCCACTTACGAGAGACGCTAAACGAAAATTAAGAATTAATTGGCAAGGCACAGAATTAGAGCACGAGGAATCAAAATACATAGGCATTAAACTTGAACGAGTCCTGACATTACAAACGAAACAGCAAATATTCCAAAAAAATAATTTATTGAATATAAATGTGCTATCTATTCTCTTAAGGGAAGCCCGCATAACTAATTTTAGTTACCAAATATTTAAAATCAATTGTTTACAGCGATAAATTGTGGAAATAGAAAAATACATTAGATAAAAATTATTTAGACATACATATTTGGTAACTATCATGTTATTAGTTATTACCCCTGGTATTACGGTAAGTACTTCTTCAGTTCCTGTTGAGTAATTTCGAACTGTGCGACTGTGCAAATATAGAAATAATTAAATCCACACAAGGAAAAAATATGTTTTAATGGTTACACCTACATACGAGATTATATATTTTTTTTAATTATTTATTATTTTTGACAGCTGTGTGCACAATATACACTCAAACAATTGATGATTAAACTATATTCATTTTGTTTTATACATATAATTTTGACAGTATAGTTGCTTTGGGGATATATTTGCAGGGATTTTTTTCCAGGATTCCTTACACGATTGTAATTACAACGGAATAGAACGGACCAAGCAGCGTTGCCAGGCGTACAAATATGTTCGTATTTGAACAAACATTGAGATCAGTGTACAAACATAAAATAAACAAAGTATGTTCGTACAAACATTTTTAAATTTGTACATTTGTATGGTAATAAATACAATCAGTCGATGGCGAACATTATAGATCATTGCAGATTAAATTTCATATAATCTGTGATAATACCATATCAATATCTGGCAACACTGGGACCAAGAAAAAAACTAAATAGTTTCTGATAAAATTTTTATATTAGGCTTTGATATTTGTAATTTGTATTGTAAGTTGCTACCTACATAGTATACTTGTACTTAGTACTTTGTTGTTAGTAAAATAATATGTTTGCTAAATTAAAATCTATAGTTCTTGAATTAATTTTAAATTTATTAATTAAAGACCTAATATAAAATGAAATTATTTTTAGTATGTATTAAAAGAAGATTTCACTGGTTTTTAAAAATTTGTATAATAATAAGTATTTGCTTAATTGTTGGTGTTGTTTTTATCATATTACGTGCACCAATTACTTATATAAACACAAATGATATTCCAAAATACTTAGTCAAAACAAGTGCTGGTGAATATGGTCTTAATATTAGTGCATGTCCAATAGCACAAATTAATGAAGAAACAAGTCTATTAAAAGTGCCAACTAGCAGTAAACAATTGGATATTATTAAGCAATCTAATATTTCATTGGGTGGAGAATGGATGCCAAAGCATTGCATACCTCAACATCATATTGCAATTATAGTGTGCTATCGTAATCGACCTACGCAACTTCAGACTTTTATACATTATATGCATTCATTTTTACAAAAGCAAAACATACATTACCAAATATATGTAATAGAACAAACATTTGATACTAAATTTAATCGTGGAAAATTATTTAATGCTGGATATCGTGAAGTTACAATTCGTTCTTCTGCGGGATGCTTTATTTTTCATGATGTTGATCTAATCCCAGAAAATATAAATAATATATATGGTTGTACAAACTGCCCAAGACATATGAGTTCTAGTATAAATGTTTTTGATTATAATTTGCCATACCGTACTATATTTGGTGGTGCTATTGCTATGACACGAAAACAATATCGTGATATTAATGGCTTTTCGAACGTGTTTTATGGATGGGGAGGCGAAGATGATGATATGTTCCAAAGAGTTTACAGTGGAGGATATAATATTTGTCGATATCAGCTATATGTGTCAAGGTATACAATGTTAACACACAATAAAGAAATGCCAAATGAAAATAGAAATAAACTGTTAAGAAATGGTTCACAATTTAAAATAGATGGAGTAAATTCTGTAACTTACACTTTAATAAAATATGAAAAATTACCATTGTATACAAGAATACTAGTCAGTGTTTAGAAAAATAATGGTACTCTTTTATTATCTCAACTACCACAGATAACTATTTTGATCCTCTATTAAAATTTGACAAGCTCACGCTTGGGTAACAATATTTATGGCTGATAGAACTGCATGCGTTCAAAGTACAATCCTTTACAAGTGCAATTTCAGGTACTTAATCAGACAATCAAACTTGAGATAACCAAAGTCGCAAAATAATTATTAGATCAAAAAATACCAACACTCAAACATGAAACCTATTTTTAGTAATTTAATCAATATATTCATTATTAAGCAATATTTTGACAAAACAATAAATCTGATCAAATTTAAGTTAGCGATTTTGTTGTTCCATGATAATGTCTTGAATATTTTGATATGGTTGTCGATTGCTGATCGTCCCCTCTACTCTACACACACGATTATGACGTTAGATTGGTCAAGTCCAGTGGAAATTGTGTTAAGTCAGGTATCGGGTAGCTTAATGGTAGAGCAATTGTCTGGCAAGTGAGAGACTGATTTGATTTACAGTTTAGTTGTCCTATTTTTAACACTGTTTTTCGGACAAGAACAAATAAGTACATTTGTTCCTGACTATGTAAATATTAAATTAAGTTTGTTTTTATAGTTATATAAATCTATATTTTTGTATCCTTAATTATTAATGTGGTAAAAATGTATTGTTTATGTTTTATGGATAAATGTAATTAATAAAAAAAATAAGAATAGTGGTATTGTAAACCAGGGGGTAATATAGAATATAAGAAATATATATTGCTGTGATACAAATTATTAAATACTTACATCACATAATTTGAATGTTTAATTTTTGTGTATATTAATAAGAAAATAATTTGTATACCTACTGAAAAGTTTTATAATTATTGTGGCATAAGTAATGTACATCATATTATAAATTAATGGCGAGGATATTTAATAATATATTAACACTAATAGTTTGTGGTTTATCTATAGCTTATATATAGTTAGGATAGTGATAACCTAAAAAAACACACAAAAGTACTAAATGCACTTAAAATCTCCAAAAAAATCTACTTACAGGCAATTTAGTTTATGTTATGTTTAAAATTGTTAAAATATAAAATTTAAAATATATATCGGTTAAATGGTGAATGTGAGTGCCGATTCACTACTGACCATAATTCCATTTACTGCAATTAATTCGTTTATTTCAATTTAATTTTGTTTACCGGATTTATTCTACACAATTTATTGGTTTATAAATGTATATCATGCAAACAGTAAATCTTATCAGTATGCAATAAATTTAATTACAATAAAAACAAATTATAGAAAAAATTTGTACACATTTTCATTAAAATCTAAAATTTGAGAAAAATGCCCATACATAGAACAAAAATGCAAAATAAAATTAGCATACTCTAAATCAAGAAAGCATGAAACAAATATTTAGCTTAAATAGCATTATAAGATCAAAGAAAAAAAAAATGCATAAGTCATCAACATCCTACTACAATTTCTATCACAAATTTATATAGTCTTATCAATACTACTAATTAGAAATATGTTTTATCCATTTTTTTTATTGTCTATAAATGTTATTATGTTATTTTATTATATTTTTACCTGTTGGGAAGCTTGAAGGTATGGCAAATGTATATGTGATACAATATGTGGCAATCTTCTCCATTCTCTAATTACATGAATACTAGCCATTTCAACGTTTCTAGTAACATATGGTAAATTTGGATCTTCTGGATGACAAATTGCCAAAAACCCTCTGTATAAATACATCTAATAAAAAATAAATAGGTAAATACTTATATTTTTAAATTACAATAATAATTATATAATTTGAATGAAACATTTATTTGATACCTTCCATAAGAATTCTTTTGGGCACGTATTGTCAACACAACTTAATGCTTCATTCATTACATGCCAATCAGGTATACGCCATGCACTGTCAAGTATTAAAAACGGATTGAGATGACCATTGAGTTTTGAATATTCAAGTAAAATATCCCATTGATTAAGCTCTTTTGAACATCTGTAAGATAAAATTATATATAACAAAATAAATTGTATGGACCAAGATAATTTGTTCACCTAATCCATTGCGATTCCCATAAGCGTGCTTCACTTAAAACCATTACTGATGCAGGTAAACTGGAAAATTCAGTTTGATATTTTTCAATTAAAGACTCATATGTAGATAAAGCTTGTTCAAAAAGTCCTTGTTGTTCTAATGCAAGGGCAACTTTAGTCTCACGGTATTGAGCATGTTTTTGCCACAAACCAGCCCACATATCTTCTTCTTTAAGCTGTTTGTACATTTCTGCTAATGTATCAATAACATCCTAAAAGCAGACATTTGTTGATTTGTGGATTACTACTTTAATCAACAATACATTTATAAAAACATACTCTTTGAGGAGATATTTCTGGTTCAAATTCATAACAATCTTGCTTGGATACTTCAAAGTTATTATCTATCATCATTTTTTCCAAAGATAGAGTAACACGATGCCATAAATTATGAGATTTACCAATATATAACATAACGCTGGGTTTAAAATTTATTTTTGGTTGACATTGAAATAATGCCTCAAAGAACGTAGAAATAACACTTGGATGAACATCTCTTTGAACAACGTGAATACCACTTACAATAAATTGATTAATTTCAGGCAAAAGTATCTAAAAACAACAACAAATATAATAATAAAATATAACATTAAAAATATTTTGAGTGTTTACAGTTTTTTGTGTAGAATTTAATGATTCCCAAATAGCAGGAAATAAAACAAGCCAAGTTTTTTCAGCTAAGCTTGAATCCATATGACAAAGTTGAGCTATAGCTGAACACATATCTCCAAGTTTCATTGTTTTTAGATTATCCATACATTTTATGTGTCTGGTAATTAATGGTTCTAGTTTTCCACCCTCAACAACTTCAATATTATCAGTCACCATTTGGTCAGTATCCATTGCATACTCTGATTTAACTGTAATATCTTCATTAGTATTAAAAATGTCTTCTCTGAATGAAGAATCACAATTATTGACTAATTCTTTAATTGTTGGTAATTTTGATGAAGTAGATGAATTTGAATCTTTTAAAGTCACAGGCAAATCTAAAATTATTTATTTCAATAAGATAATTATAATTAAAAATAATACATTTTATTATTTTATGAGTTACACAAATTAAATTTAAAAAACCAAATGTTAAAATACAGTCTTTATATTATTATATTCCTTAATGAATATTATTTATTTTAAAAATGTATCATTAATTATGTTTTTCAAATAATAAAATTTAAATATTTAAAAAAATACTAATAATAGATAGATTCAACAGTCTTTACTTTTAAAATTTATTTTTACTAGATATTACTTTAGATATTCTTACTTGGATCAACTGTAGCTAATATTAATTCAATACATTGTTTTATCCAATAATGGGTCATCATAGGTTCCCAGTTTTGAGAACTTACTATATACAATAAACGTTCAGGTAGTCTAGTATTGATTTGTTGGTTAAATAATGCGAAAAATTTTTCACGAACAGGAGGTTGTGAACATCGTAAGCCACTTAAAAATGCTGCTTCTAATTTATGTCCAAGTTCAGAATTACGCAATTCTTCATCTCTAAAAAAATTCAAAATTAATATTACACTTAGAATACCTAGTAATTTATTATACTTAAATAGAATTAATTAATTTTGCATTGAAAAATACTGAATATTTATTTCATGACTAATTTTAACATGGATTATAAATCACACATTACATTACATATTGGAAAATATAAAATGAAAAAAAATATTACCTATAAATATGTATAATGATATCTAAATATTGAGAATTCAGATCAGGAAATTTTTTTTCAATATGCTGCATAATTTTTACTAATAATATAGACTTTTCACGTAAATTAGGTCCTTCATTTGGAGGAAAACGCATCCATTCTTCTAACATCTAAAACAATAAAAACTTTTAAAGCTTATAATTGTATTTTAAGTTAAATTTGTTTGATACAATCAATTCAAACCAAACAGCCAAATTTAAGTAGTTAAAAAGGAAAAAAGAATACATTTTTAAAAGAAAAGAACAATTTATTTTGGTATTAAACTCAATTCAAATTTCAAAGCCTAACTAGTATGATTTTGAGGTGTTTATTTTTTTTGTCTACGAATATAATTTTAATTAGAATATTATCAACATCTTGCATGGTTTTTGATAGCCTTTTTTTATCTAGTTGGTGCAATGGTTTGTTCAATAGGGAAAACTAAAATAATCAATTTTGTTTTTTGTTACATATAGATTAAAAGTAAATAATCATAGAAAACATTTTTGCCAAATACTTATATTAGTATTTTTTATACAAAGTAGTAAAATATAATAAATTAAATAATAAATAATAAATTGTTTAGCTTCTTTATAATTATTTACACATATTTTAAATGTCGGTTTTTTTTATTTGTATGTCTTGTTAAAAAAAAGCAATGAAAATTCACTACAATAAATTAATTATGATCAACCAACAAATAAATAATTAAAAACACACCTTTAAAATTGTTTTCATAATTCTTGAGTCATTGGTTTTTTCAATTAATCCAACAAGAATAGTACCAATAAATGTTTTTCGAGTTTCAATATGCATATTGCTAACTCTATTTTTCATCAAGTCTAAACTTTGTATAACCAATTCATTAATTCCCATTGAAGATTCTGTATTTGTAGATTGTGGCTGTTCACGGCAAACTTTTTGTAGAACATGTACAAAGCGAGATGACAAGTTATCGATAAAAGCTGTATTGTTAGCGCCGGCTGCTTTTAACATAATGACACATGTCAAAAATCGATTATAATTCTGGGATATATTTTTCTCAAAATTATTTAAACTTTCATCAATTAACTAAAATTTACATAATTAATTAATTTTTGTATTCTCAAGTTTAAAAAATAAAATATAATAACATACCACATTTATTAGAATGTATAGCTCTTCGAGTTCATTAAGATATGGTTTAATCATAGGGAAATTAAAAATTAAACGTGTCAGGAATGAATGAGCCATTCGTCCGATCTAAAATATTATAAAAATTAAAATGAATGTAAAGTTTAAAAATATATTAATACTTCAATTACTTTCATATTAGTAGTACTAATACATTCATATAATGATTTTTGAAGAGGTTTAATTGTGTTTAAAAGTTGTTCTTTTGGTAAAATTATCAAAAAGAATGCTAAAAGATCAAATGCTGAAGAAATATTTGCAACAGCGACTGCAGTAGCAGGATTATTAGCAGCAGGTTCTAAACTCGAGACAGTACAAAATACTTTTTCCATCCAAGCTAATTTTAACATGTCAATACATCTAGACATTATTGCTTCAGATTTGAAAGCAGTTCTCAATAAAGCAACACAACGCTTTGATAATAATTCTGCCAAACCTCCAGCAACACCATCATTTACCTAGAGACCAATATTTATATGTTTTAATAAGTATAACAGAAATTATTATAATTATAACTAATAATAAAATCAGTTACTAAAATAATATGACTATATACTCAATGCTCTCATTTAATCACTAATATGAGCTAATAATTACAACATATTGAAGTATGTTGTATCAGTGTTAATGTTAACAGTTTTTACTGTATTTCAGTGGCTTGGAGATAGTGATTTTTAGGAGTTATGGCCTAAGGTATTTTTGAGCAGCGGTTGTTAGTATTCTAGAGGAAATAATGGCTAAATCAAAAATAGCCATATACTGAAATGGGCAGAGGCATATATCACCAAAGGAAAAATAAGGTCATATCAGAAAATGGCCAAAAGAAAATATGGTAGATGGAAAATAAAACCATATACTAAAATGATCAAAGAAAAATATGACCAATGGAAAATTTTGTATAAGTAATTCAAATTATTGGAAAATATGGCCTTAATCAAAAATGTTAAGTGTGTACAAAAAGGCTTTCATCTATTATCTATATTTATATTTTCATAATTTATCTATTCCATTTTTTCCTTGGCCATTAAACCAATGGTGGTTGGTATTGGGTGACTGGATCCCATCTTCTGGGATGAGTTAAAAAATTAATTGAAATAGTTAATTATTTATGTAAATATAGTAATTAATGTCAGTTAATTGCTTGTAGAACTTATACAATTATTAAATATTCTGCATTCAATTTCAATTTAATAATATACCAAGATAGGTAATAAAATGAAATTCCTCAGATTTAACTACACCTATTTAATCAGTAAACTGAGTATTTTATCTACATACACCATTTTTATTAATCAATATTCATATAGATGTTTTAAATGTTTATTGAAAAATTCAGTAATTGTTGTTATATAAACAAATATATATACAGTGTCCCATCATATTTGACAAATTTTTCTAGCATTTTTAATATTAAATTTTATTAGATTTTATTTTTTTTTTCAATTGTTTTTTCTTCAAAGGGGACATTGATAAGAAGAAAAATTACATTTTTATGATCATCTGGGACATACTGTATATATAATCTATACATAGGAATTAGGTAATTTGTATCTAGTGTAAGCATTGCTGTAAGATATAAAAAAAAAAAAGTGATGGGTATCATATGAAATTAGCCCAAACAATTTAAATAGTTCACCACGCCACTGCTGTATTTTATTAAAATATTTCCTATTAATTGATAAGTAATAAATTAATAAATAAATAAAAACTGAAAACAAACCTGGCATGCAATTTTGGCCAAAAAATTGAAAACAACTCCAAAGTCATTTTTACTTATGGGTTTATCTTTATCAGTGTCATCTGATTGTAATGACATTGAAGGTTCAAGTTTAATTTTTTTAACTACTTCCACAGAGTTCTAAAACATAAAATATTTAGCTAATACAACTAAAAAAAAAGCTGTAATTTAATTTCTTCATATAATTTAAGGAAAAATAATTAGAAGAGAAAAATATAAGAATTGGAAAAATCAATGTCATTTAGTAGAGTAAAATTGAATTAGGATGATTATGTACATGAAATGAAAGTGTACTATAAATCTAAACACTGTTCTAAAATTGGTAATAACACAATAAAAGTTTAAATACCATTTGTTAAGCATCATATTAAAAATAAAAAGGATTTAAAAAAAACAAAATAAAAAATAAATTATTTAAAATGTTTGCATTGAGTTATCCAAAATTAAAATATCAACATATCATAATATGTTGGACCAATTTTGTTCAACACATATAGTATGTAATAAAAATTAACAAATTATATTCAAATAGCCTAACCAAAGTTACATGTTTAATTAATTTTATTATATTTTTCTGATAATTTTTAATTCTCCAACCCCAAACAGATGAGATAAAAGGTGAAACAAAAATAGAAGAAGTATGTGTTCTTAATATATTAAGTAATAATAATAATACATAATATGAGATTGTTTATGTATATCTTATATATTGGTGTATTTTAATACTGAATAGGATAAATGTACAATACAAATTCTATTAAAATATGCTACATTATCAATATTGAAACTGGTGACCACAGTAAAGAGTTATAAGATATAGACAAATAAGGACTAACAGGAGTATAAGGTAATCTACAAGGTGATTTTTTTTATCATGAACCAGCAAATATCTCAGAGGATTTTAAGTGAATTTTTTTTATGTTTTTTTTTTTTTTAATCTTTATGGAATTTAAAACCATTTTTAAAATAAAGCTTAAACAATTCCATAAAGAGTAAAAAAAAAAACAGAAATCAAATTCACTCAAAATTCTCCGAGATATTTGCTGGTTCATGATAACAAATCACCCTGTATACATATGAGTAGAAAACTAAAAGTAAAAAGAAAGATTAGATAACATCCATTAGTAATTTATTGTTGTTATATACCTCTGCTATATTTTCATTTTTAATTCGTTGCAGTTCCCATTTAATAATAACTTCAGCCATTTCTACAGCTAATTTTTTATGTTCAAATGTAGCAGATGACATAAAACCTAATCTTTGCATTGCATTCAACATATGTTGAATAAGTCTATGTCTAATCGGATAATATACCTACAAAAAAAGAAATTTGTAAAACTTTAATCAATTTTAGCTATTATCACACATAATTAATCCTTAGCATAGAAATAGCACATTGTTTTATATTCATATAATTTATATTATATCCCAAACATAAACAATTTTAAGATTAATGTATTAAAATTATTATTAATAATAATAAATAAAAAATTACATTGTAATGTCTGACTACCAAGTGTAGTACATGAAATAATTGTTGCATTAAATGTGCTTCTTCAACAATGATTTTCTTTGTACATTGGCATAACAGTTTATTTCCATTGTTCATTCGAATAGCCAATGCTGGTGTTATTAAATCCAATGCTTGTCTAACTACATTTCTTACTTCAACATGATATGCTTTTAGTAATTCATGGAAAACTATAAAATTACAATTGTATTAAAATGACTAAATACATATAATAATAATGTAGAAATAATCTATTATATTTCCAAATTAATAAACTATAGTTATAATTATACCTTGTAAAATTATTCGACTATTAACATGGTATGAAGCAACTATGTATGAGAGTAATAAATGTCCACTGTATCGAGCAGTTGGATCAACACAGGATTTATCCAATAAACATGGCCAAGCATAGCTCATTACTCGTTTTAAATTTTCACAGAGCCCATCTGGACTAAATGCACTATCTTTATTAATAGGGAAATCATCGACTAGCATACATCCAAGTTGTAATAGATGTATACGAATGCTATCTTCACCAATTCCTGGTGGTACTTCATGTACAATTAACTAAAAAAATAAATTATTTAAAGATCATAAAATTAAAATATTTTAACAATATTACTTACCTGATATATATATGATGTAACTATATTGCCAGTAGAATCTGAAGGAATTGATGTACCATGGATTAAAACTTGTTGTTCATTTTTATCATAACTTGCCGAAACACAAGGTAGTATTATATACTGCAAGATTTTAGACTTAAAATGATTACTCATATTATTATCTTGAAATATGTCCACAAAACGAAAGAATGCTAAACGTTTCCATTGAGGAGAAAACGATTTTGCAACAGTATCTTCCAAATAGATACGCAAAAACTAAAAATATAAACGGAATATTAGTTAATGAAAATGAAAATAAAATAATAAATAGGCCAAAATTATGTGAAAGCAAGTATTAAATATTGCAGGCTCATAACATATTATGATAGATTGATAGATATGATTTGTGAATGTATAATATAATGAGATTAGATGGATAAAGGATAAAAGAATGAGTTCTTATGGCACAGGCTTTTTAATAGAAATTTGAAAAAAATTCAGAAGAAATCTAATGTTTAGTTTAATAGTCAATACAGGTAGAAATAATTTATCTATGTATTAATAAATAATAATTTGTAAGCAAAAAGTAGTTTTTATTGTAACTTACCTGAAAATCGGATATGAATCTAAAACAGAATGCTTTTATCAAATGGAAGAGTAAATCTACTTGATTTGGATTATGAATGAAATACTGAAGTAATATTTTTGCTAATATTTTTGGTTCATTCCAATAAGAAAATTCAAGATATCCAGGATTCAAAAAATATTCCTTCAACAATTATATAATTAATATTTGAAAATTATTTTGATAATATTTTTCAATTTTACTTGATAGCTATCAGAAGCCCATAATTCTGACAAAGTTATAATTAAATCTGTTTGATTAGATATCCATTTTTTATCTAATCGTACAATAGCGTAAATGACTCTTACAGCTTCATATTCAATTGCTTTGGTAGAATCTAAAATAAAAATTTTTCTTGATAAGTAATGATTAATAATTACCATTACAATAAGAAAAATTAATAATATAAATTTGTTACCTGCATGAGAAGATGTAATTAATTCATTAAGTCTACGACCACTACCTTGAAGAGCTTCACGTATTGTTTGACATTTGTCATTGGCAATCATCATATGTAAATATTTAATCCAAATAGGTTCCTAGTATAATTCATTATTAAAATAAGATATTATTAAAAGCTTAATAAATAACTTATATCATGGAATAAATAAATTACTAACCTTAATATGATTATCTTGTAAAAATAGTTGTACAATTTGAGTTGGATATTTAAGTAAACATCCTAAAAGTGGTGCGTGAAATGGAGATAATATGCTTACTTGGAGACTTTTTTCACTATCCAAAACCAGTCTACATAATGATTCAATATGCCTATAATTGGCTACAGGTAATTGCTTATACATTTCAATAATAATTACCATTATTGATTCGTAATTTCCAGTCTTTGAAATTCCTATTTTTACAGGTAAAGTACATTAGTTCAAGTTTAATATACACATATTATAAAATAATAGATTTGAGAATTATATTTATTTTATAAAAAATGAAGTAAAGTGTAATATAAGTTTAAAAAAATGTTGAAATGTTTAAAAATAAAAAATGTATTAATGTTATTGAATTAAAAATATAACAAATAATTACAATTTATTACAAATTATTTAATTTCCACAATTACTCAATGATCCAGTTTTTTATTGGCTATACAAATTAAATAAATCTATAGCGTTACATATTAAACACTTGTAGGCCAAACCAATCATAAACTGTTCTCAAGAACTACATGACCATCATTAGAGCAGAATGAAAAATTTTTAATGTACTGTTCACATCGGGGAAGGAGGTTGACTAAATAACACTAACTGAACCAATTATAAATTTAACAAATTTGTCAATATACCAGGAGGTACTGATGCTATTGTTGTTTGTTTACTGTTTATTTGGCTCCCCTTATGGTTCAGAAGTACTTTGCAACAATTACATACAAGCCAAAAATTTTAATAACACAAACAGTGTATAGTTGGTTTAGCTTGTAAGTGTATTAATATTGGTATGGTAGGATTGGTTTACAAATGGCAGTGTGTAAATATTAAGACATTTAGCTGATCTATTGTGGTAACCATATGTAAAAACTTAAGAGATATTTAAATTTAAAAGATTATTTTATTTATTTAAAAGAAAAGATGCATTACTTTAATAAAAGAAAAATTTAAGATTTTATACCTTTTTTCATTTGGATGAGAACTTCAAACATTTTTTTCATAATTTCCATCAAATGAGTGCAAAACATATCACTAAAACTTGTAGGGAAAAGTTGAACTAAATACCATAAACGTCGTGTACCACTTAAGGTTAAGTTTCTATAATCACCTAAATCACCTAATTGTTTTTTCATCAATTCGTGTACCTATAATTTAATATTTTTTTAATAATAAACATACAATCAGTTATTTTCTACTAATAATGCCCTTATTACAACTTGTTTTCAGAAATAAGTGTAGTAGAACAAACAATACAATATTATATTCAACTACTTTTTAAACTATTAAACTAAAATAAATGCATCATGCAATTTAGTTCATAAACATTTTTTTCAATAAAAGTAAAACAATTAAGAATGGATAAGATTTAGCAATTTTTTTCACTTGAGTTAGATTAAATTTCTATCTAATAAATTTGATGTAAATTTAGATGGTTTGTATTTTTTTGAGGACGGATTTATAAATTATCTTTTAGAAAATGTCAAAATAACTTTAAAACTCACCATTTAATATTTTTCTAATAACTATAAAACAAATTTAACCTTCATTTAGTCGTGCGGTTTTTCTTTCATATTTGGTCTTTGAGTAAAAATTTTCCAAATTATATGTTTTTGACTGGTTCATATCTACATAATAATGAAGATCTCTTACTAGTTTAAGTAAGAGATTTTCATTTCCATTAACAAACACAGCACCTCCAAATGCTTCATTACTTTTATTTGAACATTTTTTTATATGAAATTTATTCATTTATTATATGAAAAAAAAAAAAATGATTTATTCACTATATGTGAATTAAATATTTTTATTAACTGTGGGGAATGATTCAGGCTTACCGATATCTTAAAACAAATTTGAATCACTGTTAAAGCCATATAAACATTTAAACAATAACTATATAACAAAATATTAAGTGGGCAAAATGCAAATCTTAGGAAATGGTTTACCCCGTACAAATAATTGAAGGTTAAACATTTTTTTTATATACAGATAATATGGGTTCTTTTAAATATCTGTTATTTTTAACTACATGCTATTAGTTAAAACAATTTAATGATGTTAGATAGTGTAACTTTATAATTACCATTGGCATATCAATTTGAGAAGTAGAAACAAATTTTCTTAAACACTGAAATGCTGTTTCTTGTAAATCTGGATTATTTTTATCTAAAGCACCATACAGAGCATGAAATATTCTACTTTTTACTTCTGGTTGAGGAATATAATAACAAGCAGCAAGAGCTCTCATTCCAGCTTGACGTAATAATAGCATTTGACCTGGATTCATTGTTTTATATCCTGGTAACTTAGACATGGCAGAATCACTGGCTTCACAAAGATTCGATACTTCATGATAGAACAAATTGTGTTCTTTTATGTTCAAATCTATGTACAAAAATATAATTAATAAAAATAAGTGTGATAAAAAATAATGATGATGTAACATTTTAGATCCGCTTGTTTCTGAAATTGTCAAAATGTTGCGAAAAAATAATAAATCAATGATAAAAGAATCACCCTGTATGTATACTTTAGATTCTGAGTGGAGCAAAGAAGCTTAGTTTTACAAAAATGGTTTTTTTTTTAATTATTTGTGCGCAATTTTTCAACTAGATTGGTTCAACTAGAACCAATCGGCGTGAGGAGGAACGTTAGAGAAATCATTTTTCGATTTTCTCAAGTTTTTTCAACAAATTTAAAAAACCTGGATAAACTTAGGAAAATCAATACAACATTAAACAAATATTATTTAAGAAAATATATAGAGCCCATTTAATTATTTTACTATAAAATGACATATATATTGTTGACAAAGCGTCACTATCAACTGAAATCTGCTCAGAATCGTTTTTTCGTAAGCAATGGTTTATTGTTGATTACAGGTGTACATTAAATTATCTATAACAATGGCTGCACCCAACCTTATTATCCTAGAACGTCTTTTTAATAACTGAAGTAATTATTAATCAAATATTGAAAATAGTTTTAAGAAAATTATTATGAACATAGGTTTATGTGACATATAAACCTCTTCTTTAATGTAATAATTGACACTTTTATAATCATGGTTAATCTATTAATTTACCAAGTGAATAAAATCAATAGTTACCTATTGTAAATAGTCGAGGTAGTAAGGAGGTGCAAAATGTATTTCCTTCCATCATTCCGATTTGAGCTTTAAATCCCTGATGCCGTAATAAATGCTTTCTTAGGGGTATTATTTCTGATAACCCTTCTTTATGAGGTTCCATTACTTGAGTGACAGTTAAGCCTTGAGCTGATGCTATTACACCCAATAAATGAGTGGACTATAAATTAACAGTTAAAAAAATCATTGTTTAAATATAATAAGAAAATTCCAATGATAATAAAATAATTAATACATACATGATTTCTAAGTAAATCATTAGGACTTGTTACTTGACGAATTAATTCATATGTAACTTCATGTATAGCTTTTTTCTGCAATGCTTGAAGTTGAGGACCTGAGTTCTGATCTAATGGTGATGCAGCTTTACTCAACATATTTTCTAGATTCTTTTTTGCTTCATCTAATACTCCATTTGAAACCTAAAATAATTAATATTCAGAAAGGGTTTATAATTTTTAAAAATTAAGTAATTGTTTTTAAGACATACATCTCCCGACAAATCCATAATTACAAAAAGTTGTGCTTTAACAAATAAATATAAATGTTCAAACACCCATTGCAAGGACATGCTACTGTAAAAAAATTGTATGGCATAACATCCTCCAAATTTGGTATACCAAGCACGATCATAACATAAAGCACATAACTTATCAACCATGTATTCCATAAAAGGTAACTGGCAAGCCTATAATGTACAAACATTTAATTTAATTTCAAAGAATATGCATCAAGTATAAAAAATGTGATCAATACTCTTTCTTTGGATCCCATAATAATTGTAGCAGTATTTAGAATAATAGTCAGAGCCAGCCTTGCCGGTTTCAGAAGTTCTTTTTCTTGGTAACTCATAACAGTTGCCATTGAATCAATCAATACAAGCGGATCCATACCAAATGAACATCTTTCATTTTTTTCACTGTTTATTAATGGTCCGGCTTGTTGAGAAACAGCCACCATTGTATAGCGCATTACAACATCTAGTAATGTTCCAAGAGCTGTATCCCTTAGTTCTTTAACTGCTGCACTAACAAATATACCTACAACAAAAACCATTTAGAATACATTGTGAATTAATTTAATAATAATAAAAAACTGAGTTACCATTTAAAGCCATAACATAAGTGTTTCTTACGACTGGATCAGGATATTTGTATACTGTTGATTGAAAGTTTGATATTTTGCCTTCCTTGAAACTAAAATGATATATAATAATAATTTGAAAATTAACTTAACTATCAATTATTCAATGTGATCCAGTTAAGTGAGTACACTCATTATCTCGAAAATTATTAACTTTTTTAAAAATTTGTTTTATATAACATTTAAAAAACAAACAACTACAATTTTACATTTATATTATTTTTGGGGGTACAATATCTACTTTTAATTTTCAAATAGCGAACTATATTGAAAATTACATGAAATGGAATATTAGTTGAAACATTTTGGTGTAGAAATTTTTGATTTCTGTCAAACCATGGATGAAATATTCAACTTTTAAGTTAGGGTAGAAGGAGAGTAGTGATGTATTATTAAAATACCATGTTGCCATACAAATGATGTGTAAATGATAACCTAAATAGATCACCTTGTAATTTATATACCTACCTAGGATGAGAAAAAAACGTCATTAAAACTGATTTGTCATCATTTGATAACACAGATGCTGCTAGAAATGATTTAATTACTTCCCAACATTTTTTACGATAATATGGATCAGTTGAAGACTTAAGAGATTCTGCAGCAGTTTCAATAGCCTTGATAATTAAAATTTGTTAGTAATATGTAAATAATATAATACATTTATTTATAAAAAAAAATATACCATATCAACATTAAACGTTACTGGTTCAGTGTGTTCATTAAATTGAACAATAATAGCAGGTTTTTTTGACTGTCTATGCATTGAATAATCTAGTCGTTGGGGTTCAGTCATCATTTTACGATTACCACCTCCAAATTTTCCCAGGACCCTAAAAATAATATTTATACATAATAATTAGAGCATTTTTAAAAATATTCAAAATTCTTTAATAAGGTTAATGATTAAGAACTTGTTCATTTAAGTCAATTTGAAAAAAAACTTCCTCAGTATTATTTTTTTTTTTTTTTTGTTATAATGTTCAGTGTTTTTTAAGATTTTATTTCATTATGCAAATAAATAATTTTGTTAGTACATTACCTAAATGCTACAGGATAAACATTATCATTTGTGTTGTGCAATGATCGCCATAAAGCTTGCATTAAATCTGCCCTCACTGGTTGAATATGTTCATACAAAAAATCAGTTTGTAGATTATCGACACATAATTCCAAAGTTCTAAGACCCTATAGAATAATTATAAAATGATAATTGTACAATCATTATACTTTACTTGAAAATGTATTAACCTGAATAATTAAAGAAGGAGATCCATTTAAAGCTGAAACTAATGGATCCATAAGCAAAGGCAAATGAGGTAATAGTGAACTTAAGCGAACAGGAACTGTAAGACATAGTTCTACGAATAAATCTTTCATATCTTGTTTATGTAAACCAGATTGAAGGCTATTTAAACTTTTCAATAAATTTGGTAAAAGGGGTAAAAATTCTTGATATAAAACTCCGTGTGCACCACCTCCAATACAACGAAACAGAGGACGTAATAGTAAAAAGTAATAGTATGGATCTTTAGCAGTTAAAGCAAATTTCATTGAGCTGAAAATTAGTAACATTTATATCGATTAAATAACATTAATTGTTAAATACAATTTCATAAACTCACCTATTAACAATTTGATTTAAGTATGGTTGAAGTGTTTGTTCACTTTCAATAGAATATTGATTGACAGTATCAAATACTTGTTTAAAAAGTTTTAAATATAAATTACTTCGCTCAGCATTCCCATTACCCATATCTTCCATTTTGCTGAGTAAATGTTCTAATAATAATGTTGCAAATATGGAAGACGTATCAGATGTGTTCAGGCTATTATTCAAAAGTGATTCACTAATATACATTAAAGCATGGTTTTTTTCTACTCGTTCAACAAAATAAGCAATTTCAGTAGAAAATATTTCTTTGAATATACTTGGAGGTAATAAAGAAAACTAAAGTAAAAAAAAACAAAAAAACAAATTAAACATTACTCTTAAATTATTCATTTGAAAAGATACATACAATGCCACTCAAATGGTCCATTGCTTCTTTTTCTTCTTTTGATCGTGGTCTTATAACATTTGTATTATGATTATTTAATGGATTTACCATATGTACATCCATAGCTTGTAGAGACCATTTAACAAGACCTAAATAAATTTTGACAAGTTGTGGTTTTGCTGGTAGTTTTGAAGTACTTCCAGTATCATCTTCCTTATTAGTCTAAACAATTAAAATTATCATTTAACACAGTTTATTAATTTATTTTATCTGGCAATTTTAAATTATAATATAATATTTTAGAAAAAAATATACACAAAACATGTCATACTCCAACTATAGAGTATCTAACTTGAATAAGTGATATTTTAAATTGTTTATTTTAGTTCCTTAAAAATAAGAAAAATTAAAAAAACATAATAATATGATAATACAAGTAAATATTAAAATTTGAATTCTACACAATTTTTTGTTCTAAATGTAATATTTTAAAATTGATAATTAGTTTAATATAATACAAAAATTATGCTCCTAATGTACTAACTAGATATTTAGTACCAAAAACAACCTCTAAATTTGGTGATCGAAAAGTAAGATTTTTGATAATAAAGCAGGTTAGAAAACTAGTGTCTAATGGCACTAGAAAAATATCAAAAATCTATATTCAAATTTTTTTTTTTTTCTAGTGTTTCAACTTAAAATTTAGGTAAACATCTTTAAAATCATGGCATTTTATTATGCCATTTAAAATAAAATTCTAACATTATTTATTCTAATTCAAGTGAAAAAAATTGTTTAATACTAAAAATATTAAAAAATTTGAGACAAAAAAAAAAAACATTAATAATAGTAATTATTTTGTAGTTACAAATTAATACGACTTTCAATTTAAGTTTATCAAAACATGATTAAACAAATTTCTTTTAGACATGTTTTTCATTAACTATGATTTATTAATTCTTACAGATAAAAATTAAATCACTCTTTATATTCTACTTTCCTTCCTTCTCATCTAAAACAGTAGCCTATCCATGAGCAATATTTTGAAAGAATATCGTGCGACAATGCACAAAAAAATCCATAAAGGATTAACCTTTTTTGAATTTTAATTATTTAAAAAACAAAACAGTTCTTTAATTTTTGTTTAAAAACAAAATAACAATTAGGGTCCACATCAAGTAACATTTTAAGTCTATTGTACTTTTAATTTGTAAATCTTACATTCTAATTTTACCTTAGCCGTTGCAATACCCCAAGCAGCTGTTTTTATACCACAAATAATAACTTTGACCAATGTTCTACACTCTTGTAAAGAAAATAATGATATCGGGGATGGAGAAAAAACATATTTGGGTTTTTCTTGGAGTTTTTTTCCAACGGGACTATTGGTTAACTCTTTAGGTTCTTTTTTTACATTATCATCAATATTTTCACTTTCACCTATGTCCAGAATTTGTAATGATTCAGATGGCAATGTTTTACTGGCACTAAAATAGTAAATATTATTTTCTAAATAATATATAAGTAGATTTTACTTTTAAAAATATACCTTTTAGTAATTATAGCTGGTATATACAATTTAGAAACTACTTTGAGTTTCAATACATAAACTTGAAGAATACGTATTAAAAGATCAAAACTAACAGTTTCTCCTGGAGTGCATTTAAAATTTGAAACATCTTCACCATTTCTTTGTCTAATACAATCTACTAAGTTCATTAACATTTTACAGCACATTAACTGAATACTGAAACATTTATAATAATAATTTTTTTTTTTTTTTTGTTTTAATTATATTTGTCTATACGTTTTCTATCATACCTAGGACTTAAAGTATGATCATGAACATTGATTGAAAAAAGATTAATAGCTTTTACGATTGTTGAAAGTGATAAATGAATGCGGACATGATGAATGAGATCAGCAATAGTACTATAGGCTAATGGCTTTAAATTTTCAGTAGTAGTCCAGCCTCGACCAAGTAATGTATTTTCATCAAGTAATTTATCCATATATGGAATAAATTCTAAAAGAAATAGTATATTTCAGATTTATATTTTAATTGTTATCATTTAAAATATTTTACTTATTCGTAATTCTGTATTGAGAATATGTCTTGATGCAATTAAAAGTTCTTTTCTAAGATGTGTAACTTCCATAGGACACGACTCTAACATTCCAATCATTCCTTCAACTAATTGAGTTGAATGTACAGTTACTATGTCTGTAAATGGCTTAATAACAAACGCTAGATAGGATAATACTTTTATTTGGGCAGATACCAATTCAACCAATATTTCCTTGTTATAATTTGGATGCGATCTAAATAAATGTCATAAATTTAAACAAACTTAATAAAATAACTAATGAACAACCATTTATTGTTACTTGTAAAGCATTGAGGGTTGTAAAGGTATGATCCGTATAATAGTTGGAATATATTCACTAAGTTCTCTCTTAACATTATCTTTATACAATTGATAAATTAGGACAATTGCTATTGGTAATTCTTGCAATATTTTTAATGATGAAATACTTCGAGGAATAACATTATACTAAAACAAAAAAAAATATTTCCAATATGAAAAATAAAATAATAAATTTTACAAATAATTTTTAACTAACAAGGCAACTATACTATCAAATTGTGTTTCAAAAAAAATATATGTTGTTTTGAAGAATTACAAGTTGTTTTTATCTACATAAAACTATTTTTAACAAATATAAAAGGTAATACTTATAAAAGAATTTATTTATTTCAAAATATAAAATAATAAATTTACCGTCTCAACATTATTTTCAGAAGTTTCACAGTTAATAACAATTGTTGAATAGGTGTTATCTAGAATTTCACTTATGTCAACTGTAGACAAATCATTTATACGCAATTTTTGTTGAGTTCTCATACTAAATATTTTGTCCATGTTGTCAGGTATATCCCAATAAATTTTCTTAGTATGTTGAAGAAATTTACTTACCTAAAATAAAATAAATGTTTTTGGCGATAAAAAAAAAAAATCAAACAATTTAATGAAATGGTTGTTATAATAATATAAAAATATAAAACTTACTTCGGCATTATATGGAGGTCTAAAATTTTTTTGTAGCTCTACAATAATACGTATACACGAAATTCCATTTTGTTCATTATCAGTTTCAATCAGTTTCATACACAATGTTACAAGTCTATCAACATACGGTTTTAAACATTCATTGCATGGTAGTCTATATATCATTTCTAACACCAGTTTTCGTACTTGCTATAAACATGATTTTTATTACATAAATAAATGTTATTTCATAATATTGCCCAAAGCTATAAAGAAATTCTTAGGCAATGAGTGTGAAGATCAAGAGCTACAACGCATAATGAGCATTTTAAAAATTACAAATAAGACAAATATTTATGCATACTATAACTATCAAAAACAAAAATACAATAGAACTTTCTTCTACTACTATATTTTTTATTCATTAATAAGTTAATATTTAAGTTTTAAATGTATACAATTATTTTTATTAATGGTGTTTATTTAAACTTACAAATATATGATATTCAGCTATAAAATATGGCTCTCCTTCTACTAAAATACGAATAAAATGTTTAATCATATATTCCAAAAATGTAGGATACTGAGGAGAATTCACAATCATCTGAAATTAAAAAGAAATAAATATTAAGTGTTTTATAGTGATTAGACATATCTTGCAAAAGAAAACTTATATTAATTAACAATATAAGACAAATAAAAATCAAATAACCAGTTATACCTATAAGTTTAACAATTATAATCCAAAATAAAGGTTTATATTTTATTAAATAGTCAAAATCATAAATCTATTTCAAGGTTGCATTTGACTAGATACAATTGTAAATTGATATGGTTTTCAATATGTGGATAAAAAGAAATATTTTAGTTTTAGAACTTATTTGAATTTATGAATTTAAGAACATTGATAGATATAGCCGTTTTGGACATATTGATGTTCAAATACAATATTACAATATCTACATAATTATCACCAATATAAGAAAAGAAAACTACCGAGTGTCATTCACGTAATTTTTTAATAAGTTTTTAATGATAACCTGTTATACCCTTAACAATCAAATATTATTATTAATAAATATGAGTTGTGAGATTCATTAGCTTGCTGCTAATGCTTTCAGATGGATATTTATTTGTGAACAAATAGAAAATTATGAAGTTAAACAAATAAATAATTAAAAATAAATATCCAAAATAAGTACATTTTTTTTTTTTTAAATTAAATTAAAGGCAATATAAAATATTATAATATAATAAAAACAATAAATATCCATTGATATATATAAATATTTTCTTTTTTTTGAATGGATAAAAGTAGTTTTCTTTGTTACTTTCTTATTTAAATACAAGATTTATACAGATATTACCTCAAAGTTTTCATTTAAAGTTTGAACAATTTTCAATTTTTGTTCATCTTCAACATTTGGGTCTGTTAACAACGTAATATCAGATCGATATTTTTCCATTATTGTTATATGGTCCAACATTATTTCACTTTTAATATTTGCCATTTTAAAATTGTCTTAATTAAATAATTACTAATACTTTAATTATTTCACTAAAACAATAAGACATATATAATGAACATCATGAAATTAGCAAAACGATACTAACTTATAAATAATAACATTTTCTTTATTTTAGCATTATTAAATGTGGAAAACAATTATATTCATTATAAAGGACAATTCAATATTTATATTGATCATTTTATAAAGAACATAGAAGTATAATACATTTATACACATTACACATTTTTGAAGAAATCATTTTCAAACAAATTTATTATCAATTTTTAAATAGCGGAAAAATTTAAACATTAACCTCAATTTGTAATTTATATCAAAGAAAATATAAACAAAGAAGATTTATATTATCAGTAAAGTTGTGATAGTAAAGTATTGATTAATGGCCAGATTGTGGGTCGCGGTCTTAGATTTTGTTGTGGGTGTCACTCATAGCCGCCGCCCGCCAGCCGCTAATCAGGATTCTATGACTCTAAGGCCTAGTGGTCCTTGGTGGCAGTCGTTTGTTGACTGTATTGCTGTTTATTATATATGGATTATATTATTTGTATCCAATAAGTTGTAGTAATTAATAATTAATAATAATTAGTAATAATTATAATATTTAATTGTGTGTTAGATTATTATTTTTTCATAATAGTAACTTAATTGAAAATAATTTTTAAAAAAATCATTTGATTTATGTTAAACAAATTTAAATGTGTTCTATGCCAAATAAAATGTTGAAAAATATCGTACGTGTGTGGGAGTTGAACCGAATTAAACCTATAACTATAGTTAATCATCTATGTACTACAACCGATAACCTTGAAAAAGATGACGGTAAATCATTAACAAAGGAAAAAGCTCGCACGTTTGTAATGAATTTGACAATTGAAGAAAGAGACATTTTGGCGTGGTCCTTAAATCATCTAGAATCTGAAGAGACCAAAGCAGAATATCGAGGTTCAGTACCCAAAATTTGTATATTTTAGATCATAAATCTGACTGCATGGGTTCTTATAACACAATCAAATATTCCTATTTGATTTTTATTGTAAAATGAAACTAAAAATACACTTAAAACTAATTGTATTACTTACGTTTTATTTACTAAGTAACAAATAAGTTAAAACGAATATATGAAATGTAGTTAAAGTTAAAATAATTCATGTTTAGGCCAATTAGCAGGATTTAGATGGCGTTCAAAATTTGGACGTCCTAGCAAAGTTCCTGAACTAGGAGATGTAGATCCAACAGGCTCTTACTGCCCACTACCTGAAGAATGGATATTAAAAAAATATGGTACCTACAACATCTATTTAAATTAAATATACAGAATGATTCACTAAGCTTGCTCACCCCATTTTTTTCTGTTAAATTTTGAATAATATATTCAAATTCTGATTTTTGGATTTTTTAAGTGTAGGTAGTTAAAGTCTAGATTTCCAAATGATTAGATTTTTCTAAATGGGAACTTGTATTAAAAATGTCATAAATAGTTGGAAAATTACCTTAAATAAACCTATTGAAGTATTCAAAAATTTTAGCTTTAAGTATTAAAAATTCTAAGAATCAAAATTTGAATACATGTATGTAAAATTTGACAAAAAATAATAATTATGGGGTGAATACACTTAGTGAATCATTCTGAAAAAGCTATGAAATAGTATATACTATATTATACTGAATTTATTAATAACTAATTAGTATAAATTAAACAAATTAATAACATTTTAAAATTTAATATTTCTGTTATTATCCTTCCGTGTATAGAAGAAATTAATGGTAAGACAATTTATTATATAATTCATAATAACAATTGAATTTCTTAAGTACCTACCTAACTTCTCATATTTTCGTAAATTCTATTGTAAAATTTAAATTCTGTTTACTATTTTAATTTAGTGGAAACTGTACCTGAACCAACTAGAGCCCAGTTATTTAGAGGTATGCAATAAGTACCTATATGTTTTAAATGAGTAGTTTTTCAAAAAAATATTTGTTCATTAGTGGGATTACAAAATGCTATTCCTTTCATAATGTTTGGATTTTTGGACAATTCTGTGATGCTAATATGTGTATGTATATTTTTCTATTTTTATTTGTTAACATTGTGTAGCAAATTGTACATAATATTTATATATGTAAATAAATTCAGGGTGAATCAATAGAAAGAACAGTTGGTGCCGTAATTACAATATCAACGATGGCCGCAGCTGCCATTGGTAATACTTTCTCAGACATTCTTGGAATTGGTTCTTCATATTATGTTGAACAAATGGTTATCAAACTTGGCTTAAAACCTCCTAATCTAACACCTGTACAGTTGGATATGAATTGTAGTAGACGAGCTGCTAATTTAGTAAGATTCATTAAATCAAAATATCAAATTATAATAATATTACAGTGAATTTACTTATTTTAAAAACAAGATATGATTGTGAGAAATATTATTGTATAAATATACAACATTTTGTTTAAAAATTAAAATATCTTAAAAAGCCAAAGAGTGGTTCTCCTAAACGCAAATATGCCATGTTGTGCATTTATAAAATGGTGACAACAAATAAATGTGTGTTCTCTTAATAGACTTTATCTCATACATGCAATTTATTTTTAATTTCATAGAAATTGAATATAATTTGTACATGCATACACCATCGTTAATAAATTTTCATTAAAATATTCTTTAAAAATTCAAATTTTAGCATTAATTAATAAAGTATTCAGATTTTTCAATCTGTTATATTTTACTTTTTTTTTTTTTTTTTTTTTTGCAAAGACTTATCATTTTCAATAACTTTGGTGATAATTGGTAATTGCATATTAATTTCATTTATTGTTAGGGAAGAACACTTGGAGTAACTCTAGGTTGCTTTTTGGGCATGTTTCCATTGCTATTCAAAAAAGATGAAGAAGCTACAGATGACAAATCTGAAGATGAAGAAGAAAAATAAATTTATCTATTATTTAACTATTCATTCTGACTGATTTCTGGAAATGTATTGCATTAATAATGTATAAGTATTAATATTGCCTAGCTTACCAGTGGTGTATTTATAAGATTTCTGGTTTTCACTTCCCCTTAGGGGAGAAAAGAAATATACTTAATTATTTATTTTCTATATTTAGAATGTATTTCAAGTACAATACCCTATGGATAAAGTTTTGGAAATGCTAAAACCAAACCCACTGAATGTAGCAATTATATTCATCAATTCCAAATTTACCTCACATTAATATAAACCATTTTTAGTTTTATGTGCAATTTTAATTTAATACTTTATTTTTAATTATCAATTTATAAAATAACATTTTGTATTTTAAGTACTATAATTTTTAATAACTAATTAATTAGTCAATATATAACTTAGTTCATAGTACTTATTGTTTACCATTCATTTTTCATTGTTATTATACATTTGTGTTTTGTGTGAAATTTATAATTATAAGTATTGATTTCTTCAATAAGTGTACTTCTTTCTCCACCTACCCCATTAAGTCGGTTTTTTTTAGTTTGATAATTATGGTTAAAAAAAAAATTAAGAAATTAATTACATAATTAGTACATTCTATACAAACATATTAAACAAAATTATTATTATTATTAAAATTAAGATCTGAACTTGTAATTGAAACTTAAAAATGTCTACATATGTGGCTTGAATAAATAATGTGACATGTTATAAATTAAAATAATTAAAATATATTGGACATATTCAATAAGAAAAATTCTATCGAATAATTTTTAATTTAAAAATTTCAAACTATTGGAAAATTGTGCATGTTATATATTGACATTCCATCTTCTGAATTATACACTGTATAATTGTCTTCACATTTAATTTGTATACATGTAATGTATTTCATACAAAATTATATTTAATATTATGGAATATGGTGAATTACAAAAATTATTACTTAACAGAAAGTTGAGAAGTTTGTACAAAATTAATCAATAAATTTATACAAGATGAGTGATAATAGTTAAGCATATATTCAATGGAGTCTGTACCGCAATTACATTTGCATAAGTAACATGGTATGATTTCACTGGCTGAATCTAAATCCTAAACATTTTTTTTTTCATTAAAGGTATTTAAAGAAATATATGTTATATTATGAAATATGATTTGATATTAAATTTACCTCTGAATTATTAGTCGATTCATTGTTTAAATTATTCAAATATATTTCCAATTTAGACATTACATCAGTTAGATTATCTTCTAATGATGTAGAATAACAATGTTTAAGTATTCGTTTGCAAATTTGACTAATCAAATTTAGTTCTAAAACATTTATATTCAAATAATTTACTGGTTCATTTGATACTTAAAGTAGAGAGTACCTATATTATACATACGTGTTAAATATTTTATTCCTTTATCATGATTTATAACTTCCGCGAGTACTTTTTCATCAGATATACTTGAAAATGTAATAAAACCTTCTCGTAAGAATTCTAAACACTTATTTATGCATTGCACCTACAAAAATATAAAACTTCAAAAAATGTCTAATAGAAAAATATAATAATTTAAAATAGATATGGAACCTAAAATATTAATATTTTGACATTATTAGATAAAAATGTATTACAATGGTATTTATGTATTTAAAAAAAATATGTATTATAATATTTTAAATAATAAATGAAATATACTTGAACATTTTTCCAATCAACTTCAATTTCAGGCTTATTATTTGAAACTTTCCCAACACATAAGAAATCTCCGAATTCATCATCATAAACATCATAGTTTTGAAGATTCTGTTTATTACTTTCTATGGATGTTGTGTTCAATAAATCATTATTAGTATTTTCATTTATTAAACAATCAATATCAACAGCTTCTGCTGCTAAAGTACGAAATACTTCATATTTATCTTGAATTTCATTTTGATAACTAATCAAATTTGGTTGACTATCAAACAAATTTGAAGGAACGTTTTTTGAAGAGATAGCATTAAATGTTTGATCATCTTTTTCAATAATATTGGTAGAACTTTGTTTAAAAGATAATGCATCAAAAGCTGATGAGAAGTCTGTTAATTCACGTTTATTGAGACCATCATTGTTTGTAAACTGAGCACTTTGGAAATCAGAAAACTCGTCGTCAAATGCTTCAAAATTGTCATTAACTGGTGATAAGTCTAAAGATTTTGGTTCAGGATTTAATGGAGATATTATTCTAGACATTTGGTTTTTTGGTTCTATAAATGTTACTGCTAAAGGATCATAATCTTCGGATGGAATCATATTCAAATTTGGTTGTTGAAAGTTTTTGGTATAAATATTTTGTTCTAGCATAATATTTTTTGATACTGTACTACTTGTATTTGATTTATTTGTTATTTGTTGTTTATGTTCAATACTTGATTTTACCGACGAAGCATAATTTTTTTTCTCAATAAGAGTATAATTTAATTGAGGAATTATTGGTTTATGAATATGTTGAAGCAATGATACATTCGATACTGAATATCCATTCTAAAAAATAATTTTAAAATACATTTAAGTTATCTAGTTACCTATTAAATTTATTTTAAATTAATATTTTACAAAAAATAATATATTTAAAGGTTAAATACAATACTATTATTTTAAAGAAATTATATAATGTATACTTCCATTGTTTACTTATATGTATTACCTGAACTAGTGTAATCAAAGCCAAAATAATATATAGTTCCTGTTGAGATAATGATCCTTCCACGCCAATATTAGCCATGGACCACAGTCCGCCAAGAACATCAACTGGTAGACCACTAGTCATCAATAATTGTGAAACTAAATTAGTATCACATGTTCTATCACGTTTATCAGATTTCACATATTGCCAAATCTGCTCATATAATGGGTGAACAAAACCTGATTTTGGTATCATCCATTTGGGTAAATTCTAAAATATGTTCAAAATATATAGATAAATACTACAAAAATATAAATAAATTATCATTTCTTTCAAGATATCACCTCAAGCTAAGATTGATTCCTCTTTTTATATTTTTAAATTAATACTTATGTTATAACTTTAACATTAAAAAAATGTTTGAATTATAATTAGAAAGAACCTATTGTCCATTAAAATGTAGGTGCCAATCTAATTTTAGACAAGCAATATTAAAGAAGTTACTGTGAAAAATTTACTTAGACTATTTTAAATGACAATAACCTTCAATTTGTTGTACAAAACCAAGTTGGATAGATAACTGGAAAAAATAATTTAAAACTCATCAAACTTGTAAAATCATAACAGCAAACTTTATATCTCTATTACTTCTAAATTATTTATAAACTAAAAAACTATGATGTGCCATTATATTCAGCGTCAAAAAACACATCTTTCAAAAACAATTTTTTAGAAAATTTGAAGTTTTTAATTTTTTATACCATAACTTCTTATATGATTTTCGCAAAAAAAATTCAGTATAAATTTATACATTTTCTATCAGTAAACCATGATGTTTAAATTTAAAAAAAAAAATGAATTTTTATTTAGTATTAAAATAAAAAGAAGAGAAATTCTAACCTTATTATATTAAATGTAAATTTAAATTATTATTACCGAATAAAACTGGTGTTCATTATTAACAAAAAATGTGTCTTGTTGAGCAATTATGTTTTTAATCATAGAATCTGCATCAATATTCTAAAAACAAAATAATTAAAATAGAAAATATATGTATTTTTTTTTCTAATAATCATTAACAAATTATAATATAATTGCTAATTGATAAGTTATTATTGAACCTAACATCAAAATGAACAGTTACTAAATACATGATAATTTAGGGTTGCCATAATTTTATAAAGAAAATCTGGAACTAATAGAAAAAGTAGTAAATAAAATTAGACTAAAAATATAATTAAATTATATTACGAATAGATATCTATGTCTATAAACCTATAATCTATATGTATTTAAAAAAAATAACCTATTATTCAATAAACTAAAACAATACAACAAAAATTGTACTTATTTTTTTGTAGATTACAAATCTATTATAAAAAGAACACATTTATATTTTTTATTTTAATCATCAAAAAAACTGTTATAAAACGTACAAATAATAACTAACAGGTAAGTATTTAGATACTATAAAAGGTATTGTCATCATTGTTTTATCCCATATTTGAAAAAAATTGTATCGCTATCTCTCGATTACAGTTACGTACTATTCGAAATTAAATAATGTTAATTTTTCTTAAAACCGGGCCATATTAGCATACCAACATTTTTTTTCGGGATACCAGTACATTAAGTCAAAAACCAGATAGTTCTTGTTTTCCGGTACGTATGGCAACCCTATAATAATTGTATATTAAAAATATAACATAAAACCAATATGCTTTAATAATGTTAAGCCTTACTTTTTCATTAGAACTCTTTTTACTTGAAGACGCAAAACTCTTAGTGTTGTGAAATTTATCCATTCAGAAATTAAAATTTGAATGAGGTATACTACAATTTCTTTATTATTGTAATTCTTCAAAAAATAGATAAATACTATTTTAAATGAACAGCGTTGATAAATAGTTGTTACTTGTCAGAAATAATTATTTTTCTTTCAATGTGTTGTATTTTAAATATGAACTATGAATAGATAATATTATCTTAGTTAATTTTTTAAATTTTTAAATAAAAAAATTATAAGAATGATACCACGGAATAAATGATAATATTTAGTGATAGCACAGATTAATAATCATATGATTTGAGTTACCACACCACGTTCTTACATTATTATATTACTATACCAAATACATAACTATAGATAATAAAGATTAAAAACATTAAAGTCCAACTTTAATAACTGTTCTTTATACCAGTGCAAGTGCTGTTGATTTTATCTTTTATGTATACCGTACGGCGTATACGAGTCATTTGACTTGTCACTGTAGAAACTGTAATATTCTAAGACCGTATCGTAGATTGACGTAGTTTCATAATAATAAGCAATAACACTGATAACACATTATGGATATAATTTAATGATAATGATAAATAAAATGTTCCATGTAGGTAATGATTTAAAATCTACAAATACAGACTTCGTTAGTAATGTAAATCAATAACGATAGGTTATTTGGTTATTACTACATGTAATAATTATTTCATAGATCTATTTTAACACTTGTAGTTTTAAAAACCTGAAATTTAATTTATATTTATGTACTTATTTAAGACCTAACTCATTATTAATTATTATTATTATTATTATTATTTTTATACATTAGAGATTACATTACATGTGCCATGGATAGATATTCATGGAGACACACACGGTACACCTTTAGTTCCGCCTATGACATACTTATTTTTGTCATTTTTATTTTTGAGGTTGAAATGGTTATCTATTTTTAATTTCAAACGGATTAACGGAAATCAAAAATGTCAACACTAAAATTTATTTAAAGTACCTATATTACTCAATCATTTAATGGAATTTTTATTACAACTATTGTTGTTTGAAAATTAAAAGTAGATAACCGATTCACCTCCAAAAATAAAAGTGACAAAAAAAAAGTAGGTACTATGCAACATATATCCAAAAAATTTTTTTTAGTCCTTCAGTTATTTTTCGAAAAAATAAGTATTTCATGAAAAATTTGACTGTAATGTGAAATTTGAAAGACTGAATACGTAGTATACTGCTTATATAAGTATTCATCAAGTTTTGACCTCATGTGTAGACTTTTGCTTTTTACATTTCGAAAACTTGTTTTGTCAAACTATAGGTAATATAGCATTGATTATATTATATTGTATAATAAATGGCAATAGCAATAACACTTGTATAATATATTGTGATAAAGGGAAGAAAGTATGACAATTGATTGGGGTAAGAGCGGGGGTAGAAACGGGAATACACGTTAAATTTAATTTCTCTTATTGATTTCAGTTTTCAAAAGAATTTCTTAAAAATTTGCTTTTAAAAGATTACAAAAAAAGGAGGAAGATCGAATTGACACGGGTAACGCAGCGCTGGTCAAAATAGCTGTGTATAATATACTTAATGTATCTTCAATCGGCATACATTTCTAAATATAAAAAGCCAGATCTATCTGTAACGCTTTTTCTCTTATACTTAGAATGGGAATTGCAGCATTTAGGTTATTGGACTTTAAACATTAAAAACAAAATTTAAATAGAAACATTTTTTAGCTTTACCGTAGCTTTTTTCTAAAAAATCTCCATACATACAAATTATAGTCATGTTAGTTTTTGCATTCTTTAATTAGCATTAATTCTTTAAATTGTGTTATTTGTGATTTAAAGTCCAATTATTAGGTGCTCTTTAATTTGTGTTCTAAACAGTGGAAGGTATACGACGGTATACGCCGTCATTATTCTGGTCATTATTAATAAACACCGTAAACCTTCTGGTCATAGTCGTGTACGTAGATAACTTAATTATTTTGCTATAACATTCCGTGCGTTAGTAAGACTGAAATAATACATACGTGTGTGATATACCCGCGTACCACATATTTATTATTTAATTTTTTAATAGTTTTTTTTTTTATAAATGCATCGTTAAATTGTAAATTTTAAATTCAATGATCGTTGCTAGCTATGTTTGTTAGATATGTGCGATTGACGTATGATAAATTATTGTTAGCTGATCTTCAATAATTTTTTATAATCTATGTTTCAGTGCAATGTTTCTATATAATAACGATTGTTTCAATGTTAAAAACAATATAAAACTGTGGTTAAAATGTTTTGTTTTATTTAAATTTGCAGGTAAAAAAGTTTTTGCCATAAAGGTTAGCTACATTTGGATTTAACATTAGCCATTTTAATCCTTCAAATGACCGTTATTAACACTACGGACGGACTTAAAACTTTAGTTTATAACATTACTGAAAAATATATACATTCGATTTTCGGCATAAATTTAACCATAAGTTGTATATATTACCAATACAGCATCGTCTAGTAAAAATTAAACCTTGTCGCAAGCCAAGTTTTGCAATAATGACAGTTTCTATAAATAGGTACATTTCAAATTATGCCAGCCCAAACTGTATAGGTTTTTTTTAATAACTAGGATGTATATTTTAAACAATATTGTTCTATAATTACTATTTTGTTCTTAAAATAATTATGTCAATTAATAAAACGTACTAATGTTTTTATTCGAGAACCATTATCGAACAGACGATACTTATGATTTAATATCGAATATCTAAGTACGAGTGATAATATTACAGTATTTATCTATGATTAAAGATTATAGGATTAATTATATAATCGATGTAATAATAAATGTAATGGTGTACTTAATAGTATTATTCTTTTTTAATTATTTTTGTTTATATCATGACTTAATAGACCTATAGAATAGGACATTAAACTATCAAGCTACCGAAAATATCTAGGTGGACTGTGAAAAATAATACTTGTTTTCAATTGAATTTATGTCAATTTGAACTATTTTGTATAATTTTGGGGTAGTCGAAACCTAAAAATTCGGTTGGCCGATACATTTCCTATCCAGCACTGAACATAGGTAGTCAGGATTACCTAATAGAATAAATGTATTTAGTCATAGTTTATACCAGCATAATTACAAATTTATTTAGCGTATGATTAGCATAATTAAAAATAATCCGTAATATTAGGTAGTTCACGAGTTCGCTATAATCAATTGGTAACGACTTAGTATTTTTCTCGAATAGCCATCTCTAGGAACAAACAGTTTACCTATACAAATAAATATAATAAATAAAATAAAATATAATGCATAAATTGGTATTCACAAGTTTAGTAAATTTAGTTTTTTTAAGAACCTTCCCCTATACTTATTTATCGAAAAATATATTTAAAAACAAGGTATACCTATATCACCAATATTGGCAATATAAAATGTTATATTATACCTATTTTTAATTAGGTGTATTTAATATACTCGTATATTATATTGTAACAATTTAATAAAATAATAAAACAGTAAAAAACAAAAGAGTTGTTTTTAAAATGTATCATTTAATTAGATAAGAACCTATTAATTCTTGAAAAGGTTAAACAAACTGAAAAATTGTATTAATACATTTACATATTTAATTAAATAAATTCGAATAAACAGTGAATTCTTGAAATATGACTATATGGCAATTTTTTAATATAGTAAATACAATTCACGAAGAATTTTAACTATGTGTATTTAATTGACTCATCATTTTTGTCAGTATATAATTGTACAATCTATCTATCGGATTATTGACTGACCAAGTTTAAGTATTTACGTCTAGAAACTGTCCTAAGTATAATAAGGGAAATCTATTTATAAAACATTAGTTTATTATATACATATATTTTACACACATACGTAATAAATTATTAGTGATATTTATATATTTGGACGATGCGACGTAATTGTGCCCGACACCCGCATGGCTGCATTACGATGAATTGGGTGGTAGGCCGTTATAGCAAACCAGAGGTTCCCAACCTTTTTTAACTCATGGCACCCTTAATTGTTTTCTAAAAATCCGGAGGCATCCTATAGCCTATACTCGATATTGAATACGCAATAGTTATACAGTTTCGGTCTGGCCCAACCGGATACCCAGTAATCGGTAAATAGGGGACACGCCAATAGCAGAAATTATATTAATTATTTTTCAATTTATTTATGTAAAAAAAAAAAAAAAAAAAAAAAAAGACGGACTACATACTTCGTACGATGGGTGGGCCACTGTTGTTGATGAGAAGTTGGGAAGAAAAGATACATAGAGGAATTTAATGTTTATCTGTTCGCAACGATTAAAAATTGCTCACAAAAACCCATTCTGAGCGGAGCTTGTTTAATAATATTACTTTTCAACAATATATGTCGTATTATAGTAAAATAAATATTTATTGAAACAATTTGTATGGATCAGTAACTATAGATTAGTTTCACATAATTTTTTACTAAAACGATTTTCGTCAAAATTATATTTGATATTAAAATTCTTGTAAAGTTATTATTATTATTATAAAAAGTCTATGTCGTGTACTTTTTGTATAATGTGTTTTATACAGTTAATAAAGTTGAAAAAAAAATAGATTTTATTGAATAATTAACATATTGTTACAATTTGATTCAGAAAATTACCTAATCGTGATATATGTACATTAAAAACTAAATTAACTTGATCTATGTATGGTATACATGAGCATTGATGTGATATACACCTCTTTCAGAATTTTAACCGAATTTAGTAAATCAATACGACATGCTTAATACATCATTCATGTGGTTTCACTACAAAATGAAAAAATAAATATAAAACAATGTAGCTCGTTTATTAAATCTAATTAGTATGATTAACATTTCAAGGAGAGTACGAGCGCAGCTAGAAAATTGTTTTTTTAGTTGATAGTTATTGAATTTGACTTCTATATTTTGTTGTTTAGGGACCCATTGAAAATATTTTCTTGGGAGTCTAATCATGAGCTAGACCGACACTGTTAAATTTACATTTTGTTTCTTCGGTTTTATTTAGCTAAGTGCTTTAGTATAAACAAAAGTAGTAGGTATATGCACATATTATATTTTATAAAATAAATTATTACATTGAACATTAACTATATATATTTTATACTTAATTATTATTATATAATATTATTTGATTATCAAAATGAATTGAATATTAGATAACTTATGGAACTAATGTTATTAATGTGACACTTGGGCTTGATTTTTTTTTTTACACAGATCTTTTATTCGTGGTCAAATAATTGAAAGACATACTCTCATTTCTCAACACCCTAAATTTAAGTTCAAGATACCCTGGTTAGGAACTTCTGTAGTAGGCAGTGACGTATTTATGGTGGGGATATGGGGGATGGATTTCCTCGTTTGTCTTTTTTTTTTATGTATAAACACACATATACAATAGATCACACATTTTGTAATCTGTTATGTGATATACTAATCTACTTGAATATTTTTAACAGTTAAGTATATAATATTATCAACATATCAACATTAAGTCACTTTGTTATTCTGTGAGTATCATTACACAATAATAACAAAAAAATCAAAATGGGATTTTCAAAAAACAATATTAATTTAAACTGTTTATAAATATTGTGTGTGATCGTTTGTGATTATAGACTAGACTAAATAGGCTAGCTATGCTGTCTTGTTACTATGAAGTTAAGGTCAAGACAGATGAAGTTTTCTATTAGTTATATATAAAAACAGAAAAATTGAATTTATTTTTAAATTAATAAATTAGAATATCAGAATATGAATACTATTATGTTCAGTATTATTAAATCTCTACACTGGAGAAACTGAAGTCAAAAGCTTGCCAATTTGATTTTAATGATGAATGATTATTTTTGGGTGTGATAAATACATTCAGAGTATTTAAACATTTTTGGGAGACTATTGTTAAGTTTTAGAATGTCATTGCGCCCCTTAATACTTAATACTTCGAAAGTTTATGATGGCTTTAGGAAAAAGTTAGGATCTAAAAAAATATTATTTCAAATACCCCTCCACAATAAAATCTTATGTATGCCTCTAATAGTAGGCCATTAACTGATCAGAGTTTATGAACTATTGTCACTAGTGATGCGCACTACCGAGCGAAAACTATCCAACTACTCAAATTATCAATTTCCTCGATTGTTTTTAAAAAATTATCGACTATCGAAACTGTAATGATATTCTCACAGAATATATCTACGAGTATGCAACTTATTATTTATATTATTATTACAGTGTGACTAAAAGATTAAAATACGATCGAGTACTTGTTAATTGGTATTCTCTATTTAAAAAAGTTAATTATTTAATAAGCATAACGAAGCATTCACTATGCGAGAGGATTACTTATTAAATTCTTTACAAATAATAAAATAAAATATTTTAAAATGGGTTGAATATAACAGAAATTTACGACATCCGGTTCAACCCTCCGGGGGCACAGCCAAGCTGCTGCCACAGTTGAACTCTGAATATTCTTACAATTTTCATACAATCAAAAAAATACTCAGGATTTTTTTAACCATCGATAGTCAAAACTAGTCGGTTCCGCCCATCACTAATTGGAACGTCAAAACGAAAATCCCCTTAAAACCTACATAAATATTATTTCTATTATTATATTTATAGTATTTTAACATTAATTATTAAAACTATACAATTTTACGTATATTACCATTTTTTTTTTATTTTTATTTTATATGACCATCGGCAATTGTTAACTTTTATTGAAATTAATCCTACTAAAATCAGTGTATTATCATTGGTTATACATATTATAAATATTGATTATAAATTATATCATTTGTTATAATAAAGATTACCTATTTAATAAAATATCTTAGGGAGGGAAATGCCCTCCTAAGTCCCTCTCCTAATTACGTCCATGAGAAGGAGATAAAGGTGAGGTAATAACTAATAAGTTGTAAGATAGGTATAACAATAATAAACAATTACCAATATAATAATAAATTAATAAAAAGAAATAGAAAATTACAGAAATGTTACTTAACAGGAATTTCTATAACGAAGAACGATTTTCATTAGAAATATTTAATATTAGGAACAATAAAAATAGGAAATTCAAATTAGTTTCTTATTTTTTGTTTCATAATATTTTAAATAATACATGTGACAATAATTATTATTAAAATGAAATAAAATTAATGACTTTAGCTCTTTGGCATATTACCCCCCCTCTGGTTTCAAATCAAATTTGAAATTAACAAACACGGATTTTAATGATGTCATAATGAATTATAATGGTTTTTTTTTCTAAATTGAACATTAATTGTTTATAGTAGGTACTAATTAATTTGTACTCTTATAAATTATCTATAATAATACAATATGACCAATATAATAGTAAATTTTTAACATATATAAATAATAAAGGAATATATCTATTTTTGTCGTTTAGGTGCATCAGGTAGCTGAAAACAATTTGTATAAATTTATTGAACATACCTTTTCCTTAATATTTTTTACAATATATATCTTGCGACCAAAGCTAAATTTCAGTTACCTAATGAACTTTTCTTGTTAATAACGACCAACTAGTTGTCTCGCGCCTCGTGCGTGTTAAAATGTTTTATTTACTACTGTTACATATTTTATTTTCGCGAATTTCACTCTTGTCTAAAATTCATACCTATAGTCAACGGACATAATATACGTAGTTATTATGTTTAATTCAAATACTTCCGTACTATATTGTACCATTTTATATTTTACTTCTATATATCACTGAACTGAATACAGTATTTACTATTTTGTCCAATGTTACATCTATCTTATAGGAAATGATAATAATAAGCATAATAATGTATAGTATATGATATACTGCAGTCAAACTGTGTGAGCGGTGGCGACGGCGCGGCGGTTGCACTGCTTAATGCGCCAATACCCACTCCGCAGAGACGACAGTCGTTAATTTTGTTTAGGGATTACTACATGTGACTGATGGAATGTATTCCAAGAGTCCAAGACATTTATTTATATTCATTATTTTAAATATTTAATTTATTAACTATCAGTGAAATATTACAATAAACAATTATGTAGTCGCAGTGTTAAATATTTACGTGTTATAATTTATATTTACCTACCAATATAATATAAATAAGTGGACGGTTTTAGTGAGTACAAATTAAACGAGTAGGTAAGTGTATACCTGTATAATATGAATACCTACTAAATAATACAAACACAAAATACCTAGGCATTTGTATTTAAATTATTATTATTTTAATACAAAAATAAATATACATAACTATATTATGTATTATAAAACTATAGACTATAACAGATATTCAAGTCAAATTATATTAATATTTATAAATCAAACAAATTATTTATAAATTCACAATAATATATTTAAAATATGAATCGTACATAATATAGGTAGGCATCTTCATTCTTGTATCTTTAAATGTTTGGACTTACAATGCTGATCACACAAATTTTGATATTTAAATATACATTTTCTTTATGAAAATAACTAGTGAAAAATTATATATTAAATTAGTAGATAGGTACTTACAAATACTAGTGAGTTTTTCGTATGCTATTATTTAAATATATATCAAATAACATATACTATAGGTACTACCATACTATTTGAAACGTTTCATGTACGAGTCCAAGTAGAAAATTTTATTGATAATAGTATAGTATATTAATAGTATTAATATTTAATATGATCTTATGATTAAAAAAAATAACATTATGTAATATTCTACACAACTATATTTTATACTTTACAAATATTTATTTTATCATAAAAGGAAGTAAAAAAAGTCTAGTAGATATTCGATATGGTGTACTATACTGTATACGTATAGAATAGATAGTATATGATGTAGGCATATTATTATATTTTTCTTGTTTTGTTCCGTCCACTATGTAATAAATAATTTTTAATAATATATTATAATTTATAATACATATGCATTAGTTACTAGTTTTTAAAATATTTAAATGCTTTGTATATTATTGCCATTACAATATTATGAGTGTATAGTATACATAAGAACCTATACATTAATTTCAAATTACCTAGCTTTATCTGCACGCATAATAATAGAAATTATATTTTTTAAATAAAAATTTTAAAAAAAAAACAAAAGTTGTTTTAAAAATTAGTACTCTAAAATATAACTTTAAAATAAATATAAACAAATTTAAAATATATAATATGGACTGTGCACATATAAAAATAAAATACAAATTATATGAAAAAACTTGGCCTGGAGTATTGTATAGGTTGTATGTATATTTACGACCGAGTTCGGTTTCTTTTTAAAATTAATACTTTAACTTTTATAAATTATAATGCATGACTGTGTACACACAGTCATGTGATCACTGATCAATATATTCTAAGGGTATTGATCAGTTGCCCTCAGTGGATGCTATCGGCATTAATAAATATACCAGTTATCTCCAACTATATATACCAGTTACCTTCCACCAAATGTATCACATAAAATAGCGCATATGCCTATAATAGTACAAAGAGGGGAATTTTATTGAAATTTCATATGATAAAATGTATAGTAACATTAATTATATAATTTATTATAAATAAATCGCATTATCGAAATACGCGTGTAATTGTTGTCATATATTTTTGATTATTTATTAATAATTTAATAATTATCAATGAACTAAATAAATAAATAAAAATAAATAATTTATTTAATAGTAATAGTAGATAATAATTTAGGTAGGTACATTTTAGTATACAACAACCAATAAAGATTTTATTGAATACCTGTTTAATTTACTTAACAACATTTTCATTATATGTGATTTTTATTTTGCCAAAATATAGTGTGTGCCAATTATCATGGCTAAATGTACACTCCTACAAAAATGACCTTTTTACCTGTTTTTAAAACATGTGTAAACTTCTACATAGTCCCTTTTTACTTACCAAAAGATTGTGTAATCTCCTACACAGGCCTTTTTACATTTTAGATTCTGAGTGTAGCGAGGAATGTAGATTGGTTTTAAAATGATGTTTATTTGAGATAATTGCATTTAAGTGGAAAAAAACGTACGATTTTACGATTTCATTATTTTAAGTTGACACGCACAATGCTTTATATTAGAAATAGTTCTCAAATGGAAAAATGATAAAAGATATTTGTTGCTGCATTTTGGATAAATATTCGTAGAGACTTACGAATGTATAATAATAAAATGCAAAATAAAATTTAATAAACATACTAATATAAGGAAATCATATCAGAAATTATCGAACATTTCAAAAACGTATACGTGATTTCCATAAATTGAAAATACAACAATCTTTATCTTATTGTAGTAATTCAAAAATAAGGCGGGAGGTGCCTAGTTATGTAAATTCGATTCACACGTATAAATTAATTATAAATTTGTTTACATTTCTTCTTCAGGCGGCAAATTGATCTGTTGAATTTGATATAGGTGATCGTAGTAAATAAAAAGATTTTTAATATAACAACTGTTTCTTTTTTATTAATTTTTTTTAAAAATATAAAACACTGTTCTAGGTTCCCGTGCTTTTGTAAGAATCTCTGCGTAGTCTTTTACACTCGCTTGTGATCATCTGTCCAAAAGCAACGGGAACAATACATNAATAATTAATGGCTACAAATTAATATAAATATTTTACAATATTGACTATATAATTTATTTTAATTATATATGATATCTTAAGTATTATCTCCTTACGATGAGTAAATATCGCACTAAAATATATGTTATTTGATAAGAAAAAAGGAATGTCATCGGATGTAAATGTTTAACTATAATTTCCGTTGTTAATTGTTTGACTTATAATATTTTATTTTACATAATGTATGATAGCTTACATAGCATATCATTACATTATTTTTATAGTTTTTGACTGATTTTTACTTTTTACAGCTATCTAGTGTAGGAGTTAACAATATGTCATTGTAGAAGATGACCTACTTTTGTAGGAGTTTACCATCCCCAATTATTATTATCATAGAAAATATTATTTTTATTATAATATTTTGGGGGCAACTGGTACATGGCCTATTATAATCAATACAATTTCATTATCTCTGGAAAGTAAATAATAACTTTTTTATAAAATTTAAAATACACACAATTTTCAAATTTTACGTTGCCCTATTGTTAGTTGGGGAAACCACTACCAAAGTTTGATAAATGATCCATACATACATGAAGTTTAAGTTTAGACAAATTTTGGTATTGATATTTTTAATTTCCATTTTAAACTTGAAAATGTAATTATAAATATACAACCATTTTCAATATTATACATTTATAGTCATATATCAGATTGACAAAAAAAGTAAGTAAAAATAGTAAAAACGTTAAAAATAAACTGTAAATATCAATGAATATGAATTGTTTCAATACGTAATTGTACTTATTTATGTTAGTATTTTACAAAATACTAACATAAACAATGAATATATTGTTATTATTTATAATTAAAGTCAAATTGGCATTTTTATTTTTTCAAGATATCTAAATTATGATTGACAAAAAATATTCAACGAAGTGTACAAATGATTTAATCAAAATAATTGTTTACGTGGTTTTTATGACAACACTGTTTCTGTTTTATTGTAATAAAAAAAATGATGAAATTGAAAATTCGATGAATTATTACCATTTATATAATAACGAAGCCGTGTCATCTACCGAAATTGGTAATATAAATGTGTAAATAATTTAATATTCATATTTGTAATTATTAATTATACCTATTCATCATTAACTTATCATAATTATATTATACGAAAGGTATGTTGTATTCAATTAGTGATTAGGTTTTTCTTAAATTGAACGCATACCTACTTAATGCCAAAACCATAACTGGAGCAAATATTTAGGAGGGCTTTTTAATTAAACCATCTATTTATTACAAACATAATTAGCATTGTTCTAGAAAAAAATAAGCACTACCTATTGAGAAAAAATATTGGTGCAGTGGTTGAACTCTTAAAATAGCTTCTCAGACAGGGCATTGCCTGATGATAATATATATTAAAACAATTGTATCAGGTATGTGGTGTATTAGGTACCTACCTATAAACACTGTTTGTTATTTTAAATTCTGAGCATAGTGAATAATGCGTTAGATTTACTATAATGTTTATTTTTTTTTTATCTATGAACAACTTTTTTACCAGCAATTTTGCTCTTATTTTCAATGATACTATTTTTTCTGAAAGGAAATCTGACTGGGGTGGTACTTTAAAGAGGTAATTTTTGATTTTCGCAGAAGTTTTCCCATTAAATGGGAAAAAACATAGGAAAACGGGAAAATATAATAATATACAATATTAAACAAATATTATTAAAGAAAATATCTAATATATAGGCAATTATTTCACCATAATATAATAACATATATATTGTTGACAAAGCTATAATATAATCGAATTCCGCTCAGAATCCTTTTTCGTTAGCAATGGTTAATCGTTGCGTACAGACATACATTAAATTTCCCTTCCTATAACTTCCCAGGGCCTATTTTTTGTAATATTTCGTATTACACACTTTTTCGTTTAGACCATAAATTCATGGTCACAAAATAAAATTTTCTCACATACTCTTAAATATAGTTACTTCATTAATTTTTCTACCATTTATAGTTATTTACAATTTTGTTTAAACAAATATTTCCAGATTTAAACTTTATCAAGAAGAAATGTTTGGGTAATGTAAGAAATAAACTTAAAAAAAAAATATTACATAAAATCAAATAGTTTGTAATTTATTTATACATTGTTCTTTCAACAAATTTATTTAAATCCTCTGAGTTTAATTCCTTATTATTACTAAAAAGCGCCCAAAAGAAAAAAATTTGAAATATACAATATACAAGTAGGATTAGATTCCTTACATATGATTAGTATTTTATGTTTGAATCTGTTATTTTTTTTTAATTTTTCAAAAATATTAATACTAGAATTTCCTAAAATTATTAGTATATATTATTTGTGCCCGTACGAATTATGATTTCTAGGATTAATCTAACGTAGATATCTGAAATCGCTATTAATACGAGGTTCATTATATGTTGTATTTAGAAGTCAAAGTAAAAAAAAAAATTAAGTACAATTCAGCGGTTTTTTTTTTTTTTATAAGAGCTTTAAGATCAGATATTGACAAAAGTCATAAATCTTATGGCATTTCAAAACATGTAAAACCGAACTTTTCTCAAAACTGTATTCGTTATCAATGGTTTACCGATCATCATTGCTTACAGATATAAATTAAATAACTTTTTGTTAAATTAATTTAATATAAAAAAAACTTCATTGAAGTTGTATTCATATTAATCCAATAATTAATATTAAAGTATAGTTAACACAAAAATATTATGCAAACGGGGCGTGAACTCATACAATGGTTTGAAAGGGGGCGTGGATCTCAAAAGGTTGAGAACCCATAATCTATAACACCATTGATATCCACGTTGATATCGCGATGAATATATTTAAGTAAAGCTAAATCATTAGTCACGAAAAATTTCTTAAATATGTTTTCAAACGACGGAGTGTTTAAAACTATCGTTCTCCTGTGGTAGTAGACATTAGAAATGTTATGAATATTTGAAAAAGTTTAGATATTACTGATTAAACATCTGGACTAGTTTGGAATTAAATTTCAATTGTATTTTTGTTCTTGAGTTCGGAAGATGTTAAATTTGAATATTTAGTGGACCACGAATCTAATTCTCCGTTTAATATATGATCATTTAAATTTGAGTTCTTGCATTTATCAATTATATTCTGATATATTTCTACTAATTTTTGGAATTTACCTTTAATAACTTGAGATATTTTCATTTCTATCTCAGGTAAAATAAAATCAAAATTATTCAAAACAATCAAGTGTGATATAAATCTTTCGTTCAATTGGTCTAAACAATTATCTATAAAAGGTATGAATACTTAAAAAAATATTCCGGATCATCTGATTTAGATTGACGTGACAAACTAACTGTAGTATCAAATTTTTCTCAGACAGTTATTACGGATAAAAATAATTATTGAAACTCTACATTACAATTTTCTCTAATATCCTGAATATTATTTTGAACATTAGCAGCTTCTGATGCAGTTTTTAAATCAAGATTTACTGTTTGAAGATATCGGCTAAATGGAAAACTTATGGAAAGTATTTTCAAAGTATTTTTTTTTTATTTCGAAGAAATTTCCGAGGAGGGGGGGGGGTTACAACCACTAACTCCCACTGGATACGCCACTGCATATAAAAAAAATAATATATACGAGTACCTACTATTGAAAAAATATATACTCTTATATTATATTATGCTATGTTTATAGATTCAAAAGTATTACCAAAAATTGATGATAATGTGAAGGAAGGGTATGTGGTGTGGAATGAAAACTGTCAAATACCCAACATAAGTGCTTATGACGATTCAGTGAAAAATGTATTTAAAACAAGTAGTCCTCCAAAATGCTTTTCAAAATCACCGTTAACAAGCGTAATACTAGATGAAGATACATGGTCGTACACCTTTAAAATTAATCATGATTCAAACTCGAAAATGTCTTTATCGACTGTGAATTGTTGTTATTCATCAATTGTTAGAAATGAACTGAAATTCAAGAACAATGCAAATGATGACGATCGTTACAAGTAATTAAGTAATAAAGAAACATATCTGGTTCTTTGATAAAATATAATACAATTTAATTTAATTTAATCGAAAAAAAAATAGTACTAACATTTTATTCGCCCTAAAGTGTGAATTAATATTATTATTTACATTATTAAAATAGTCCTTATTGGAAAAATGTATTCGAAATACTATCATACATTGTTATATTCAGATTCGAATGACCAGGTTTTAGATTAGCGGATTACATATCGACAGTGCTTGATTTTGAATGGGGGATGCGGGGAGACTGATTACCTCAATTAATTTTGTGGATATTCTAGCGTACCCTACTACTTCTTTTTTAAAGGAGAACGCATAGGACAGGTTGTTATTGAGCTCACCTATTTTATAAAATTACTCAATTTAAATTGGTGTGTTTAATATCTGAATGGCTTACAAAATGTTCTAATGTTTACAAAATGTATTGATATCTCATATCTGATGCATGGAAACTGATAAGTAGCTATTAACGATAACCATTTATTATCTATAAATCCAGGTTATCAGTTACCAATGACCCAGTGGCGGATCCAGGTCAGAGATAAGGGCGATCGCTTCCCTCCTCCCCGTTTATTCATTAATATACTCTTCGCTGTATTATACTCTTACCTCGATTCATCATTGGCTCATCGTAAATACGTGCCTTTATGAATTTTCAAAATCGTCCCTCCCGCTGTCCTGGATCCACCCCTGCACTTACCTATTATAGTATTATCATTGCACGAATAATATGCTGTTATCTCGTTTAATCTATTGATCAACATTCTCATTTATAGAATCTTTTAAATGAAGATGTTAAAAATAAAAAATGAGTGTATAATACCTATGGTTATGTATATTTTAAATGTTGGTTTTAAATGACAAGTTATACCTAACAATTAATATATTATTCTGTTTTGCTATGATACGTGCTTAATAGTCTTGTGGTTAATGCTTCTTAGGGGACTTAAAAGGGGGTTTGGGAGCAAATCCCAAACGTAAGTAAAAGGTAATGCAAGAGATATTAAAATTCTATGGTCGCTATTTTCTTTAAAGTATCTAGAATAACTCTACTATTATACTATACTCCAAATTTTTGTGTAGGCCGTTTTATTGAAATATTGTCCTACTATGAGTCTTTAGAGTCTACATTTTGGCCACAAAAATGTGCTGATGATATATATATTTCATCTATCCAAAATCAGAATGAACACTGGTTATTTTCTTTATATTTATTTCTAATATTAAATTTGATCGTAATTTAATTGAATAATATATTTTAATAAAATTACATTTTATAAAAACATTAAAAACGGATGTTGCATATTTATTAGTGTACGTGTATCTAATAATTCTAATATATCGTTAATAGATACAGCATCTATCTAATTTATTTAGTTGATAAATATGGTTGTAATTTAAACAGTTATTCTTATTATACTTCAAAGCAAATAGGGTTAGGTAACTTAAATATAATTGTTTCTATATAATCTATATAGCCTACTCTATTCTTAAAAAAAGTATATGTATATTAAAAAAAGGTTGAAAAATTTAATAATCAGTATAATAATAATGTTAAAGATAATATACCTATGGATATCAAAAAATAAATATTAAAAAGCTACTATTTATTATCAGATATTGTGAAATATAATCGTACATAATCGTGCATAATCGTAAATAATTTGAATTAATTGAAATATTTTTTGCTTGGATGAGTTCTTAAGATGTATTCAAGAAATTCAAAGAATTATACTTGTATAGGTATTAGGTTCGTGCAGTTTAATACATTGTTAATAATAAATATTTATTATTTATAAACATACTATTAATATAACTGAAATAAAAAGTATTGATGGTTATAAGTAGTATTAATCGTATTAATAAGTACAATATGTTAGCAATTGTGCATAAAATAACACTTGTACATAAATTTGTAAACATATAAAATAATAGACCTTGAGAAAACATTATATTTCAATTTTTCAACATTAAATCTAATAAATTAATTTGGTAATTCCTCATTCATCATCAGTGGTATGTTTAGAGGACCCAAGGGGCCTGCTCCTCCGTGTTTTTTGTCCATAATAATACCTAATCGTATTATATATTGTATTATTATTAATTATATTTGTTTTTTTTAGTGCCACCACCCCCCTTTCATTGGGAGATTTCTAGCTACGTTACTATTTATCACCGATTTAATAATGACAATTGTATAATCACGATCTACGATTAATAATATTATAATATAATAATATATAATATGATTAAGCATAATTACCTATATATTATTATGTATACAAAATATATGTGACAAACGAAAATTGCAAAACTGAGATCATAATGTAGATAGCAAAAAATATTTTACTAAAACAAAATAGTTAAATATAAATATTATTATGATGCATACAAATTCAAATGATTTCAATAGTAATTTTTACTCGATAAACTCGATATTTATCCCTGGATCAACTAGAACAACGATTGTGATACGCGTACCACTAGTGGTACTTGGATAGCTCATAGGTGGTACGGAAAGGAAATTTTTTGATAAGTGAAAAAAAAAATGTATTAGTTATAATGCAGTTTATTAGTCCATAAATATTAATAAAAAATAATAGCCATACATATTTAATTTTACTTTTGTGTATTAAATGGTTATATAATTATGTAAATTTAACAATAAAAAGCTCCATACATGTAAAATAACGTACACATTTTATTTTTTGAGAAGTAAAAAGAAAAATTTGAATAATCTTATTAAGTGTTACGTAAAAAATGTCAAAATATGTTATCAATACGTGAATATGAAAAAGCTGAGAACCACTGAACTAGAACAAATAAGAACTAACGATTTCTCTTACCCATCTCAAATATCTGTAATATTTTTAGTTAAAATTAAACAATACTATAGAAGTATTAACGAACTCTGATAGTTTTTTTTAATTCGAAGATTAATTTATCCTCGTAGTTTATCTAATTTGATTCTTTTTCAATCCAACTTATTCTTTACATCTTTCTTCAACACCACATTTCTAGGGTCTCCAACATATCCTTTTCTTTATTTTTGTTGCATGTCTCAGTGTCTCATATATACCACATACGTACATAATCACACTCCATACATTAGTTTTTATTTATTCCCGATCCCGGGTAAGTAATCAATTAATTTAACCATCCAGTAAACGCTTTACGGTCTAAAAGAACAGTAGAATTTGATTCATTAGTTTTCACAAATTTGAAATACTAATTATAATAAATTAATACATTGACAAATTAAAATTAGAAACAATTCCGTACTGTTTTTCAATTCCCAACTGTACGAAGTTAAATTCATTACTTATTGAAATACGATCTAAAAGACGTGATATGTGTTATTATTATTATTATTAACACTATATAGCATTTTATACGGTGTGTATAAAACTACACAGTCAAAAACACCATATGCGTGAAAATTGATGACGCTTGTTGTCTTGAGTGGGAGAAGATATATATTATTAATTATTATGTTTTAATATGACAATAATTTAAGATACCTACCTACCTAGCAGCTGGCAACCTGCCTATTTTTGCTGTTAAGTAGGTTAGGGATGTACGCAGAAAAAAGTTTTGAGGGATATTTTTTAAAATCAGTTAATGAAAATTAGAAATTTTTTTTATAAATATATGAAAGATTAAGCTAGGTTAGGTAAAACTAAATACTTCGGGGGGTGTTTAAAGACCTACAAATCTCCCTGCGTACATTCCCGAAGTAGGTACTTATTTATTAGTATTTATTATCGGAGTATTGATTCCTTAAAAAGTTAAAACATCTATTTAGTTAAACTTGAGTGAATATTATCGAGGAATCTAAGTAGGTATTTCTGTTTTATTTTTATTTGACAAATTTAATTTATTATAATGTAATATGTAATAACCACTATATCAACTCTCAAGTACAAATGTCATATTAATAATTAAAACCACGTGTTTATTTATTAGTGTGATAAATTTATAATTATATCTTAATCGAAAACCGAACCTAACCTACCCTCAACACTTGATATAATACACCATTTTCATAAACTTTATAGTTATATTCACTACTGAAAGTATAGAATGTAAACAAATAATACATCCAGTTGGGTGTAGGTAGAGCATGAAATCGCGTACTAAATATATACGAGGTTCTTATTTTTTATAGAGTCGAACATAAATGCCATCCAATTAATGATTCTGATATAATTCCGAAATGGGTCGAATATATGATGGTGACATGTAAATTAAGATCAATAAACAATTATAAATCAAAGTCGACCGTTTATAAAGATATTCACGCAATGGTGATCGACAAAAGTCAGAGGCGAATTCAAAACGCAAATGCACCAGATAAACCCAGCGTACTGATCATATCCATCGATTCTTTGTCCCGTTTAAATCTCATACGATCTATGCCTGTGACATATCGTCTGTTGGAAACGCACGGATTTATGTCACTCGACGGATACACTAAAGTCGCTGATAATACGTTTCCCAATTTAGTGCCAATTTTAACGGGCATGACCGTTAGTCAACTGACGAAACGATGTTGGAAAAATTCCAAAGATGAAATTGACGGATGTCCGTTTTTGTGGAAAGATTTCAAAGAAAAGGGTATGTATTACACGTGCATTCATATTGTAATCCAACCTAACCTAACCTACACAAATAATATTATATGTATACATTATGAGAAATAATTGTATTCATTATTAGACAACAAATGATTCTCGTTATAATAATATTTGTGGTCCCCTATGAAACATATTATACGCTTGCCTTCGGAAAAACATTTCAACTGTATAATGTATACGTAAGGAGACGAATACGAAAATAACATTAAAACATTTAAATCTGGTTTGGTCGTTCTCATTATATTATTGTTTGAACTTTAAACATTTTCAATGATAGGAAATAAAAGGGCATTTTAATTGAAACGTCTATTGAACCAAATTTACGTAAAACGTGTTCCATGTAGGTTACGTTACAGTGTACATGGAAGACGAACCTAGCATGGGTACGTTCAATTTTGGCAAGTATGGGTTCCGAAACGCGCCGACAGATTACTATACGCGACCGTACATGCTGGCGGCTGAACAATTTTTACCGGTGATTAAGTTTGACGGCTTGAACTACTGCCTGGGACCGCGTTCTGCGCCGGATCGAGTTTACGATTACGCCGAGGATTTTGTCCGTCTGCACAAGCGGCATGGGTACTTTGCCGTATTTTGGCTGAACACCTTCAGCCACAATGATGTGAATATACCGCCGTCCATGGATCGGCGAACAGCCGAAACACTATTCAGATTGCTGGATGGCCGGCTGTTGAACAACACAGTCACCGTGGTACTCAGTGACCACGGGCTTCGGTTCGGCAAGATACGTGAGACGGATGTGGGGTGGCTTGAAGAACGGATGCCCGCATTTTACATGCGTTTACCTACCGGTTACGCGGCCGCTCATTCGGGCCATCGTGCAGCGCTGACCACCAACAAACACCGATTGACATCGCCGTTCGATTTTCACCTAACGCTCAAACAATTGTTGCTGGCCGACCACGGTGATGACCATCGCGGTTCTGTGGCCGACGGTTGTCCCACATGTCACAGCCTTTTCCGTCCGGCGGACGCCAACAGGTTGTTATAAAATGCACACATAGTATAAATATTATTGTGGATGTAGATGTTCTCATAGGGATCACAAAAAAAATTTATTTTAAATACTCGCAATAGTATGAAATTACCTATATTCTAATTTTATTACATACAAATATTGTCTAAAATTGTTTAACTGATATTCTGGGCTACAGATAACGCGACTTTTAACTGTTAACCTATTACAGGTACTTAATTTTAGTAGATATTTTTATTACAGTTTTATAAAAACGAATTATTATATTATAGAATAATATTTTTTATTAACTGCCTAACGTATAGAAAAACGGTAAAATACGTCGGTAGACAACTGCTTATATTAAAACATAAATTGAATTTCAAGGGCAATATTTTTATAACCTGCATCCTAATTATTGTGTTTACAACACGTTGCAGTGCATCTCATTGATTGTAAATAAACCTACGTACAGTACATAGGTAAATGAATTTTATTTAGTTAAAGTACTAAATAAAAAAAAATCCCCGGTTGTCCGTTGCTCTCCGTATCCATCTCCCGTGGCCCCCGTCTGTATCACATAATTTAACCGTTGTTGCCCAGTGATAATATTTAAAATTTATTAATTTTACTTCTTGCCGTGGCGATCAAATTAATTAATTATATTACCTAACTTTTTTTTTTTATTCGTGTCACAAAGACAATTCATAATAAATTAACAAACATTTTCATAGCATGCACCGCATACAATTCTGCGTGAATAACTTTATCTGTACAACACAATTGTTGGATGTTTATTATTATAATCCAAAATTAAAATTCGGTAATTGAAATCGATTTTTGGACATAGGAAAAACAATGTTAATTCCCTCACGAATAAGGGATCCGTTGTTAGATTATCAATTTTCCTATGTTTCGATTGTTTTTTTAGTTTGGGATCAATCTAAAATTAGATATTTCAAACATTCTTTTTATGGTGAAATCAATTACCTATTTAAAGTAATTTACTTTATTCGTATGGGGTGTTAGGGAAGAAATCCCCCGAGAATTACTGTAACATTTATCTGGTATGGAACGATGGTTTCCATACTAAAACCAGCGTCCACCTTCATTCCCCCCTTCCAATTTGAACAAAATTATACACTATATAGGCTATAGTTTTATAACAATTTTCGTAATTTCCATAGGAAAAAGAGTTCGTATTTATTCGATGATAACACCAAAGATAAGTAAAAATTAAATCACATATACGCAATTCAAATATAAAATTGGATATACCTAGGTATATAGGTTTTCCTACATTCCTTTTATAATTTTTATATTTCTTTAATAATTATAAATTATTTTTTATACAATTTACTGCATATCACTATTAAAATATTGCACTATATTAACTTATTTTATTAACATAATATTAAATTTATAACATAAGCAATGGTGGATTTAGGGAAGAAGAGAGATTAGGGGAACCATTATCTTGGAGATTAAAATTTCTTAGAACAGTAAAATTGAACAGATTTTAGTTTGCAGTTTTTAGTGTTAAGAGAAAGAAAGTATATAGGTGATAGGTCGGTGTAAAGAAAACAAAGAAAATTTCTAAATATGGGTGTAAATGGGGAGAGGTTGCCCCTGGGCATTAAAGTCCTTGATGCGTTAATAATAATTATAAAACTATATTTTAAATACATTTTAATACTTACGTCCTACCTATAATATGTATAATGTGTATGCTTTTTAAAGTATTTTTCAATCTTAACCATGATGAACGGCCGAATATTTATACCTTATAGTAACCATGAAGTCACGATTTTGTTTTATATGTATGAGCAGGTCATGCGAACAAGCGGGCATTGTACCGCATTGGTGCACGTGTGACGAGTACGAGCAACTGGATCGGTTTAGCAAGACGGCCGTGGACGGCAGCAAGTACGTTGTGCGACAGTTGAATGAGCTGCTGACCAAGTACCGGGCGGCCGTGCGCCAGGGGTATGTCTGTTCCGAGCTGTCGCTACGCAAAACGGTGTCGGCTCGGAGCAGGGTGAATCGGTACACCGGTCGCCGCGAGTATTTGTTAATCGTGGAAACGTTACCGGGCGGGTCCATGTTCGAAGTGACCGTGCAAGACCAGGGAGGGGACACTTTCGGTACGTTGGGCGATATAAGTCGCATAAACATGTACGGGTTTCAGAGTCATTGTACGGACGATTGGAAGCTGAAAAAGCATTGTTATTGCGTCAAGGACAAACGGAAATCCGGGGTTTAGCTACGGAATCGACGACGATTACGTCGATATTATATTATGTACATCCGGTACCGGAACCGAAACTATACGGCTACACCACGCCATACGGTTCGAAATCGGACCTTTCCCTAATAATCTTTTACAAAGAAGATAATATACGTACAAATATAATATTATTATAATTTTCGGTGTACTATTTCACACTGATACGATATATTTTGTGTACACAGACTGAATGTATAATAATTATAATATTTTGTTCTATCCGTATATTGAGTTCCGGTATAACTCTAATAATAATTAATAATACCTGCCTACTCTATATTATACATTTTATATGAATACGATAAGTGCATTTTTTAATAAAGTAAATAAAACTATACAAGTAATTATGATTTTATGTATTCATTAATATAATATAATAATATATTATAGGGTGATCAATATAACGTAAGACACATTCATCATGTCGGAAAGTAATAACTTTTTCTGGAATTTGTTTTTTAGATCATTTAAGAAATAAGCAGTTCTAAGATGTTACATGTCTGTTATTTTTTTTCACCCTTATTTTAAGGAGTAAAACTATTACCTACTTTTGATTTTCAAATAGCAACCTATAGTAAAATTTCCATAAATTGAAGGCGTATCTATTGGTTTATATAATTGTGGTGTTGAAATTTTAGATTTCCGTCAACGTGTCGACGAGATATTTCACTTTTAAGTTTTGGCAGGGGGGAGGAGTAGTGGAACACTATTAAAACGCCGTACACCGTGTGTAAATAGCTAATTGAAAATTAAAAGTAGATAGTGGTTTAACTCACAAAAAATAAGGCTGACAAATAAACAAGTCGTGTAACACTTATTAGAACTACTAATTTCTTAAATGTTCTAAAAACGAATTCGGAAATAATTAAAATTTTCCGAGACAATGAATGTCTTATTTATGTTTATCACTCTGGATTTAAAAAAAAAAAGGCGATGGATGTGCCATCGTTTTAATTTGTACGATTTGTGTCAAGTTTGATCTTATGTAAATTTTACTACGTTTAGAAATACATGGCTATTATAGGTATTCTTTGCAAATTTCAGATCTCTATAAGATTTTTAACTCAATACAGTGGCACCCAAATTATACGGTGAGTGTAGCAGTAGCTACACATCATATTTCGGGTAGGTGGGTGTTTCCGTTAATTGGGATTTGACACCATCCCCTCGTTATTCGCTCCCATACATGGATTAGCGAATTGTTTTGATCGCTGACAAAATTTGCGAATAAACCGATACAAGACGCGAACGTTTAATTTAAAATATCAAGTCCCACTCATAAGAAATAAAACAATGTTGCGCTCCATTCTGGACTAAAATTTGTGAATTGAGCTGAATGTTCTGTAATCCATGATCACTAATCACCGTACACTTAATTTTAGATTCTAAGCCGAGCGAGTAATATACTGTGTATATATAAATATATACATATATGCTTTCTACATCCTACCTTCCCAACTTCTCACCTACAACAGTTGGAACACCCATCGTGTGAAGTATGTCGGTTTTTTTGTTGTTTTTTTTTACCTACGGAAAAAACTTGTAAAAGAAGCCATTTAAATAAATTTTTAATTTTAAGCGAACTTTAATATAATATAAACGACTGAAAAAAAAAACCAAACTATTTTTTATAATCACTTAATTATTTCTGTACAATTTAAAAATAAAACTGCATGATTACGGTTAGGTATTACCTACGTACACAGTTAGTAATAAGTAGGGTTGTGAATATAATGCAGTGAAAAACCTTAAAAAGGCAATCAAGTATGCATTTAGTCTCAAAAAATGAATATAAAATCCATTTAAATAGGTTTTTAATTTAATTTTTATATTTATTTTGATATTATTGATATTACTGATATCGATATATCGCAAGCTCACAATCACAAATAACTAATCTAAGCAATATTGCCTTATTTTATGGAATCCTTATCTTTGCCTAACCCATATACAGCTTGAGTAAAATATTATTTTATAGAATATAAATTTGACGTAAATACAGCCTGTGTAAAGATGTTAACTGGCGGAATTCGATTAAAAATTCTGGAAAATGAACTAAAAAGGAAAAATATGACTTTAAAAGTCCAAAAAATGACCTTAAAAATTAAAAACGTCGAAAAATACAAAATAAAAGTTTCATAAATTAATTTATTGTTACATAATTCAAATTCACTACGTTTTAAAAACAACTATAAAAATCACTTTCTTGCAAATTCATAGCTCTAGTAATAATACACATTACATACATACATATTGAAAGTATAAAATTTGTTCACTTTGTATGTCTAACTGAGATATTATACGGTTACAGTATTATATTTTGTAACGACATTAAACAGATGCTAAATTCTCATTGTATCATTTATGATATCGTTTTAATGACCTATATTGTATTCTACCATTTTGCAGGAAGGATATAACATTTGATATACACAATTGCAATAAATTTTTGATAGACAATAGTTAGCAACATTATAATATTATTATTTTATAGATAGTAATATTATGTAGTGGGTGATATAATAGTTATATAGTTTGATAATTTTAAATATATTTATAAGTCACACTACACGATAGGAATCATAGAAGGTGAAGTAGAATTATTACTAACTGTATACAAATGTGCTTAGGTAACTTACTACACTTATGCAATTTTATTTTTAAATTGAACGGAAATAAATAATAATTAGGTAAGCGATTATAAAAATAGTATGTTTTTATTTTTAGCCGTTTATTATCATAAAATTCGCTTGGAATATGAAATAAGTGTAACAATCTATTAAGTTATCGAATTTCAAAGGGAGGTCAAGTAAAAAAAAGACTGACATAGATACTTAGCACGATGGATGGGACATTCATAGTGTTCTAGATGAGAAGTTGGTAAGGTAGGATATGTAAAGGAATTTTATTTATATCTGTACTCAACGATTAATTATTGCTAACGAAAAACGATTCTGAGTGGAGTTTGATTATACATGTATTAAAAGGCCGTAATATTTACATATATATTATATACGTTATATTATATTATTTTCTGTTCTTTTTATGTTTGTTTCCGATTTTTCCTATTATGAAAACTACTATGGAAAATCAAAAATTTACTTTCGTTGTGATCAACTCAATCCAAAATGCGATAAAAAAAGTTGTTTTGTCATTTTTTGATTGAAGCAAGATTTAAAACATAAGTTATAACTAGGTCGGTAAATATATAATAATTATTTAATATATATTATATATATATAATTTAGCAAATCGGTAAATTGGTGTCACACGCACAACAATTAAAAATTATGTAAAATGAAATGGGTGCAACTAGGGGGTACTTGGGGATGCTGCAGCACCCCCAGACTTTAATTTAGCACTCCATTCAAAAATGACAAAAAGTGAAAAATAGTGTGGAAAAAGCTGTCCTAGGATAATGGAGATGGGTGCAGCCACTGTTATAGATAATTTAATATAAAATTGTAATTGAAATCAAACTGGGGAGGTACTATAAGGTCATTTTTCGATGTTCTCGGGAGTTTTCTCATCAAACATGAACACCGGGAAAAACATCGGAAAACCGTGAAAATCGGTACAATGTTAAAGAAAATATAGGTATAATGCCTAAAATATCGAATCTTATCGAATGATTACAATTTACAATAAAGATACGGATAAGACCCGTGTGACCCAAGATAAGGTGACCCGCACCACATTGGCTATTGATGAAAAAACTTAATAAATTATGGAAAAAATTAAAAAGAATGATTATAAAACTTTTTAAAAACGACAATTAATAAAATAAATGTAAGAAACATAATTTGTTACGATATGATTAAATACGCGTACAGTAACCAAAATTAATATTATTAAAGGAAATCTGACTGGTAAGGTACTTTAAGAAGTTCATTTTTCGATTTTCCCTAGATTTTTCCTAGCAAATGTGCAAAATCGGGAAAAAAAAACATGGGCAAAACTGAGTAAAAACGGAAAAAAATCAAAACACGATTTTCTTACTTACCAACTAGCATAAAAATTCAACAAAAAAAAAGTTTCTACGCTTTGAGTCTCAAGTATATAGTATTTGTGCAAACTGTTTTGTGAAAATCTGATTTGCGCATATATTTGAACGTGTAAACAGATACAAACATACTTGCACAAGTAGTTAGCTTGCGTGAATTTCTGAAAAAAAAAACTGTGGTTGGTACAAATTAAAACTCCATTTGTACGTGTAAACGATTATTTAAAGTTGTGCAAGTATTAATAATAGGTCATAATAAACATAATTAAGAAATGTACTCTTGATAGATTATAGTATTACACCAATTTAGAGCTTATACCACTATGTAACTACTAAACTGTGATAAATTGTGATTTATTTTTACGTTTAATAAAAATATGTATAAATATATATATATATATATATTATGGATATTATATTAATATTATTAATGACAAATACTCAAATCACCCCCAAAAATAAGGTCCTTATTACTCAGCTACTTCACACATACTAATATACTATAATTTATAGTCTATGAATTATGTACAAACTAATAAATACTAAGTATGTGAATACATTTTATTCATCACTAGGTCTTGGGTTCATGTGTTTTTAATACAAATATATGTAACTATGATTATTTAATTTTTTTAGTGAAATTATATCGGTCTGAAAACATTATTTTAAAAATTAAAAATTATTATTTACGTAAAAGAAATTGATAAAAATTAATTATTAACCAATTTGATTACAATGTATTACAATATGCATGTTTCCACCTGTCGTAGGCCATAGACATAATAGAATCTTTTATAATCTAATATTCTACTAATCTATATTATATTATGTATTGATGTCTATGTTTCTATTGTATTATTATTATTGTGTTAAAAATTAAGATTCTTGTGAGTTGATACTGGTGTCTGGATGTCCAAGACCAGTTAATAGTTACAACCCACCCACCACAATTACAAAATGGGTGCTTAAGTAAGCACCTCTTTAGACATGTATTAGCCCCTACTGATTGTGTAAAAATTTGTAAGTATTCACATAATTGAGTGATTTTTAATTTGCTCAAGTATATACAAGCCATATATATAGTATATACAAGTATTTATACAAGCCAATTTGCGCAAGTAAACCCATATAATAAATGATAACATACATTCATTAAAGCATAGGATGCTTTTTATGTATTTGAAGTTTATATATTAATATGTAGTAAGAATTATCTTGTTATACAAATAAAAGGTTATTATTATGACTATTAATATATCAAAACCCTATGTAATTGCATTTTGAATCCTATTTTCTGATCTATCAAAATACTATTTTTCTTCAAAACTTGAGAAATAGAGTACAGCGATTAATTCTATTCCGTTGTAATAGATAAAGTTACCAGTTACTTAAAAAACTAAGAATTAGAAACTTATTAATATAATTTTATTTAATAGGGAATTGTAGAAAAATCCCAAATACCCTTACATATTAATAAACCACTTCTTGAAAGTCATTTATTATAATTATAAATATTCTGATTTATTAAAATTGTACCTACACACTGCATATCAAAAATGATGACAAAAAACTACTCTCAATTATAAAATTTGGTGTGAAATTTTTTATAAATAAGTAGCCTTAACTTTATCTTATAAAAATATATACCATTCAATATAACTATGATTTTAATATTCAAACAAAACCTTCATAAAAATAAACAATATTACAAACAAATTTTATGTTTACAATGTACTTGTTCAAATTATACTATCAATAAATTGCTATATTTAAATTTAAGAGATACCCATTGTATAACCAAAAACTATACAAATTAAATATAATTCAAATTAGTACAATATTTTATTAATATAATAATGATAATAATAATAATACAATGCATAATAATTTATATAGTTAACAATAAAATAAACATTTTATTAACAGTTATTATTTAATATACAAATTATATAGTTATTATGTATAATATTTAATGCATCTATAAGGAGTGCATTTAAAATTAGGACACGGATAAAAAAAAATATACTATATATATATATTTAAATAAAAATGAATGAATATTTAAATAACGTTAATACGAAACTATTCATAAAAGTCAACTAAGTTGTTATTATTTTGGATTTCACAACCAATTTTGATTTAAAATCAAAAGAAAAATAATAGAATGTGCAGTTTAAAAATTATCACAAACATTAACAATTATTACCACTATCAATAAAATATTATTTCAGTAGCTATTATAAACAAAACAAAGTTTTGTAATACTGTGAGCTAATACAATTTGTTTTAAGTACAATACAAATGGTAAACGAGACATTAGTTACTGTACCGCGTGTTATTTAAAAATAAACACTTAAAATGATGACCTGTGTTTTGGATTAATGTACAATTATTACATTTTTTCTCAAATAATTGACAAAAATTGACAATAAACACATTGAAACACATACCACAACTTAATCTTGCTATTATAATTTCTTTAGCCAATGGCCAATAATACTTTATGTCATTGATTTTCAGACCATAGATCTAATGTTGTTCCAAATGGATCTGGTGGAAGTATAAAATTATTTACTTCAGTTTGATCTTGCATCGATACACCATTGGTTGTATATGATAGTCTAATTCTCATTCTTAACTGGCTCTAAAAGCAAAGTAAAATTCATATTTATTATGAGTTTACTCTTGATTTCAACATAATAATCACTTCTTAAATTATTATATAAATTCCTTCTTAAAAACAGAACTACTATTTGAGGTTTTAAAAAAATAAAACGAGAAAAACTGCATACATATATAGAATTTAAAATTAACAATATCTCAATATTTAATAGAATTAATTGTATCACAAACCTGGAATATTTGTTTTGCTTTTAATATAATTTTTAATTTTGTATAAGAAATATAGCTAATATATTGAAATAAAATATTAAAAATATTTTTATTTTTATTATTTTAGCCATTCATAAAATATAAATTTTATATTAGTAGAAGATAATAAACTAAAATCTATATAGCTTTATGAATATTATAAAATGTAGTAACACATTATAATGTGTTTAAAAATTGATTTAACTTACTTTAGATACATTTGATACTCTCATTATTTGTGTCAAAAATGAACCAGGTTCAATTGTATTTGATGATGGTGGTAACATTTGTAATTGGAAAGTCTAATATAAAGCAAAAATGTAAATAATTACAATTAGTTATACATTTATGTGTATAAAATGTTACCTTTGGAACAGCTGCTTGAAAAAGGAACTCATTTATAGTAAACGATCCATTATTATATGCAGTCATATTCACAGTATTTGAATCTATATTCATCTGATCTCTTTCAACTAACAATGTTATTAGTAAATTGTTTTGGTCATATGCAGTCACAGTTCCTGGGCTTTTAACTTTATTGCTATTAATTATTGGTGTTTCTACTAAGCATATAAATATTATAATTTAGTCAGATGTTTATAAAATATATAAACATAATTTAATTTAAACTTACCTAAACTCAATGAGTCAAGTAAATTATTTGTGTTAAGGTTAACACTAGATCCATTTGTTATACTAATCTCAGTTGTAAGATTATTCAACGGTTGCATTGGTTGGTTATTTAAATCTAAACCACCTTAATGTTTTAAATTCAATAAATAATATTTTATTTCTAAATAAAATTAAGTTGGACCAAAAAAAAAAATACTTGCCTAAAAGATCCAACAAATCTTGAGTATCAGGAGTTGATGGCATTACTGTGAAATTTTGATTTTGAATCAATTCTGATTCACCATTTGTTCCTTCTAATAGTACTAATAATGCGTTCTAAAATAATAAGTATACAATGACATTATTTATTATGTTTAGAAATTAAAATTATATATTTACAGAATCATTAGTTTCAGGGTTAACATCTGGAACAAGTAAATCATTTGATGACGAAATGTTTTCAATAGTTTCATTCCACTGTGATCGCTGAGTTCTATTTGATTCCATGGCAGGCATTCTTTCTAATAGACCATCACGCATTTGGTCATATCTATTGAATAACTGATTGTACTCAATCCCACGTTGCTGTAAATCAGTATGCATATGTGTTGTGAATGACGCAACCATTTCATGGATTTTACTGTACAATAAAAAATAAAAAAAAAAAGGTAAAATTAATTAATTTTTTTAATTGTACAATTTAATTATACTTACTCTACATTAAGTTTAATACGTATGCTTAATTTCATGAGTGAATTTAATGTATACTGTTTTGTGACTAAATTATTTTGAGGACTCCACATTAATTTATGGTATACTCGTAGTATATCATCTTCAGTTACCTACAAAATAATTAATAATTACTTTCTAGGTTTTTTATTAAATTTGTGCACACTGTATGTATTGATTGTATATATAAATAAAGTTTAGAACTTTAAATTTTAAAATTAAAAAAATATTAAGCACAAAATTAAATTTAAAATTCTTACAGTAATAGCATGATCATCAGACTGTTGCAATAACATATCACCAAATTCTCCAATTGTCCATGTTGATACTTGAATCAATGGTTGTTTATCACTGGTATCTTTTTCCAATTCCACCCATAGTTTTGAAGCCATATAACCACCATGTTGAGCACCAGATTCAGATACTAATTGTATAGTGCTAGACACAACATCGTCTCTTACATAATTGCCAGCCTGATATATAAATTAAATAAGATAACAATGGTTCATAAGAAACAAAAATACTTCTCAAATTTAGTTATTTTTATACACTTACTGCTACAAGGACTTTAATCAATGTATCTAAATGCCATCGAGTATTTGGTGCAAATTTTTCAGCTGCTAACACTATGCTGGATGAGCATTGTGCTTTAAACTCAGGTTCAGATGTTTCCAAAAATGTAAGTAACTCTTTAGTCATAGTCAAGACATTGTGAGAATTAATTAAAGCTATGCTTAGTTCTAATGCTCTCCTCCTTATTGAAACATCTGGGTCTTGCTAAAAACAAATTAAGAATACCAAATTAGAGACCGCATGGTAAAATTAACTGAGTGTACTACATACTCTAAGACACTCAATAATAGTAGTTCTATGTCTTTGAACAGCAGTCATATCTAAGTGTATAGTTTTTAATAGTGTGTTCAAAGCAACATATCTGATATTTTTGTCTGTATTTAATAAAAATCTGCCCAAAATATTGATGGCCAACACCCTGAGACCGGATTCAGACTTAATGTCCATAATTGATAACACAGTCTCATATAAAATTGTATTGCCAACATTTTTATTTGTTTCAGTTGTAGTTGCTACTTGTGCAAGAACATCATTCATAGTTTCTGAAGCTTCTGGATCTTTTTTACCAAGTATTTTAAGCAATCTCAATATTTTTACCTATAAACAATAGTGTTTTGAAAACGCATTGAGAGAAATATATATTTATTTTAGATACTTACTTGTAGGAAAGGGTCACTCACTCCAGAAACATCATGTTCAGGTGAATAACCGGCTAATATTAAGTTTTTTAAAATTCTTACTAAATTTGGCACAACCTATAAAATGTACATAAATATTATTATTATTATTATCAACCAATAATATAAGTATAATTTATATAATCATAAATACCTTTTTAAAATGTTGCAAGGTGTCAATGCTTCGTTCACACATTTCAGTAATTAATGTAACGCCCGTTATTAGTACACCATGATTTTTTTCTGAAAGCATTGACCTGGTGGCTGGCAAAAATATTTCCATTAGTTCTGGGACTTTGAGCACAATTCTATATGCACATAATGCGGCTTTTTTCCTAATGTATGTATTGGGTGATTTCATTAAGCGTTCTACTTCAGTTGCAAGATCTCTAGCCATTTCTGGTGAAGCGATAGCACCAAGAGTGCATAATGCTAAGCCAACAACAAATTGTGTGCAACTATTCAGGTCACTAAAAAAAAAAAAATACATTTATATATAAATATTAATAATCGTTTAACATGTACCATGATTTAATATTCAAAATACTTTTTTAATGAGTTTGTGATTAAAAGATGTACATCTTGCCGTTCATCCAATAACAACATTGCACCCAAGTAACCTATTCGCTTATCAGTAAATCTTGGTGATGCTATTAGTTTTAGACATTCCAGCTGTCCAAAATGCGCTGGATATCTATAATATAATATTGATAGCCTTAATACAAATATTTAAATTTAGACATTCTGTTAACCACGAGTTTTAACCTGTCAATTTAATTAGACAAGTGCAATAATTTTTTTTAAAAATCAAATTTTATAGTTTTTTACCAAAAAATACCTTATTAATTTAATTTCAATACAATTTACCTTTTTTTTTTTTAAATTTTAATATGTATTAAAATATATTTCATTAAACTAATATTATTTGTGGAGAACAATTTTAAATTATATATCAAACAATAAGCATATATATTAAACACAACTTACCCAAGCATATGAATATACAATAATTTTGCAATATTTCGACATCTCCATACACTGTCTTCGTCTCGAAATGATGTTCTAATATCTGCACATTCTTTATTGATAACAGCTCTTTCTTCTGCTGCTGTACGTGCTGCTCTTATTTGCCTAATTAAATCTCTTAATCGCATAGGGGTTGGCATACGAACTAAACAGAACAAAATTAATCAATCAAATTTGTCAAATTATTTAATTACAATCAAAAAATTAATAGGTATATGCAAAAATAAAAAAAATATTGATATAAATATTAACCTTTTTCAACGGCTTCATTAATTACTTGTCTTATTGAAGCGATATTAAAGGCTGGATTAAATCTGCGAATATAGGTAATATTATGAATGTAAATAATAAAAATAAAAAAAAAAAAAATTAGGATTACACGTACCCAGTATCAGAGGAGTTATTCATTTTGAATTGTTTATCCAATTTGTATGTCGAACCAGTACCTTATAAAATTAGTAAAAAAAAAAAAAAAAAAAAAAAACTATTCAAATTGTATTGATGATTGAATATGAAAGGTATGTTTACGATAAATATGTGTGGTATTGTGTAGTGTGAGGTATTTTACTATTTTAGTCATACATTGGGCGTGGATTAGCAACTTAATTGTATTATTATTATTTTTTTTTAATCCAATGACCTATGGAATAATGAAAATTAATACAAAAAAATGGAAGAATACTGTGTTATCGTTAAGATGGGCTAAGCCAGATTCAAACATCTGCAAACTTGTATAGTTGCACAGGCAGGGCATAACTAATGCTGAGTGGCGGAAATCATCGATTCAAAGCACACACTGCAAGCTCGTCGTCACACGACGGTTGAACCGAACACGAAACGAAATTTCCAAACGGTCGCGAAATATTTATTAATGTAGGCCATGTACCTACGCGACGAGCGTCGCTCTCCGGATGGTGATAACACGAGTCCGTTGTGTGTACAGTGTGCGTCGGTTCTACCGTGTCGGTGAACGAAAACAGCGGAAGACGGGACGAGCACGGAAAGGACAACGGAAATCGTGTAATTTTTATTAATATTCACCTTACGACGACGACGATTCCCCAAGCGTCCTTTCGTCCTTTCAAGGCGCGTAACTACTTAACGACGACGGCGACGACGAACAACGGCGGCGGCGGCGCCCTTATCTATCGTCGTTTTTCTGCATTCGTGTCATAAAACATTCGGCCGCAGATAGCCCGCACGCGTATTAGTTTTATTACTATATATATATATATATAATATTATGTTATGCACGTAGATAATACACTGCAACAACGTGTCCGACGGCAACAATACCGCGACATTAATCGTTGGTATTGTTGTTGCGGCGACAACAACTGCCAATGGCGTTTTTATGGGTTTTAATTTCTGACGAGAAAAAAAAAAAAAAAAAATACTTATCAAACAGGTGCGAACGTGATACAATCGTCGTGTGCCGAGGTCTCTCTTTCTCTCTCCCGTACGTAGCGGCTTTCGATGACCGGCGATTGTTCGCGGGTCGCGGGGCAGTTCGAGAGTGACCCCGCCCCCGCGTGTGCGACACGCCGCCGCGGCCGTAGTACTCGTCAGACGCTCCGAAATCACACACACATCACTCGTCACCGCCGTAATTGTGGGCACCTACTGAAACTATACAGAATTCCGCTACACAACTACCGATGTTCTTATTAACGCTAGAACACGCCGCATAACGTGCGTTGCACGCCGGCGGTTGGTCCGACACCGATGGTGTTGTAAATGACCACACGACACCACGCCGTTATTGTGGCAGTAGGTGTACCTATCGTACAGCACTCTGCCCACTGCCCTCCACTCAAAAGTGTGATTAATACGTAGCGAAATATTTGTTCCGCCCGATGGTGTCGCCGGTTTCACGGCCGGCAAATAGGTTTTTACAATAACTTGTGGTGGTATTTTTAATAGCCGTTATTGAGGTTGGCAGTGTTATTTCGCCTCCGACAATTCCGGTAATACCCCTAACACAATCAATAGGTACTCAACTATTACGCAATGGGTCGTTGTGCAGCTTAAGCGCGTTAATGAGCCCGGTGCTTTTTGTATTTTATCTGTAACAGTCGGCATCGGGTACCACGAGACGCACCGCTCGTTTTGTTACGATCGAATTATGGCAGATACCTTGTGCATAAATAATTATTATATAATTTTTAATTATACATTTAATTTATTAGGCTTCTTGTTATCTTTTGACGTTCTCGTATCTGCCTCACCATATTATATAAACCGTGATAATTAACCATCGTTAACTATTGATTAATTGGTAATAATTTGAATGTCCAATAAGAGTTGTTTAATAATGCACGCATGTTTTTCACGTTCTAGGAAATCGTTGGAGTGCCGTGTAATATTAGAATATAATGAAAATCATCGTCGCATTATTATCATTAAAAAAAAGGTAACTACCTAATCTATCTATTTAGAAATAGGCGATGTCTAATGTTTAAGCCAATACACAATAGCCCAGAAAGAAAAAAAATCGAAAAAACGCTAGAACTTTCTTTTAATAATTCTTATAATTTCTTTTTAAAACCGTTATTATTTAATACTCTGAAAAGTTTATTGTCCTTACCCTACTCCGGTTCCAGTTTTAAACTAATTTAATTCTATAACTCATAAACATTAACTATGGGCGTCCCCAGACATTTTTCTATGGGGGGAGGCAAAATTAATTAAAAAAATAAATGAAAATTTTTTATACATTTTATTTATAGTAGGTATATTATTATATTTTGTCATTATTACAATTAAACCATTACAATTAGATATTATTATAATACATTAGTCTTTTTCATTAAATATAAATTTCAATCTCCGTGGACATTCTCTACCAAATTGTGTCAGTGCATTTTCAATAAATTTTTCTTTATCTGAATTTACTTTTTCTCTATGAACACTCAACATGCATATTCCACTCAGTCTATCATCACCCATCGTTGATCGTAATCATGTCTTAACACGTCTTAATGTACTAAAAGAACGTTTTGCTGTACAGCTTGTAGCTGGAAGAGACAAAAATATTTCCAAAGCAACAGCTATACTTGGAAACTACATTTTCAACTTGTTCAGTAAAACTGCCACCTTTACTCAAGTCAGTAATATAAACTGCACTTGTGGAATTAGTCTCTATAGTCAGACTTTTTGTTTTATCTAACGATCCATTAAGACTATCGTTTAATTTAGGTTTCTTAAAAAAGTTCCGTATGNATTAGATATTATTATAATACATTAGTCTTTTTCATTAAATATAAATTTCAATCTCCGTGGACGTTCTCTACCGAATTGTGTCTTTATTTATTGCTGCTGGAATGCGATGACACCCGTTTCGATCGAAAGTTGCGTTGGAACTGATGGGAGTACCCGCGCGGGTAATAATAATGATAGCAGATAGGTATATTGTCAAGTAAGCGATAAGATAATATACACGATATAACAGCAAACAGCTAATAATTTATTGCCGTGTTAGCACCAAAAAATACGATAAGATAAAATAATCCGATTATTATTAATGATAGTTTTTATGGATAGCCGTGCGCTGACATATAGCAACATAGGTAGACCTATTTTTAGAAGCTAATTTCTCATTGGGAATTTTACCAATTGCTATATATATAATAACATTCTAGGGGGGGGGGCAAGTGCCCCGTCTTGCCTCCCCCCTGGGGACGCCCATGACATTAACGGTGTTAGTGTTAGTACTCATATCAAAATTCTCAAAAAAATATCCTCTGAATTTCTTATTTGATTTGTAGGTTTATAATATTCATTTGAGGTAATAAATAATATGAACGGTTTAACGATTCCATAATGATTGAAAAAAAAAAAAACAGAAATTAAATTCACTAACTAATTCGCCAAAATACCGCTGGTTAGTGGTTAATGATAAATAGATCACTCTGTATAATACAGTGTTTCCCAAATGGGGAGGGGACGTGAACAAATTGCTGGGAAGGCACAAGCAATCATCACAAAGTAAAATTTGTATTCATTAAATTATTTGTATTTTACAATGTAGGGAAAAATAAAAATAAATACTGACCGGTGATTGGGTATCGATAAAGATTACAAGCAAGGCTGTATTTAGATTGAGGCATCAGGGAATTTATAAAATATATTTGCCATCGACTTTGATGGCCTAATCTAACATTTATTTTTTTTTACTCATCATGTTTGTTAAAAGGGGTGGGTGGGGAGCGAGATATGTTTAAAAATCTACAAATGGGACGTATAATAAAAATCGTAGGGAACCACTGGTATAATATAACATTCGTGGTGAAATGTTTTGACGACGAGTTGGTCACGGCAAAGTGTCCTAAACCCATTAAAAATAATAATACCATTTATTATAAATCAATGATAGTAGATACTTAATATAAACTATCTTCTCCTTCCCCTAGGTAAAATTTCCTTTTATAAAAATTGTTACACTTGGAACATCTGAGAATCTGTAGACATTTTTAGTATACAGTATAAAAAAATAAACATCACTGTAAAACCAATACTAAATTATGATTTATTTTTATTTACAAATTGTAAATTACTTGTTTAAAATTAGGTAAGTATAAAATATACCTTTTTTTAAGTTTGGCATCATCACATAATAAAAAATTATTTTATTAATAACAGTTGTCGATAAGTCAATAAATAAATTCGTTAAATTTTAGATGATGAATCGATAACGATTATATGTTCATACTACACGATGATAAAGAAAATAATAAATATGTACTTTATATAGGTCAGGTTCAAGGTATAACCTTGGTAACCTTGGTGTATTTAACGCGAAAACAAAATAGTACGTTCAATGTGGGACGTTGTATATTTCTTTTAGATTCTGAACGAAACAACAAAATGTTATAGTTTAATTGTAACGTAACGCCCCTGCACGTTGCAGGAGTGCTATTTTAATTTTATAATAGGGCCTCCAAACTTTTAGGCAGAACAATTTTGCTATACCACATGGTCACTTGTAAACAATCATTTCAATAACCATTAAATTAATTAAAGTAAGATTGCACTCTTTCCAGCGAACGAAAAAACCTTTCATTAGATGCTGTACTTATTGGAATAAGTAAAATGATTTGAAGAATTTTCAAAGCATCAGAAAAAGCTTCTAGATATAGTTACAAAATATTCATTATGTTATACAAAACTGGTTTTAATATTTCTTTTTTGTTTTAGCAATGATTTTTAAGAAGTAAAATCCGATGAAATATTAAGTATGTTAATTTCAAAGTTTACATAACGGTTAATAAAGTGATCTAAACGTGGGTATTTAGTAATTGTATTAAATTTGTATGAATTGGAATGGTTAAACTTTTAAACAATTCTCCATATTTTACTCAGAAATTCGCAATTCCATTTGTGACTCAAATCTAGTAAGCTGTTTGCTCACGCAACAACACACATGAATAAATAAATAATAATAAAGTTTTGAAAATAAAAATTGATATTTTTAAGATGTTATTTTTAACTACTTTAGTATATACGAAAAATAATAAAATGAGCAAACATTTTAAGAAATTATTTTAATTAAAACAAGTTATTGCTAAGCGATCATATACGATTAAATATTTTAAATAAATTTAAAGATATAGCTATTAAATTGTATAATGATTATTCACAAAATATAATAATTCCACGTGTGAGTTTTCAACATGTAGTGTACCCAGTGATGTATTGCTAAAAAAATGGTAATCACAAAAAAGTGGAAGATATCGTGGGGAAGTGGGGGGGGGAGGATTGCCTCCCTTGAATAATGATTTTTCTGTCCAAAGTACAAAAATTAATTAATATCTTCGATATGGACTCTAAGTATGTAAGTCTCAGAAGGCTTTTTTCATAACATTATACAATCAATAAATCCCTTTCAAAATACTGGTGAATAAAAAAAAACCAAAAAACCATAAACACACTATTAAGCAAAAAAGAACAACTTTTTTACATTTTTTACTACCCCTAAATTAAAAAAAATGGACCCGTTCTACTTATTGGTTTACAAAATTAGATTCCCCTTGGACCCTTTTGAAATATTCCACTGTCCAGTAACGTACGCAGAGGGGCTAAGGGGCTGGAGCCCTCTTATTGACCGTATTTGACGCATTTTTATATTTTTCAAGTTTTAACTGTAACAATAATTAGTAAGAATTTTTTTTCATAAAATACACTATTTTCGTAACTAAACAATTTAATTTTCCACCGTTACGTTGTCTATTAATAACCTTACTATATTACTATATTATCACAGAATAAAATATTATTAGGTTGATGAGGTTATTATTTTTGTGATGATTTTCTCGTGGTTAATTTTTATTTTCCATTTCGTGTACCAGGACCACGTATGATTTAAATGATTTTGTAGGTTATAACTGGTAGTTATTGGATTTACATGTGAAGAATAAATTATATTGTCATCGGCGAAATCCGCAATAGAAGTTTGGCGGATCGTCAATTTGTCTGCCGAGTATAGATTAAACAGAATAGGAGAGGATATGGCACCTTGGGGGACTCCTGCTGCTATGGGGGTTAAAACCAAAATTTCAAATCCTACTTTTGTTGTGAAGTAACGGTCTACAAGACACGATTTAAAGAATAAATAGTAAGGTGGGGGTAACATTTTTTTCAGTTTGTACAGGAGGCCGGGATGCCAAACTTTGTCTAATGTTTGGGCCACGTCAAGAAGGACGACTGAGCAGTATTCTTTTTTTTTCCAAAGAGATAGCTATTGAGTCCGTCAGCAGATGTATTTGATGCATAGTCGAGTGGCTCTTACGAAAGCCAAATTGGGTTTGTGAATTGGATGATTGGTGCGTCGTTTATGAAGGGGAAGATATGTTTTAAGACTAGCTTTTCACATAGTTTCGTGAAAAATGGTAGAAGACTTATTGGGCGATACGAAGAAGGGGTTTCGGATGGTTTACCTGGTTTTGAGATTAAGATTATAATGGAAGTTTTCCATAGTAGAAGAATTAAATATATAAGTCAGATGAATGATCGCCTTTATTGACTTTATTTACTACATTATTATTTGTATGATAGTTACTATTTTTGTTTGAGGTAGGTTTGTGAAGCTGTTGGAGACTTTTGTAAGTTTGACAACCTTTGTAATTGGCGGGATGGACTGCCTTGCACAGGGCACACTTGGAAAATCCTTGGTTTTGGTGCAATGGGTGGATGGGTGTTCTTCTCCGCATCGAACATATATTGGCAAGTAGAAGCAGTATTTCTTTGAATGACTATATTCCTGGCAGTTATGACATTGTCTCTATGTTTATGCATTTCCTCGATTTTATTTTGGTGTGGAGTAGAGAGGTTACACTGAATATATCAGTATTGATTGCCGCTGGCTCAAGATCGAAAAAAAAAACATTGGAAGGTAGTTTTTTGTGGTTTTTTTGAATAACATTAGTGACTTGGTGAACCGAAAAACCAATTTGCTCAATAGTAATTCCTATTTCAACTGTCGGTGTTTATAAGTTACGAATTACTACTCTGAACGGCTTATCTTCAAATGATTGATAGGTATGGTATTGTGTATTGTTTTCTTTTAGAAAGTGAATTGTTGTCCGATAGAATTCAGGTTGAGTAGTATGGACTTTTAAGTTATTTATGGATGATTTAAATATAAAGTTTTCAGAACCAAATTTTGACGAAAATCGTAAATATTTTGGCCTTTCAAACCATGTAAAACCGAATCGTTTTTTATTATCAATAGTTTATCGTTGATTACAAGTAAAAATTAAATAATTTAATGTAACCCACCTTCCCCACTATCCACCTACAAAAGTATGTTCCCAATATTTATTTTTTTGACTGATCAACTTTTCTATCAGAAAACTTACTCCGATATAAGAATTGTAGTACTTTTTCTGAAAGGTAATTTTCTCTTCTTGGTGCATTGAGGAGGTAATTTTTTGATTTTCTAAGTGGTTTTCGAAATAATTAGGAAAAATCGAAAGAAAATTTTAGGTAAAACGGTAAATATTTACAGCATGTCGTGACGCATGATCGTTTTTATTGTTTTCATTGTGTTTTCTACCATATATATTACTCCAATGGATAAACGAAAATAAAAACCTTTTCGATTCTGAGTGGAACGAAAAAGCCTATGGTTTTACAAAGATATTTTTTTTTTTATTTTTTTTTTTTATCTTTGCACAACTTTTCTACCAGAAATCTTGCTCCGATTATTAAGAGTAACACCTTTTCTGAAAGGATATTGGTGTAGAGTGGTACTTTATGGGGGTGATTTTTTGATTTTCTTAAGAGGTTTCTTATCAAATATGAAAAACCAAAAAAAAGGGAGAAAAAACGGGAAAATGCATGAAATATATTACTAAAATATTATGATTTTTTTTTCTGTGTACAACTTTTCTACCAGCAATTTTGTTCCAATTTACAATGCTAGCACTTTTTCTGAAAGAAAATCTGACTGGAAAGGTACTACAGACAGGCCATTTTTCGATATCTCCAAGAGTTTACTCAGCATATGTGAAAACCGAGAAAAAACATTGGAAAACCGGGAAAAACGTAGGAAAAACATTTCATTATAAAAGTCACTTGGGAAATAAAAAAATGATCTTTACAATGCATCGGCTGGATCAAGAATGAAAAAGAAAGTTTTTTCGTCTTTTCATTGGAACAATATTATTAGGGAAAAGTTATTTACAGACATATACATGAAAAATTAAAAATACAAGTGTACATCATAATAAAGCCAAAATCAACAAAAACCATGGTTGTTGCGTAAATACTAAATATTTATGTTTTCTTTCGTTTTTTCTGGTTTCACCTTGTCATTGAAAAAAGTACCCAGAAAAATCAAAAATCATATAGTACGTGTGCTTATATTATAATTTATAATAATATGACATAGGTATGAGTATAATATTGTGATGTACTGGTTTGCACATTGCTACTACACCTACAATTTTCATTTTACATTTCTAATATTTTTATTCGGGAGATTGTACATTATAAAGTATGAAATGTACCATATAATATTATTATACATAATACTTTTATTTATAATTATAAATAGTAAATAGTAAAGTATATAAATATGAACGGCTGTGAGGTACCATAAAAAGCTAGCGAATAACACGAAAATAATAATTTGCTTATCGATAATATTATTTTTATATTCGGTTATGGGCCGGGGCATAATTTTACAAAAATAAATAAATAATACCGTCACGCAGAAATGTATTCCTTAAGCTGCCATTGTGTTTTAGTGGAGAGGGGCGCCACTGATTACGACGACGTTGGAATATACGGTGCCGCTTGGAGCAGCACATGCCGGAACAAAATTAATGCAAAACAAACGAAACGGCATTAAAAAATGATTTTAGAACAAAAACACCTATTATAAGATTTATAGAGAAGAATATTTCAGATGGAACCTTATATGAGTTTTGTAACATTTTAATTATATAGCTCGATATAAATGGTTCTAAACCTGTTTTTTTTTTCACATTTTTTATATAACTAACTTTTAATACTTTAATATTAAATATTTCAAAAAACACATATCAGATTTTCTCTGAAGTATTGTTATCTATAAATTTCATAATGGGTATTTTTACTCTAAAACCACTTTTTAATGCCGTTTCGTCTGTTTTACGTAGACGTGTTTTTAATGCTGAAAATGGTTGATGTGTCGTCCTTTTAATGGCAATTCGTAAGACAATTCCGAGCGCAGTTTGGTGAAACAAAATTTAAAAAAGGAAAAAAAGTCGTCCGATAATTTTATAAAATAATGAAATCGTGAATATATTATATATTATATTAATATAGTGCTTATATTTAAAAAAAATCGCATCTAAAATAAAAAAATGACTTTTTTAAAGTACAATCTAGACAACTCGAGTTTTCAGAAAAAGTGCTACACCCATACATTGGAGCAAATTTACAAGGAAAAAACGTGTCCACAGACAAGAACAAATAAATAAAAATAAATAAATAAACAGCATTGTAAAACCAATAGTTTCCTCGCTACAGTAGAAATCTAAAAAATAAACATCTTAGTAAAACCAAAAAAGAGGCTAAAAAAACATGGAATAATTGGGCCACCAGCGTATACCCTGCGATACCTGGTAATGTGTAATTTGTTTTCGATTAGAAATCTTGCTCTAATCGTTGATTAAGGATGGTTTTTCCATATAGTAGAAAATGTTATCCAGTTGATATATTAGGGAGGTGTTTTTGGTGATTTCTTTTTTGCAGTTTTCTTAATGTTGGTGAAAAACCCATGGTGTGTTTTTTTAGATGATTATCATAAAAATTTAAAAGTTTGTGGCCAAGTTTTGTCTATACCTTAATTATAGCAAACGTCCAAATTTTCACATTTTGAAAAATAAAATAAAATCAAATTAAAAGTATTAATTAATCAATGATTTCCAACTATAAATTTATATTCGGGGCGACTAGAAAATACTATAAGAGAAGCCAATATTTTGGACTAAAATTTAAATTTTTCTTGTTTGTTATTTGTTATTTTTACAATTCAACAATTAGTAATACTGTTGCTCGTGGGGGGAAAGCACCTGAGGCATGCGCAAACAGTGCCTTGGCGTATTCAACGTACGGAACTCGCGTAGTCCGCGTGCGATAATGCGTATTTCATACGCTGAACGCGCTTAGGTTTAATGTATGCCGCGAAAAACTGCAGTCCTGCAAAAAATTAGTCTATCCATCAGACGACTATGATTAGTGCGATTGTAACGTTGTTCACCGTGGCCGCCTTGGCCGCGCACGACCGCGCGTCGGCCGCTCGCATACTCGGCGTGTTCCCGCATCACGGATACAGTCATCACATGGTTTTTTTGCCGTATCTCCGGACGTTGGCGGACCGCGGGCACGACGTGCACGTTATCAGCAATTTCGGTTCGTCTCATCCGAAAATCACGGACATTGGCGTCGAGGGTTCGATGCCTATGAGCAACAACACAGTCCCGTTCCCGGAATCGGACACGGCGTTCGGATTTTCCAGCATGTGGAGGGACATGGATATACTGTACAACTTGGCAAAGTCCACGGAGAGTATGTTCGGCGTGCCGGCCGTGAAACNTCGGTTTCGCAGCCAAGTACCGCGCACCTTTCGTGTTGCTCAGCAGCTGCCCGTTGATACCGTGGTCCATGGACCTGTTCGGTCAACCACAACAGACCGCGTACAGGCCGTCCGTGTTCAGCGGTTTGTCGGAACGCATGGATTTCGTCCAGCGACTGATCAACACGTTGATATCACACGTGTCCATAGTTATGTTCAGGACAACGAATCGACCCTGGAGCCAACACGTGATAAAAAAACACCTCGGTGTAGATATTTCTCTGGACGAATTCGCGTCAAACGCAAGTTTGATATTGGTCAATACGCATTGGAGTATTAACGGGGTGTCACCCACTGTACCCGCCGTATTGGAAGTCGGCGGAATGCATATGAAACCGCCGGCAGATTTGCCAAAGGTTAGTATCTATTATATTTATGTTTCAATAATTTCTTTAATGGAGATATGTTTTCTCTTTCTAAAAAAAAAAAAAAAAACGGACAAGCTATAGGTACACGCTTTTGTTATATTATTATCTACACTATTACATGAACCAGCAATACTACAGTGAAACGTATACATGAATATAATTTAAAATTTAAATAGTATATAATAATGCCTTTAAACGAGTAAAAATTTCAACCAGTTAAATTTATATATTTTAGATTCTGAGAGGAGTAAGGATGTATTGGTTTTGCAAAGTTTATTTTTTTCCTTGAACAACTTTTCTATCAGAAATTTTGCTCCGATTTTAAATTGTAGCACTTTTTCTGGTCATCTTTTGATTTTCCCAGCTGTTATAATAATCGGGAAACTCAAAAAATCGAAAAATATGACTTTTTTCAAATTACGGTCCAAAATTGTGTTATTTAAAAATGTTACGACTAAAGTTGTCTACCATAAATATAGGTCCAATAGAAAAATGACAAGCAGAGACCATTTTTGTTCGATTTTTAATCTAGTTTTTTGATTTTATTTTGTAGTTTTATTAATAATTGAGCAAAAAAGTACGTAGAACTACAGGAAAATGTTCAAAAATAATTTTTTTATTATTTTAAGTTTTTTTTTTTTAATGTACAATTAAAATATTCATATAGCTTTAAAATTTACGTAGTTTTTTACGTAATTTGTATTTGTTAGGTACTCTGTGTATAAAACTGTTAGATTGAACAGAAATCTTTAAAAATTTGTGAGGAGGTTCATTATAAGTGGTACTTAGTACTCCAACAAAAAAATCGAGTATAATGTATAGTTTTATTTTATTTATAAGAGTTTTAAAACCTAAAAGGTTGCAGGTACAAATCAAATAACTTTATGTATATCCCATGTTCCCAACTATCCGCCTACAAATGGTTGAACCATGATTAACTTAGACATTTAGAAACATCTAATAATAATTTTATTTCGGGCAAAGCAGATGATTTACGGCTCATTCTGTATATAGAATACGTACCTAATGAAAATATAATATTCCCACTCGTAGTGTTAATTCCATACTTTAATAGTAATGCACAACTGAATCTATATAATTCACGCTTAACTATATGTGCGCTTCATAAGATCCATTGTGATGTATTGTGTCCTAATCCTATATATTAATTTACTGTAGTATTAATAAAATAAATGAATTACAATCTATTCGGTCGGTTTGCCATTGTACATTATATTTTACAATGTACAACCGGTATAGATGCTGTAATTGGATAATAATATAATAAAATATTATATTTGATATACTCTATGTACATAGATTATGAGGATGACAAACGACAATACTTAATGTTTTTCATGGTCGAGATTTACATAGTTGGTATAGTGTTAAACGTTGGTATACCTACTACATGTTTTTCGAGAATGATGTCTAGGAAAATAGTCCACGGGTAAAAAAAATAACAAACCATCTGTATTTTATAACATGTGTCAGCGTATATGTAAATATTATAGAGCTAGGTACGCATTTAATTTGGCTGATTGTTGTTTCGGCACCAGTATATACATATTAGAAAACATACAATGATTACCTACGTTAAAAAATTTATATAAGTTAATTATGAATCGACAAAGACAATACCTGTTATTAAGAATTTTAAACACCTAATAGATTTTATCTTTATATATATATATATATATATAACTAACAGACAGCTATGTTTATATTTTATTAAATACCTAAGTTCCTACTTTATCAGTATATTAATTGATCCCTTTTAAGATGTTTAGAAGTATAGTTTATAGTTCATGTTCCCAGGCTCTTTTAATCATAAATATTATGCATTCTATATAGATAATTATAACACAAAACCGTGAGAAATAAACTATTTAATCGTTGAAAACCATTCAAAATATTGATTAATTATTATACCCATTTGAATATAATATTAATTCACTTAGTGTGTAAATAAAATTATTATACACGATAAGAATATAATTATAACTATATACTTGTTTGTATAAAGTTAATATTTCAAAATTTTAATTAGTTGCTAATAGTTGTTGATAATATTTATTTTGTGTATAGTTAATAGACATATGATCGTAACTATCACAATAAACATCATAATTCTAATTAGGTACCTATTTAAATGCATTTTTGATAAAAAAAATCATACATTTTTTTACATTAAACCATTAAACAAACTGTAATAATATAATCGTAATCAATACATTCGAATGATTCGTGTTTACTGTCGCAGAAATGATTAACTGCAGTAATAATACATTTGTTGTAGGTACTTCCACGTAAATTAGATTACGTGAATTTTAATTACATATTATTACACAAAATATGTTACATTATGTATGTTTAAAATGGCCATGTAAACTTTACATACAACGTATTTCTTTCGGGTAAACCTATTATTCTCTGTCGACCCGCGAGTGTTTATATTATGTTATGACTTTTATTAAATCAAAAAACGACTCTGAGGCGTTCAGCGTTGACTATATACTATTAGCCGGGATGAAAGAATATCTTTCCCAACCCTTGGGCAGGTTTCTGGTTTATTGTTATTTAAAGTCTTGACGTAGTATGTATAGAATTTTGTAATGTTAATACTACTTAGTTAAATTAGTCGAGCATTTGCTACATACACGAATCACTTAATTTACCATTGCCGAAAAAAAATATTGAAAAATGCAAACAACAGTGGCGTATGTACGCGGGAGATTAGAGAGATATATATCTCCACTTGACCTTTCTTTTTAATGCTTACATATTATTTATACGACTACCTATACTTGTTTTTAACTTTAAATCGCTTTACTTTTTAGTCAAAAAAATCAAAAATTTAATATGTTGATATATTGATAGTTGATACATATTTTTAGTCAAAAAACCTGAAGGCAGATTGGATTACTTACAAAAAATATATAAATTGAAATTCGATATATTTCTTTTAGCATACATGTACATTGGTTACACATTTTGTATACAATCTAACATTATATTTCAAAATCTATTATCTCCGTCCTTGGCAAAATTTAAAATACGCCATTTGTAAACAAATATATGTCTAAACTCGACTACTTTTACAGCACTATAAAACCAACAATGAGTGACTATTTAATCTTATAAATATAAATTCTTTATTAATGATATAGATATAATTTACATATATCATATTATATTTATGAGTGCTTGTCGACAATATAGCCCGGCTGGATACCTATAATATACCTAGTATTAAAATAAATATAGGTACATAGATTTTTATTACAGTTAAACTTATAGGTTATTTGGTTATTTTTATTTATTAGTAAAAAGACATCCGGTCATTAAGCAGGCTAGTCAATTATCGTGCTATCTTGGCAGCGCCAGACATTGAAAATAAAAATGTATAACTTATTAGTTGACTAGTCGATTAGTCGACCATATACCTAGTTGGTGATGTCTGAACTAGTATCGCGTATACAACTAGATAAATAGCCCAATTGTACCTTTTCCATTAACCGTGGTTAGGTTAGGTGTACCGTGTACTATCTATGCATATAATCATAAATGCATTTAAATGCATATAATACCTACATTATATCGATAGCATGAAAAATTGAACTTGAATAATATTACAGTAGGTAATATATATTTACTTGTTTTCAAATAATGCAATTGTGTACTTATTATACCATTGTTGAATATGATAATTTTAGCTTTGTTTCTAATAGGTACCGATATAATTCCTAAATAATATACATTAATGCAGGTTTCTAGCTTTCAACTTTATATAGTTGGGAAGAAAACTACTTATATATAATAATGATATGTAAAATTATTATATTAATAGGTAGTTGTGTATTTTAAATGTAAGCTAATACGTTTGCTTGCACTCAGCCCGAAGCCCAACACTACTGTAATACAAATTCAATGCGGAGATTCTGTGTTAAAAAAAAACGGTATATTATTCAAAAGAACCGGCGAAAGGAAATTGTTTATTAGGTTCTGGACAAAGTATGTACTCTAGTAGTATGTCACTACATCAGTGGTCTGTTTATTTTCATAACATATTATTTTAATATTAATACTTATACGTATTCATAAATATATATATGAATGGGTGAAAATAAATCAAAATAATCAAAACAAACAAATATGAAGTTAATAATTATAGATACTGCGACGTACTGTATTCAAATTTGTGTTTAAAGGAGTAAGGGTATAGGCACAGCAGTTCAAGAATGTCAGCAGAAATATAAATCAGGAGAGGACAAAGTCTAAAATTGTATTATTTAATTAAATTAAATAAATTATATAATTTTATTGATTATTAATGTGCAAACAAAAACATGATTTAATCTAAATTACCGTACTTCCTGCCACGACCGGGGACACATGCTCCCCCTCCCTTACACACGCCCTTACACAGTACGCGTCCAATTGAACCAGAATATGGCATGATTATTTAATGCGTCGAATTCAAGTAACCAACGAATCAAGAGCAATATGATATTATAATATCAATCAAAAGGGAGATAATAAACATAATAGTAAATTGTCTGCAGTTGTATTATATGGTTCTATTGATGTACAATTAGTTAAACTGTTATCGGTCTATCGGCGCGACACAATACGTACGGCTGCCGGTTTCGAGTAAGTCCGCTTAATTTATATTTTTATCTGAGCTATGCCGTGGTGGATTGAATTATGGCACTCGTAGCGTTCGCGTACAATATGTCCGTCGTACACCGTACGCGCCAAGTAGCCTACCTATAGTGACTGATACAATTAGTTTTACGCGACACACGGCTATGGTTAATGCGTTGGCAATAACGTTGTTCACCGTGGCCGCCTTGGCCGCGCACGACCGCGCGTCGGCCGCTCGCATACTCGGCGTGTTCCCGCATCACGGATACAGTCATCACATGGTTTTTTTGCCGTATCTCCGGACGTTGGCGGACCGCGGGCACGACGTGCACGTTATCAGCAATTTCGGTTCGTCTCATCCGAAAATCACGGACATTGGCGTCGAGGGTTCGATGCCTATGAGCAACAACGCAGTCCCGTTCCCGGAATCGGACACGGCGTTCGGATTTTCCAGCATGTGGAGGGACATGGATATACTGTACAACTTGGCAAAGTCCACGGAGAGTATGTTCGGCGTGCCGGCCGTGAAACGGTTGCTGGATGACCCGGACGCCGCGTTCGATCTGGTCATCGCCGAACATTTCAACAGCGAGTTACCGCTCGGTTTCGCAGCCAAGTACCGCGCACCTTTCGTGTTGCTCAGCAGCTGCCCGTTGATACCGTGGTCCATGGACCTGTTCGGTCAACCACAACAGACCGCGTACAGGCCGTCCGTGTTCAGCGGTTTGTCGGAACGCATGGATTTCGTCCAGCGACTGATCAACACGTTGATATCACACGTGTCCATAGTTATGTTCAGGACAACGAATCGACCCTGGAGCCAACACGTGATAAAAAAACACCTCGGTGTAGATATTTCTCTGGACGAATTCGCGTCAAACGCAAGTTTGATATTGGTCAATACGCATTGGAGTATTAACGGGGTGTCACCCACTGTACCCGCCGTATTGGAAGTCGGCGGAATGCATATGAAACCGCCGGCAGATTTGCCAAAGGTTAGTAGGTACCTCTAGCTATTTTACAATACCTTTTAATGAAACATTTTCTCTCTAAAAAAACAAAATATATAAATAAAAAAATGTACTAATAATATAAAGATAATAATTGTATAGGTATACCAGTATAATATTACACTGTATATGCATTTGCGCGTACTCGGGGCGACAGAGGGTGCTTGGCACCCCTAAATCTAAATTTAGCACCCCTAGATTTTGAGCTAAATATAATACTCAAATATGGGATAAGTAATATTACTGTTACAATATTAAGTGTTAATTTATATTATACATAATATATTAACATTACATCGTATTTATATTATATTATATTATATTGTGTAAATTTATGTTAATTGTTTTCATATTTATAATCCATCCCTTGTCGATTATTTATTAGGCAATGAAAGATTCATTAATGAAAATAGGATTTCATTGTTTCAATTCCTTTTATTTAATGTGCAAGTATAATATGTAGTTTTATTTTGTCGAATAGGTTGATGGTGGGGGGTAACCCCCTCTCATCATACCCTATCGTAAATAATTTTAGCATTCCCATTTTGAGACTGAATGTGCGCTAATGTATAAAGAATGATTTTTTTTATCTTGAACCAGTAATTATCTCAGAGGATTTTAAGTCAATTCGATTTCTGTTTTTTCTAATCATTATGAAATCTTTTAAGCTTTATTTTAAAACCATTTTAAATTTTTTATCCCTACTCCATAACCCTTAAATAAGCACATACTTTTGATTTTTAAATAGGAACTCCTTCCCTCTTTTTGAACACCAATTTGAATAGAGAATATTTTTCTAGAAATGTTGATATACATAATACTAATATCAGATTTACCGTTAATGAGTTATAATAGTTTAAAGTTGAGACTGGAAGAGTAGGGAACGGTTATAGATAGGTAATTATTATTACCCTTCCTTACTCCTCCGATCTAAACTTTAAACTTTTATAACTCATAAATGGTAAATCTGATATTAGTATTATGCATATTAACATTTCTAGAAAAAATATTCTCTATTCAAATTATTCAAATCTTTGTTCAAAAAGGGGAGGAATTCCTATTTGGAAATCTAAAGTATAGTTATTGTATAATTAAGTAGGTATACGGAATTGGGGTAAAAAATTAAAAATGGGTTTAAAATAAACTTTAACCGATTCCATAAAACAAAACAGAAATCAAAAATTCCACTTAAAATCCTCGGAAACAATTGCTGGTGCATGACAAAATAATCACTCTGTATATATTACATTCTCTAGCTAACTATGAAAATAATTGTATTATGTGTGAGTTGAACATAGTTTATTTTTTCATCAGAAGTGCAGGGTGATCCATAAGTCACTTGACCGACAAAACTTATTATTAGAAGTTTCTAATAATAATTTACCGAGACATATATATATACATATTACATGTACATAGTACACGATCGTTTAACACACGGTCGATTAATTAGGTGTCCTTTATCGTTTAAACTTTTCTATTGCAGGTTTCATTATAAATACTCATCATAGCTATATTATTGTGTCTTTATCTATACCCTAATTTAGATTAACAAAATAGATTGCACCCCAATTTTTCTTGCTTATACATTTAATTTTAGAACGGACGAACAGTAAAGTAATAGTTACAGCTGTAATTACGTAATGTACATACATTTTTTTCATTTTGTATTATATAATATGGATTATTATAGGGTGACGAACTACAATAGCTATACTTTTTTGTTCTTCATAGTCGAGCTTTACACAATGCCGGTACGCCTTGTCCTCCGACGCCCTATTTATTATTAACAAATAAATAAATTATTGATTATCGATTACTTACCTTGTATACATAGGTATTGTGTTTTCCTAAATTCCTGACCTTTCAAATGGGTATCAAATTTATATAGCCGTTTAATGTAATTTACCCCATCACTATAATTGACTTATTAACTTCGATAGGTGTACAGACAATAATGATGAGGTGATGAAAAAATATCCTAAATGTCCGTATGTTAGAAGTGACCGTTCTCAAATATTGATCCCGCGGTGAGCTCATATTAAAATATTACAATAATTAATTGGTAGATGCATTCGTCGATCCATCCTAAAGTGCTATTATACTTGGATGTATTACTTTAAATAATAGATAATATTCACGATGTATATTATATGTATTTAAAAATTACTTGATATTGTTTTTTTTATAAGATATCAACTAGCTTATTTAGTGATAAATTGTTTTTTACTGACATTAGCAAATCATTTAAAATGACGTTTCGTTTTACAAAATTTATAGTTACTAATCAATTTTTGGATTTTGAAATTAAATCAACACACTTTTAAACTAACGAGTAGTATTATAATGCAAATATAGTGAACAAATATCAAACACTTGCCAATTAATCAATGGATATACAGCTAAAATAATTAAACACACACAATTGTTTTTTCTATGTTTTATTACACGTGTTATTATGCATGTGCGTATTATATAAAGTTACGAAACCAATTTTACTTATTGTTTATTTTGATCTATAGTCTTAAAAAATACAATCATCTAATAAACATATACCTATGTAAGAAAAATCATATAAATTAATATTGCGAATCAACAGAAATAATTATCAAGCATTTTATATTATTACTTGTATTGATATTTTAATAATAATTTACAAATTAGCTACCTATTAACAACTTTGCACTTTATCGGTACTTTACCACTGTTAAGATATTAAGAAATATGGTTTATAGTTCATGTTCCCAGGATTCTTTATATTATATTATAGTCATAAATCATAAAAATGATCAAATGTATAACAAATTACCATAGAAATAAATGAACAATTTCACACGGGTAATATTAAAACTACAATTTTCAAAAATTAATATCCAACTCACAATGTATATAATATGCAGTATATATATATATATATATATATATATATATATAGTCTATAATATGCAGTGGTTTCCAATCGGTAGTCCGTGGACCTAAATGGCAATATTATTTTATTGGTTGTCCACGGCCCCAAAAAGTTATATAAATAGCTGGTACTAGGGATGGGTACGGCCACTTTTTTAGGTGCGCGGTAGGAAGGTGGTGTACATAAAGTTATTTAGTTTATACCTGTGACCAACGATAAACCATTGCTAACGAAAAACGATTCGGACGAAAATTTGGTTAGACTTATTTTGAAATGCTGTAATATTTACGATTTTCGTCAAAATTTGATATTAAAATTCTTATAAAAAAAAAATATTACATTAAATTCAACTTTTTCTTGTTACCACTAAGTATAACTTATAATGAGCCTCCTGTTAAATTGTCAAACATTTCTTTTTAGTTTAACAAATGAATCCACAGAGTATCTACCAAATAAAAATTACATAAAAAACTAGTAAAATTAAAATGTCTCAACAATTTTTCAAATTTTTGAAAATTTAGCCCCATCTAGAAAAAGTAAATTTAAGTTTTTTTTAAAAAATTCCAAGTTGTTACGAATATTTTTAACCGAATAACAATAAAAAAACTAAATTTAAAATAATAAAAAATTATTTTTGTAAATTTTCCTGTTCTTTCTACGTGTTTTTCGGTTTTGTTCAATTAATAAATACTACAAAGAAAATCAAAACATGATTTTCTTGGCCATTAACTAAATTAAATATTGAATACTTATTTACGACCTAGATTAAAAATACATCAAAAAAAGTATTTTGTCGTTTTTCTATTAGCAGTATTTATGGTAGAAAACATAAGCCGTAAACATTTTAGTTAAAAATATGTAAAAATATCTAGTTGATACGCTAAACGGCATATTTTAATGTAACTATTATAAGTACTAGATACTAATACTGCTAGATACTAAATACTAAGACTTAAATAAATTATATGCAATTTTTATATTTTTCAGTATTTTTATTTTTGTTATTAGTTTTTTTTACTTATATTGTTTGATTTATTGATGCACAAATTATGTCGGTGCGAGGTAAATGGACGGTGTGCAAATGATAACCGCTGATGCATAGGCATAATATAATTATATATCTATTAATTAGGATATGTAAATGGGTATAATGTGATTTCAACTTGAAAGTTTTAATGCAAGCGATAGGTACATATTTCGTTAGTTATAGTTATAGTTATCTATAGGAAATGTTACCTATACCAATATAATGTTAGGTATTTAATTATATTACGCGTAATATTTCTTAAAATTATGATACCTATCTAACGATATCCTTGTGTCACAATTCAATTTTTGAATGCAAATAAAAGTTTTTTTTTTTTTTTTGGTGGGGGGGTAGTTAATTGACCCTAAACACCCCTTTAATTTATAATTGTCGAATACTTAAGATTTTTTTTTAGTGACTACATCACTGGAGCAAGATTTCTTTTCGAAAAGTTATTTACATAGAGAAAAAAGAAAAGTCGAATAGTCAATGTACATTTCTATCCTTAAAACAGCAAAACCTGATAATCGACTTTGTGTCATCAAAGTTTGTAAACTGTTTTTTTATCAATTTCATTTTCTAAATTGTTCAATCCCCGCTACAGTTTGACACCATCAATGTCATAACTAAATACATACCTGGGGTTGTCAAACGGGGGGATGAATGTGACGTATCCCTCCTAAAAGTCGTTTTTCTTAAATATTTATAATAATATATATAGTGAATTTTTTGCCAAGTGCTCACCATATTTGTTAGTAAACCTAAATATTTAAAAAAAAAAAAAAAATGTTTTGTTTATTTATTGCAATAAAAATTTAAATTCTTTATTGAAGTTTATTGTAGGAACTAAAATTTAATGAAAAAGACGGACATACTCCACACCATGGGCGTAATCATGGGAATGCTAGGGGGTGCACTTCCATCCCCTTGAATTTTTGAGAGGGTGCAATACTATTAATTTGTACCCATTAAATTTTCTATATTTCAAATCTATAAATAATTCCAAACTATTAAATGTTTATTTAGTAATGATAACGACTATAATAGATGATAATTACCACGTCCTCATGATACTCATCGATTTACAGTTCTTTGATTTTACGTATGTGATAGTAAACCGACATTTTTTCAATCTGTTTTCCTAGAGATGACTGAGGACACTGTATTCTTATCTCAATTGTAATCACGCTATACTTGTATGTATTATATAAGGTTATTTAATTTATATCTGTGACTAATGATTTATTAAGTTTAATGAACCACTCTGTATATATTTATTTTTTTAAATTGTATTATATACAATCTATACATTAAAGCACAATACGTATATTTGAGGACAGTGGTGGATTCAAGGAAGACTGAGAAGGTCCGGGTTCCCCTAGAGTCCCTAGAAAGTTATACTATATATATAATTGTAATAATATGAATTAATAATGAATATATATCATCGTTCAAATTGCGGTTAGACCAATTGTTACGACAGTCAATACAATGACCTGATTGTAATCTCATCTTTATTTTATATTTAATGTTCATTGTTTTTATTTTAAATTATGCAAAATTATGCCCCCTCCCCCCAAAAAAAAAAATTCTATATCCGCCACTGTCTGAAGAGTAAATGAAAGGCCGTGAACATCATGATTAAAGGTGCCACTCATTAGTGACACCATAGCTGTTATGTATTAATAATTAGGAAAGCGCCTAAATCATTTTTACTTATTTTAGGAGGTCGCAGGAACATGTTCTTTTTAATCTGCAACGGTGATTTCCAGGAAGGTTTGGAAATTGGAACGAATAGATTTTTTACAAGTTGATTGTAATGGCATGGAAATATTGGAAAAAAATTTATTGTAAAATGTTTTTCTTTTTTCAATAATTGTTTTTATATGGAGGTCATTATGTTTTGTAAAGTTTGAATTTTGTTTATATTTGATTCTTTAGCTGCAACCCAGAGCTAGAGATTTGGTTAATAATTGGAGGGAGAGTAGTCCCTCATAAAATATTTTAATGTATACATTGTTCTAACCTCCAAAAATTGTATTCTATTTGTGCCTATAATTTGTTTTATGGGTCGGTTTGATTCATAAACCTCTACCTATGGATTTTGGTTTAATTTTTCAGCACTTATTTAATTATTATTTTCAATGTCTATTTTATTTTTGATACAATAACTATTGGTTATTATAAAATAAATAAGTACCTATACATTAGTTTTATTATTATTGAGTTTAAGGTAGCTACATAAATATTAAATAGGTAATATAGATAAATACATAAAGTTGTACGAGCTACGAGTACATACCTACTTATAGAATCCGATTCCCAATTATCTGCAGATAAAATTACGAATTATGAATTAGTAATATAAATATTATTCGAATGATAAACGCAAAGTGGAAGAAGAAATCGATTCTAAAAAAAATGTTCTATTACAAACCCATATTATATCAAATAGTAACAATGTGCATTGAGTATAGGTTATTATGTTTTAAATAGCGAATCATTAGTAGTAATTGTTTTCTTATGTTTTAATATTATAAATTATAATTGATAATGTCTATGATAATGGTTTTGTTGATAAGTGCGGCAATTATAACCGTTACTATAGTTCGTCCAGCGTATACAGCCAACATCTTAGCCGTGTTCCCTCATCATTGTTACAGTCATCATTTGGTTCATTTGCCGTATATTCAAGAACTCGCTAATGTAGGGCACAATGTCACTGTCATCAGTAATTATCGTTCAGAACACCCGAACATCACTGACATTTCGATTAAGGGAACTATGGCTATTTACAATAACAAACGAAATATTAGCCACTTGGAAATAACATATTTGAACGACATACATCTTTCAGTTAAAATAATTCGATTCTTTTACAATAGCGGAAAATCAATTGAACCTATATTAACATTGGATAGTGTAAACAATTTGATGAATAGTTCTACTAATTATGATTTACTTATTGCAGAGCATTTCAATCACGAATTATCGATGGCTTTTGCATTAAAATTCAACGTACCTTTTATACTGACGAGTACTTGCAATATGTTACCTTGGAATCAACATGCGGTCGGGCAACCGTACTCGTTAGCGATTAACCCTTCGCCATTAACAAGCTTACCGCCAAAAATGAATTTTTACAATAGGCTAATGAACACGGTTTCCAATGCCGTACAATTGTTGGGTTACAAATTTTTATGTCGAAGAAGAGATGAAAAAATTATCAATCGCTTATATAACACGGACGTTTCATTAAGCCAATTAGTTTTAAACGCTAGTTTGTTTTTGGTCAACACTCATTTCACTTTATTTGAATCTAGACCGTTGGTACCAGCTGTTATTGAAGTCGGAGGTATACATATACGACCAATTAAGCCGTTATCAACAGTAAGTGGATAACGTCTGTTTATGAACACGCTTGTGATGTACAATAATTATTATACAAGTATTTATGTTTAATTTATACGTCAACGATAACAAGCATATTATTATGAAATGTTCTTTTATTAGGTAGGTACTTAATTAATAATTTACTTATACTTTGCAAGTGTATTTATTGTCAATAATGTTAATGGGTATCAGGGTATATTTCAAAACTCCACTCTGGAGGGCTACAAAAATCCGGAATGCAATAATCGTATTATTCCGGGAAAATATCAATGGTTTCTAAAATATTTTCATGAGTATAAAATAAATGGTATCTTAGCTATCACTTCTTCTCGAGTAATAAGAAACGACGTTCTCAATTCGAAAGATTTTGAAACCATTGGTACATTATTACGTTCCGGATCATTGCGATCCGGGGTTTTAAGTTCAGAAAAATTATTGTCTACTCTTCCCATCGAAATATCTTCGACATTTTTTGAAATAATTGTCATATTTTCTTAGAGGGAGTCATCTTTTTGTCTAATTTTCCTTGAAAATAAAGACTATATATTTGTATATTATAAATATATAATAACCTTATTGGAAGTGATATTTAACCTTTCCCCCCTTTACTTTTAGATACTTTTAACACTTTGAGTGGTGAAAGTGCGCCCACGCATTTAACACTCCCACTACTAGACGTAATGAACTCAAATTTTATAATTATATCAGTTGCTTAACAGGATTAAAGTCGGGTAAAAATTGGGTTGAATTTCTATATGGAGTTTTCCATGTTGTTTTGCAGGACGGTGGATTTTTTAGTTTTGAACACCCATCATACAGACCCTTCCCCCAATCGAAGCCAAGGCGATGAATTTCAAATATACATAGTGTTAGTTTCAAGGCCCACCCTTACTATTTTTCCAAAAAAATTGCATACATTTTTTTTTTTAAATTACACTCTCTCCTTTCTCAAAATTCAAATCGTGCTCTAATTATAATACATTTCGTTATTAGGTATAAGTAATAGACAAGTTATCTATTATGTTCATTTAATCATTATATGACACATAAAAAAACAATTAAAATTAAAGCTACACCGATATGGATTATTAATAATTATTATATTACTACCACTGTATCAGTTAAACGAACAATTATTTTTCTTTATCTTATCAGTATAGCGTTTAAAATTGTTACTCTAGTGTCTACAGCTGTGTATAAAATAATCTTTTATACATACAATTATTTTTATTACAGTAATACCCATTGTTCGGCTATACATTGCATATTATAAGTACTTACATATTATACATACCTAATACGATCATTAAAAATGAAGTGTTTACTTCTCATTGCATTATATATTTATGTGCTTCTTTTTTTTTATCATGAAGCTTTGTGCGCAAACGTTTTAGGCGTTTTTCCAATCGAAGCCCCAAGTCATCAAATAGTTTTTGACTCGTACATGTCCGAACTTCATCGCCGCGGCCATAACGTGACCGTATATTCACATTTTCCCGATATTGCTTCTGAAAAATACAAACGAATCAAAATCAACAATAATACGTCTTTGTTGAACCCAAACTACCTGACAATGGACCGTATGTATTCGCATTCTATTTTGAACAGTTACAAACACGTCTTTTACATGGTAATGAATGGAGAAACGTATGCTCAGTCCAACGTATTGCGCCAATTATACACCCAACCAGAAGATACTTACGATTTAATAGTGACTGAAACGTGTAATACGGATCTTTACCTGGCACTCGTAGAACGATTCAAAGCCCCGTTTATCGCATGGACTACGTCCCCGATATTTGTATGGTCCGCAGATCGCATGGGAACGTCTAATCATCCCGCATATATACCAGTTCTAATGACCCCTTACGGGACACATATGGATTTCGCGGAACGAACATACAACACGTTATTACGATTTATAGCTTTTTATAAATATTATACTGACTCTTCAATTCCCTCGCAGAGAATCGCATCGAAATACTATAAATCTTCGTCTCGATTAAGCGAGTTAGTGTTGAAAACTAGTTTTTTGTTTGTTAACACGCACTATACTGTTTGGGGGGGTAGGCCCTTACCCCCCAATGTTATTGAAGTTGGTGGTTTGCACATTAAACCACCAAAACCTCTGACAGAGGTTCGAACATATCACAAGGAATATTATATAATTATATATATAGAATGTCTCATGAAGATAATATGCAATATCTTGGAAAGTTGGAAAGTATTAACTTTTTTAGTAATTTTGTTTTTAAAACTTAATAAACAAGTAGGTAGCTTTAACATGTTAAATTACCATTATATTTTGTCAGCCTTATTTTTAGGGGTATACTGACTATCTACTTTTTAAATGACAGTCTATATTGAAAATTTCATAAATAGACGGATTATTAGTTTAAATACATTTTGGTGTTGAAATTTTTATTTTTTGTCAACTCGTTGACGAGATATTCTACTCCTAAGTTTGGGTTGGGGGAGAGTAGTCGAGGATCATATGTGTGGCAGTACAGCACACGGCGTTTGAATAGTGCTCTGCTATACTCCCCCAACCCAAACTTAAAAGTGGAATATCTTATCAACAGGTTGACGGAAATCAAAAATGTCAACTCTAAAATATATTTTAACTAATACTCCGTCGTGGTGATGTAGCATTTTCGAATTAGTTGTGTAAAATAAGAACATACACAATTACTATTACGAAAAAAGTTAATATACTTTCCAAGATATTGCGATGATAACATCTTCGTATGACATTCTGTATACAATAGTTTACAAAGTATTAAAATAATTACCCATTCTATTTTGTATCATTCAATAAAAATGTATTTATTTATATTGTAGGATATTCAACAATTTATTGATGAAGCCGAGCACGGAGTTATTTATTTCTGCATGGGCAGTCTATTACGAGGTGAAACATTTTCCATTGAAAAAAGGCAGATGTTTTTAAATGTCTTTAAAACAATTCCTCAGCGAGTACTATGGAAATGGGAAGGAGAATTTCCCGATAAACCATCTAATGTTATGATACGTAAATGGATGCCTCAAAGAGATATTTTAGGTAAATATTTACACATTCGTTTAAATTTTATAGATATTAAAATGTATAACCATTTAATGTTTTCTACTTTTAGTAATTACTTAAATTGTTACTACATCTATACATTATTAATTTTTGCGAATTATGTCTCCTACTTGAAATATTGCTTTAATCAAAAAATGCCTAGAGAACTTTTTTTATTACATTTTGGATTTAGTCGCTCTGAAGTAATTCGTTTTTGATTTTCAAAGTCGTTTTCATGATAATTGAGAAAAACCGGAAATGGGTGAAAAATGAAAACTGATAAATTTACAATGTTAAGGATTCCATTGTTTTAAATGTTTACGGTTTATATTTTCTATCAGAAATATTGCATCAATTGAAAAAAACAGAAGATTTTTTTTGTTAAATGTTTAATCTAGTTAGTGAATAAGAGTCGCATTTTTGATTTTTCAAGTAGATTTTTAAATAATTGAGCAAAATTGAAAGAAAAACATAGAAAGAATGGGAAAATTTATGGAAATAATGGTTTCATTAATTTTAATTTTGATTTTTTTTGTCAATTAAAAATATTTATAGACTTAACATTTCGAAAGAAATCGTAAATGCCTTTTCTAAACGTGGTACAGTTTTAAAAACATTTGACGATTTTTGAGCTATTTGTAAGCATTTTATGTTTACGAGATTTGTACGTAGTTTTTATTTGTTAAGTACATATGTACTATATGATGGATATCATTATTTGATCAAGTAGAAATTCTTGAAATTTAACAGAAGGTTAATTATAAGTTTTGCTTAGTGGTCAAAAAAAAATGTGTGTAATGTACATAACAATTTTTTTTAATAATTGTATTTTAAGATCAAATTTTGAAGAAAATCATAAATATTATGGCCTCACAAATCATGTATAAACGAGCTTTGCTCAGAACTGATTTTTCTTTGCTGGAGTTATAAATTAAATAACTTTATATATCGTACTTTTCCAAATTCCGACCGACATCAGTGACACACACATCAATGGTATCAGTTCTTTTAGATTCTGAGTGTAGCAAAGGATGTATTGGTTTTACAAAGATGTTTATTTTTTTTTTTACTTTTTATTGTTTTATTTTTAAACTGTGGGCAAAAATTCTACCAGAAATCTTGCTCCGGTTTTCAATGATAGCACTTTTTCTAAAAGAAAATCTGACTAGGCAGATACTTTAGAGTGGTTTTTTCGATTTTACTAAGAGTTTTCCCAGTAAATATGAAAAACCGTGAAAAAACACGGGAAAACCAGGAAAATCATTACTATATTAAACAAATATTATTAAAGATAATACATAATGTTTATCTAATTATTTTGTCATAATATGACATATATTTGTTTGACAAAGTATCACTATCAAATGAACTCCGCTCAGAATCGTTTTTAGTAGTCAATGATTTATCATTGTTTGCACATACAAATTAATTTTCCCTCTATATCCTACCTTCCCAATTTTTCACCAACAGTGGCTGCACCCGTCTCCATTATCCTAAGACAGCTTTTTTTTTCTACGTCATCTTTCATTGTCGACTTGTCAGGTCATATATCCCACAATTATAAGATAATAGTCCTATAATGACTTTGTACATACCTAGTATAGTTTTTGATTCAAGTGATACTTATTTTTATTTGAAGAACCAAATACAATAGTTTGTTACCTACATATATCACTTATTCGCCGCAGCTGTGCTTATTCTAATTTTTTGCTGGTCGTTGTTTATGTAATTTATCTCAAATACTTAAACTTATGTAATTTTTTAAAATTGGATATTCTCTCATTTATAGTTTTGTTTAATATTTTTACTATTCTTTATAAGTTTCTTAGTACCTACTAGTTTTTATTTCTTGACAATTAATTGATCTTTAAATAAATAATATGATGATGCTATTTTGTCATCTGCCTATGCTTGTATTCTGGGCTTTCTTACAATGTTTTATCATCCATGATTCTTGTGTTTGACTGTATGTCTGTATATAGAGTTATATTGAAGAATAATGTCATATTGGTGACAACACATCTCTTGGCTTCAAACTTATCTGACGTGTGCTGATTGAATTTAACCTTACGCATCGTTCTATTCGTTCTACACAAATATACTTTTAAACAACTTGTTATCTTATATATTACATAGTTTTAAATTTCAAATTATAAATTTAAAACAAAACAACAAATAATATAATGCAATCATCTTGGCCTGTATTTCTTTGTGCCATTAATAAGACAATTTCTGTAGGATACATTTTACAATTATTAACAAATTATAAAATAATAAAGTAAAAACAAAATTATTGAAATGGTTAATACTCGTAAATAAATAAAGTAAATAAATATGTAAATAAAAAATATATTTATAAAAATAAAATAAATAAAGGAATCAATGTGTTGCCTGGAGTATTATGATAGGTGTATTATACGACCGGTTTCGAATTAAAAATGCATAATCAGGTATATCACAGTCAAAATGTAAAACACATTCACAGAGTCAAAATTTACATTTATCATAATACTCTAGGCGACGCATTAATTCATTTATTTATTTTATTTTTATATATAAAATTTGTATTTATATATTTATTTACTTTCATTATTAATACATTTACTTTTATTTTATATTTAGCCTACATAATGTAAATTTAACCTAAAATATAATTCACTAATTTTGTAATATATATATCTATATTGTTTTGAAAAAATAAATTTTCTGTTTATTTATTTGCTTACAGCTCATCCTAATGTTAAGCTTTTTATCTCCCATGGTGGCTTACTGGGTACCACCGAAGCTGTATACGAAGGTGTACCAATTTTGTCAATGCCAATTTTCGGCGATCAAATGACTAATATTAAAGCCGTTGTAGACAAAGGATCTGCAGAAATGATGTATTACTATAATTTGAATGAAGATGAGATTTCTACTAAACTAAAATTAATGCTCACAAATCCTATGTAAGTGTCTCCTATGAAATATTTACGTTTAGTAAAATGTTTATAATTAGTATTTATTTTTATTTTGCACTCCAATACCGACTAAATTTCTGAAATATAGATACAAACAAAAAGCAAAAGAATTATCAGACGCTTTTCGTGATCGACCGATGTCTCCGTTAGAGACAGCTGTGTATTGGACAGAATACGTCATTAGACATAAAGGGGCACCACATCTTCGGTCTGCTGCTGTTGGAATGCCATGGTATCAATATTACTTAATAGATATATTATTTGTTATTTTACTATCTGTCATAGTTATGTTCGGATTATTATATTGTTTAATTTTCAAAGTACTTTTACGAGTTTTACGACGGTTAACGAATCCAAAAACTAAAGATAAACAAACTTGAATATAATTGATGTCTAGTTTACTATAAAATTATAATAAATACATAGATGATTTATATAATTTAAGTACTTACTTATAAGTCAGAGGTAATTTATCATGAATTAATGTGATTAGTTATTTACACAATTTTGTTAAATTCTAGTTGTAACGAAATGTTGAACGAACTGAGGTCCAAAAAAAAAAATATTTAAATCATTTATAATATTATAATGTATATAATTTATTTTTTATATACTTACCTGTGTCCTACTTGTATTAGATAATCCAGTAGGAATTCTAAACAAGTTTCCATTTTATTGATAACTCTACGAACGCGTTTTGTGGCGTAACTACTTACGGTGTCGTCTATAAACAATCTAGCACAGCAAATTTGCTAATTTGTAGCATTGCTGTGTTGACTGTTGGGAGTTCAGATATCATGACAAAAATATTGAAAAGCGTAGGTCAAAAAAAAAAATGGAAGATCAACAAAGAATCAAGTACAGGCACGTAGCTTGAAATAAAATCTTCTCACCGAAAAATCAGATTATTGGTACAATTATTGGTAGTCGGTAATAAATTATATGTGTGGCTCAACCCTCTCGCTTCCTGACCCAAAAAAGAATAAAAACCTGACTAAGTTCCTGACCACATATACCCATATCATATTATTTTTTTGGTTTCAAAATATTAGAGTAGCAAATCGAAAAAAATAATATTTGAAAAAATGTGTAGTTAGTACATTCAGTACTTTAATTTGAATAATTTTGATAATTTTACTTTAGGTCCTTATTAGATTTGTTCAATTCATTGAATATTTTGTAACATTTAGAATAGGAAGGTCTCCATTGAACATTAAAGTTTCAACTTGATATGTATCTAATATCTAATTGTTAACACACAAGCAATACCAAAAAATGTTACTTTCGAAATTCGGAGACAAATTTCTGGTAAAAAACAAAAATAGAAAAAATTTAAATAATGAAATCGTTTACGCCCTGAATATTAATTATTCATTTTTATAACAATTAAAATTTTACTATGTCTAGAAATGTCAAACATATTAACACAAAAATTGTACGAAATGTAGGTGTTAGTAAAAAATGTTATGACTTTTTTTTTTCTGTGGACAACTTTTCTATCAGCAATTTCACTCCGATTTACAATGATAGCACTTTTTTCTAAAGGAAATCTGACTGGAAAAGTAATTTACAAAGGTAATTTTTTTGATTTTCCCAGGAGTTTTCCCAATAAATGGGATAAAATGGAGGAAAAAACGTGAAAATAGGTACAATATTAAACTAATATTATTAAAGAAGATGTTCCTGCGTATGCTATTATTTTACCATAATATGTCATATATAATGTATATTCATAGCGTAATTTTCTACACTAAGTGTTCTTCAAATTTAACATTATTAGACCTCACGAATCATAACAAAATGTTCTTAACTTCCTTAATTTATCTTCACTCATTGACAAGAGTTCATCCTTACTTTCAAAATTCCTACATAATTTAATACTATGGACTATTGATTGCCCTGAAATGCTCTCTTTTATTCAATTCAAAATACATTTCCTAAATACAAGAGATCCAAAAACCTTTCTATTAATTGTTTTCCCATACAAATAATATTCTCAACTCACCGGCTAATCTTTTAATGTCTGCAAGTAATAAATTTGTTTTTGATATACAATACATTTTCTTTCTACTACCTTCCCAACTTCTCACCTAATCCAGTGGCCCACATGCAAAGTATGTCCGTATTTTTTAAATTTTAAGTGATAATATTTTTATATATTACAAATTAATAGTTTAAATTTAGGTAATTTTAAATGCTATCTTACAAAATTTTGTTTTAGGTATTCTTCATAATTATAGATCGTCAATCGTTCCATTTATGATTTCGATAACGTCTTTATCTTTTTTAATTTTTTTAACAATTATGTTATATCGTCTTACTCAAACTGGTACGTACATAATGTTGCCCTCTCCCTCAAAAACGTGTTGGGGAAACAAAAGTGTTTGTACTTTTTTGTAATAACAGCAACAGTGAAACTTGCATTTCGTATTTTTTGCTGTTTTTCAATTTCTAGGGCTATTTTTAGCATTTTGGTAATTTAATATAATTCATTACAGTTGTATTTTATTAAAATGCATTTTTAGAGTATTTTTTAAAAATGTTTGGGAATTTAAATTGGGTTTAAACTATAAGTTACCAGTAGTATTTGTTAGGATCTAAATTCAATTATAGGTAACGCCAGTACTGTAGCTAGGAAAACATTTTCAGGGAAGGAGAGGCACCTAATTTTTAGTGTAGTTTTTATTAGACTAGAATATTTATCTCTTGTTATTTTTCTGACTCCCTTATTCCCTTATCACTTATTATTTAACCTTTCTTAGTTTTAAAACGTAAAGTTAAAATAAATTTTGTAGTCTTATACGAGAATATAATATAGGTACGTGTAAATTATACATAATAATATAAAACAATACATTTTATAATACTTATTATAGTACTACTAATAATAAATTGTATTAACATAACGAATTTATATAAGTTACATTACATAATAAAAAAAAAAAATCGGGAAAGGTCTCCCACCCCCTTGGCTACGGCATTGGGTAACACTGATGTCATTTACTGTAATTTTCACCCTCATATTTTTGTACATTAAATTCTATAATATGTTTTATTGTTTAAAATTTTAGTTTTTGCATCATTGCCGGACAGAGTTCGCTAGTGCCCACTACCCACACAGTTAATACACAGTTAAAGGGCCTTAAAATATAGATGCTTTAACTTGATCCAGGCTCTCTATAAAGTATATTTATATATGTATACACAGCATGTCATAGTCAGTCACATAATATACTACTATCTTACTATCATAAGCGCGTGTACTGCTTAAGGGGGAGACAGAAGAGGCGGCTGTCTCTCCTGCGAAATTTTTCGCTTAAATATTTAAAAAAAAACAAATTAGACACACATTTTTTTTCTTCTAAAATATTAAACCCTAACGTAGTAACCTTAACTTCGTGCATTGGTACAAATAAACGCGGGGGCCTTTGGATGATTTCAACCCCTCCCCTCTCTTCCGAAAAGTCAACCAAGCCTCCTAAAATAAAGCGTTCATCAAGTAAAACACTAAGTAAATAAAATCAATATTGTATTGACGGGGGCTTAAGGTCCTTCCAAAAATATTTGGACTATTTGTGCGTATGATTTTTGTGTAAGGTTTGGTTTCAATAATCGTTGCCTCCCCTACTAAGAGGACCTGTACACGCCTATGCTTATTATGTTTCTAAGTATGAAACTGATTGCATTTTTCGGGGACACTGGTACCTATTTTGTACTACATTTCAGTACCAGTTGTCTATACTCTCGCCTTTAAACATATGCATTTCTCTTGTCTTACCACGAGAAATATGTATGTTTAAGGAGCTATCTAATAGGCAACCATTAATATTCTGGTGCACTGTGTATTTTAAAGCTTCCGGTATTTCGGTATCTATAGTTTTTGGTTTTATCAATAATGTTAACTGATAAGGAAAATAATTATATATGGGGATGTTTTTTTTTCACATATTTTCTATTTTCTTGTGACTTTTTTTTTTCAGTTTTTATTCTATATGTAGGAATATAGCAGTTATCTATGGTAAATGCTTATTCTCCTATTGTTAAAAGTAAATGTCACATTTTTATAATTAATGCGATCAAACCATTCAAAACGTGTATTGTAGAAAAAATAAGCATAATACAATTTGTTAAGGTAGGTAATTTTAAAAGTTAATTAGTATTTTATACAAGTACAAATAATAATAGACAAATTATTTAAAAAAAAATATTAAAAGTTAAAATGATAAAATATTTTCTCATATGTATTATTATAGATAGTAACTATAAGTTTACTTTTTATTTCAATCAGCAACTTTCATATTTAATTATTTATATATTTTAGTTAAAATAATACCTATGTTATTTGTTTACCATACTAATTTTCTTAAATAATTTTTATATTAGAATGGGTTTGCCTGTTAATTCCACGTCAGATTTATATGAAGATACTAGTGAAGGCGTTGGATTGGGTTGCTGTTTAGTACTTTTTACAGAATGGAAACAAGTTCTTGGATTTATTGATGAATTACCAGAAATTTATACAAATGACAGTCAAAGTGAAAAGTCATATGAACAATTTAAATACATACTTACTCAATATACAGAACAACCTCATTTGATTGATCCCTATTTGTGTGAAATACTAGAAAAAATTTTATCTATTGTGCGAGATACTACAAAACCATCACAATTAAAACATAAAACATTTCGCTATTTATTTCTAATAGTTAGTGTTAGAGGTTATAAAGTTGTTTTGCAAAATTTACCACATGAGGTAAGGTTACATAAATTAAAAAACTAAAATATTGTACTTGTTATAAGATACTAATTTACAATTATTTTAATATTTCAAGGTTTCTGATTTAGAAAAAGTTTTAAAAATGTTAGAAGAACAAAATGAATCTGATCACAATTCTTGGGAAACTCGATACTGTCTTTTATTGTGGCTTTCTATTATTGTTATCATACCATTTGATATGCGTAAATTAGATGGAACAATGCATCTGGAGAGTAAAACTACTTTACAAAGGTTTGTAAAAAAAAAATAAAAAATAATAATAAATAATAAATGTCTTATATTTAAACATTATTCTATCCAATATTATTAAAAAAAAATGTCCTATTATTTAGGTTGGTTGATGTAGTAATGAAATATTTAAGTTCTGGTGATGCTTGTAGAGATATGGCTACAGTTTTAGCTACTCGTCTATTTACACGATCTGATGTAAAAGAATCTCATCTTTCGATTTTTCTAGATTGGGTAAAATCGGTAAGTATGTATTTAGAAAAAATTGAATTATTAATATTAGATTTTTTTATACTCTATATATTATGTACTTATAGAAAATATCAGGTAAAAAAGCGACTCGGTGGGAGAGGCTTGGTGCAATGAGTAGTATTGCTGCCATTTTTAAAGCTGCTAGACGAGAGGATGCTCAACAATTTGTAGAAGACATTTTTGAATGCCTAAAACAATCACAATGTAAAAGTGACTCATTAAGATTGACACGAAAATATTATATGAAAATTGTACAAAGAGCTGGTTTGTATTTTAAATATGTTTGCTATTATTATTACTAATTTTAAAATCATGTTCTATTTATAAAGGTTTAACATTACTAAAAGTTCGAATTGCGGCTTGGCGCTACGATCGTGGTACTAGATCATTGGAAAAGAATTTACTGAGTACTGAAACTAGAACACTTGAAAAAAATGTTGTACATAACGTAGATGATGATGATGATGATGATGATGATGATGTTTCTCCTCTTTTGGAAGACATCATACAAGAATTAATGGAGGGTTTGAAAGACACCGATATTATTGTTAGGTATATAATTGAAATTATAAATTGTTTTTTAATTATTATTTAAACATTTTATTTATACAGATATTCAGCTGCTAAGGGCATAGGTCGAATAACAGGACGACTGTCAAAAACTTATGGAAACGAAGTTGTAAATGCTGTATTAAGTTTATTAAGTCCCGAAGAAAATGATAATGCATGGCACGGAGGATGTTTAGCACTTGCTGAATTAGGTATATTTAATATCTCAGTATTTATTATATTTGTTACAAAATTGAATGTATTCAATTATTTTTAAGGTCGCCGTGGTTTACTTCTGAGTGAAAATTTACCCCTTGTTGTGCCTGCTGTTATAAAAGCTTTAGTTTATGATGAACCAAAGGGTTATACTTCTGTTGGATCTCATATCAGGGATGCAGCTTGTTATGTCTGTTGGTCTTTTGCCAGAGCATTTAGTACTAATGATATTCAGCCATATGTTGAAGAAATTGCTGGTGCATTATTAGCGGTAGCCTGTTATGATAGAGAAGTAAATAAAAAAATATTCAGAACACCTAAATTAGTAGTATATTAAATTATTTTGATTTTTAGTTAACATGTCGAAGAGCAGCTTCGGCAGCATTTCAAGAAAATGTAGGCCGTCAAGGAACATTTCCTCATGGGATTGAAATTGTTACAGCAGCAGATTATTTTTCTGTTGGAATGCGTAATAATGCTTATTTAGAAGTCAGCATTTTTATTGCACAATATAAAGAATATGATAAACTCCTTATTCAACATTTGCTGGAAAAAAAAATAGTTCATTGGGACACATCAATACGTGAATTAGCTGCAACGGTATGATTTCAATTCTTAAAGCTATTAACTGTTATACTTAAAATAATTTTACTTCTATAGGCTTTGGGAAAACTCGTAGAATTAAAGCCTTTAAAAGCTAAAGAATTTGTTTTACCAGAATTACTGTTATTAACAGAAACATCAAACATTAACAAGCGGCATGGAAGTGTTATGGCTATTGGTGAAGTATTGCATGGAATATCAAAAACTCTTGATCCTAATGAAGAATTAGATGTGAACATTTTAGAAAAAATCATAAATCTAGTTCTAAATCTAAAGAATCATGGAAAATTAAAAGGCATTAGTAGTGAATTAGTAAAAATGGCATGTTGTCATCTTATTAAACTAATATCTACTAGCAAAATCATTGTTAATGATAAACAAATTATTGGTAAAAATAATTTAAAAATTGATTCCGTTAAATAATTCATTTTTATAGTTTCTTGGTTTTTTTTTTAGATGAATGGAGATTATTATTAGAGGATTGTTTGTCAAATGAATTATTAGAGTTGCGAAATAAAGCTGCACAAGCTATTGGTCCTCTATTTGAAAATTATTATATTCCCGAGTCTCCTGATATTGATACTATAATTAACTTGTATGTACACAAATTATCATCAGGTCACATGATGGAACGGATAGGTTATAGTTTAGGGCTGGGTTCGCTGTCTTCTTCATTTATTAATAATTACATCCAAATTATATGGATGGGTCTCATAGATTGTACAAAAATTACCAGACAGACAATCAAGTGGGCAGAATCTCGAAGAGATGCTATAATTTCTATAACAAAAATTTGGACTAAACTAATTGAGAAACCTTGTATGTTGTATTTTGTGAAATTTCTAATTAATGATATGATTTTTATTTTAAATAAATGTTTGTTTCAGGCTATGTGAATAATTGTATAGAATATTCAAATATAGTGATACGTTGTTTGTTAGATTGTGCTTTAGAATATACTATGGACCATAGAGGTGATATTGGAGTATGGGTCAGAGAAGCTGCTATCAATAGTTTAGAAGTATATTTTACTATTTTACAAAAAATAGGATTATATTTTAATCTTATTTATAAAATTATTAGGTAGTTGTATTAAATTTGACTGATATCCAACCTAGCAAACTAGATGAAAATACAATTAAACAAATTATGTGTGCTTTAATAAGGCAAGGTGTTGATCGTATTGACAAAATTCGAGGGCTTTCATGTATGGCTATCACAAATTTACTGCACAGGTAAGAATATATTTTTATTATAACTGAATATAAGTATACGTTCATTTTTCTTTCTCCTTATATTTCCACTTAGCTATTTGGTGTCAGCCTTCCATCTTTATAGTAAAATGTATCAGATTACCTAAACATAAATTTAATGTTTTTATATCATGTTACTTGATTTTAATTTTTAGATATTATTGTTGATATCAGTGGTGCATATCTAAGACCTTTTTTATTTTGGGTGGGGGATATGAATATTTGTTAAAAATATCACGTTGAAATTATATTGAAACAACTATATTAATTACCTCACAAATATTGATTCAGTTCCCTAACAGACATCTCTAAATAGAGGTCATTCAGTCGCACCGAACTTGAAGTACTGATAATGGTACTAAAGGTGAGAAATATACATAGTATGAGTAGTATTTTGTAGAACATACAACAATACAAAATAGTACTATGAATTATGTAATATATTATATTCAAAGAAAGCCAGTATATGTATGACCTTGTTTGGTCGACTATTTTGAAACTACATTGACGCCACTGCGGCCATTCAAATAGGAAATGTTATTTGGGAATGGGTATATTTTTGTTACTTATCTATAGGAAAATGTCTAAATACAAGACACTTCTCCCTATAAAAAACAAAATACCACAACACAGCAGTCAAAATATTGGTAATCAAGAGTGTATTTAGAGGTTTCTCTGTATTGATATTTTTTATATTTTGTAACAAATTAATGTAAAAAAGAAAAAAATATCTTAGTTCTAGACTTGTTTGGGATAATATATCACTCTTTCCTCCCTTTGATGGGTGATGTATCCCCCCCTTGAATATGCCACTGTTGGATATATATAAATATAATTTTTTTAAATGTAATTGTTATAACATTGTAGAACTTAGTTTAAAAGTACCTAATGTAACTCGATTCTTTAGGAAAAAAAATACAAATATTGTTCCAAATATTGCTCATCGGAATGAACTAGAAAGATTATTTAGAAAAAAAGATTCATTCAATTGGTTTACAGAGTCTGATTCTTTTTCTGTAATGGTCAAATTTCTTGGAATGCCTGAATATAAATACTCAGTATTGGTTGGTTTATTAGTATGTATTGGTGGCGTTTCAGAAAGTCTAGTAAGTATTTTATTTTAAAAATATCTTGTCAATTAACTTAATTGAGTTCTCATTTATTTAGGTGAAAGAAGCTTGTCATTATTTCTCTGAGTACATGAAATCGGTTCCTGATAATGAATTTGAAAATCTATGCAATGATATAATTGCTGTATGGGGAGGAAGAATAGCTGAAGTTGATGCGGACGAACGAATCCATCAGTGTATATTAATGTCCATTGAACGGTTGGCTACAGCTGGAGCTTTTAAGGATCAATTTGAGCGAAATGAGTCAGAATTTGCCTCCAACATTTTAACACTTATAAAAAAAGAAGCAGTTTCTTCAAAAGGGTCAACGAAACTAGTATCTTGTGTTGAATTACTTTGTCATTTAGTACAGGTATATATTGGGTAGCATAATATATTTCCATAAATTTTGAGTTATTTACTAAAATATTTATTCAGGTTCCTGGACAAATTGGTGTACGTTCAATGACCCAACTTTCTATATTCCTTGCACATCGTTTTGCCTGGTTGAGAAAAGTGGTAGCAGTTCGACTTCTAGAAGTTTTAATTTTGTATTCTGATAGATTTGATGTACCAGAAGAAAACATAAGTGATGTTGTTGTGTTACTCGATGAAGTTGATTGGCAAGATTCTAATGTAGAAAAAGTGAGAGCCGAACGAAACAAAATTTGTGGTCTGCTAAATATACCCATTCCAAAAGTCATCGTAAAAAACTAACTATATGCACTGATAGGTTTAATAATTTAATTTATTAATTAATTAACAATGAGATATATTACTTTATTTTTTATTTAATTATTGTCGTCATCCACCTTTAACTAATTTAATTTTTAATTTTATATTTTGTTATAAATAAACAATTGCTTACACTATTTAAAATCATTATATTTTCATTTTTAATTATTGGTTAATCTGTGTTAGACCCGTTGGTCCGTACTCGATAGGAAGGCCTATCTAACCTGTTTTCAGTTTTACAGCCACCTGAACACCTGGTATTATTATTTTTATTTAATTATTAAATTATATTATGTTTATGGTATAAAACTAAGATATTGTAAAATCTACTTATGAGGAGTTGTTCTTCAAACATCCAGTTGGTAGTACCTAGTCAGTTCAGCCACTACACCCACTGGTGAACTACTGTTGATATAACCATTGTTGATGGCTGGTAACTGAAATTTTTTACAAGGAGTTCATTGGCAATTATTTGTTAGATGGTGAAGGTAGTTGAAGCTATTTTGACGGTAGTATCATAAGAAGTTCAGTAGGTTAAAAAAATGCATTTTTTAAAAATGAATCAATATATTTGGAATATAAAAAGTGTGAAAATATGCAAAATTGAGAAAAATGGTTTTTGTATTATTTTAGCTATACCACTGCAACATTATGACCTATGATAAATAAATAAAAAAAAAAAAAAAACCTATTTATGTATAAATAGATAATTATAACAATAATATAAATACTAAAAAGTATCTTGTTACTTTTCAATTGAATCAAACTTTCTGTTAGACAAATTTGTAAACACATCATAATAACTCAGATTCTAAAATTAGCATATTATTATGTTGTTAAATTAAATAGCTTAATAAAATAATTTTTAGAAAGATGGCGTAATGGGAATTTAAAGAAACTGTGTATAAATTATAGGATTTTCTAAGGAAGAAATGAAAATTAAGTGAAAAAGCCAAATGTATAATTGAGTTGCTTTTGTTTTCAGGCATCTGGATCTAGTAGACCTTTACTTTCCAAATAACTTTTAGCGCCAACAATAGCATCTTGAGTAAACATGTGCTTATTTTTATTCATATAATTATATGTCCACATGTCCAGCTCAACAATTTTGAATACTGATCCTCTAACATGTAATTCAGCACCTGAAAACATGGATTACTTGATTATACATAGTACATAGCATGACCAAATAGTATGTTAATTATTTATTATGAATGGACAAATCAATTATTTTGTAAAATCCTAAATATTTTGTAATATTATACCTACTATAATTGGATATTTTAGCAAGAAAACTACCCATTGAAAAAAAATATAAATCACTACCTCTCAACATATTCTTATTAGATAAGTACAACTAGATATTTCCAATTTTAATCTAAGATAAAATCGGTAATATAATACAAATGTACGTTAGTTCAAAAACACAATTTAATATAACTTAAAAAAATATATTAGTATTTTTATTATGTATTATTATTTATAAGTATAGATTATTACCAATAGCCAAATCTTTAGTCCCATAATATTGATTATCATCTATACTAAATCCAGGTTTGCGTAACCGAATCGATGACAAGAATCGTCCCTTGATGAATCCACTGTTCCGACTTACTACTTCGTAAATTACCATTTGATTATTGCCAAGGCAAAATTCCATAATGAAATCACGGTCATTATATGCTTCATACACGGCTACCATCTTCAATTTATATCTAAGTTTTTTGTTAGCGTTTAGCACATATGTAACAAAATCAACAGTTTTCGGTGGCTTAGGTATGAGTGATAAACAATTCTGGCGTGTATCATCTGGATCCCCAATACCTGTATGAGGTGGTATTACCTATAATGATATAAAACTATTTGCATTATTATTGTAATGGTTTGGTAATAGTTTAATACAAATGGATAGGTTATACCTTTTTATACTCGTCAGTTGTATAGTTGGTTTTTGGTTCTATAATTTGAATAGGATTGGGTTGAACAATTTTCAACATATCTTTAAAATACTTTCTTGTAAATGGATCACAATCGTACAGTATAAATCTAAAAATTAATTGAAATTCAAACAAAGTAATAATCACAGATTATAGTTAAGCATTTACACACCTCCGACCCATTACAAAAATAGTATTTCCTATTATAAAATCTCTTGGTTGGTAATATTCTTGACATTCTTTACTGTTAGGTTCCAAGCATGTAGATGGGAAGATTGCTTAAAATGTATAAATTTATTTGTTATTAAAATATAAATGATGTACCCATAAATGTTAATTTTGAAAATTGTGTGATTAAGTTGATGATAAGTTGTGCTTTGAAATCTATTCTTATTTTTTTAATATTTATATTATTACATTTACTAACTTAATATCTGTAAAACAAACACATCACACATAAATAAATGTTTTATTTTGCATTAATCTAGATAAGTAGGTATTTAATAATTTCAAGAAAATTTAGTATGAATTGTAATTTTTAAATGACTAAATTTTTGAAGACTTTTTTTGGGCTAATACAAATTCAATTTCCATGTTTTTATAATGAAATACACTATTACCAAAACACTACCACCAGTTTATTGTATTGATTAAAATATGTTGTTATGTAGTGTATAATAAAATATTATTAATAATAATAATTAATATAAAATCAGTTATTTATTTATCTGAATCACTGCCTTGGACTGTAATCGGGTGATATTTTGATCTGAATATAGGCTAATAATGTTATTAGGGTAAAATAATTTTAACAAATTTATAATAATTACTTATAGGTTCGGTTAAGTTAGGTAATAGTACTTACACGGTAAATGTGACCAGTCCTTTGGTAATTTTATTTTACCTAAAAACAGAGGGAATGGCTTTTGACCACATGTATTCCCCATGTCTTTTGATTCGTTAATTTCTACTCGGTCATCGGCCAAGTAGTATAAAAGTACAAAAAACTTCCATTCTGCAGGTTCTGAGTTGTTTACGTTCCATGCTCCGTAGAACCTTTCGAAATAAGTACCCAAATAAAATATGTATTGGTCAATAATTATAATTAAAACAAAAAAAAACGATATAAAGTTGATCAAACTTTAAAACGATTTCATAATTAAGTACTGTCGTTTGAAATAACATTGCCTCACTGTTTGGTGTTTTTTTTTTTACATGTTTTACCGAGTTTTGAAAAACATTTAATTGAAAATGATAAATTGTTTCGTTGTTATAGTTCTATATGATTAGACCAATATATTTAATAGCATATTTAAATCGTGTACGTATTTCTAGTAGGTAAGGTAGGTAGGTACTTAAAAAAAACCGAAAAAAATGTACCCACTCGGAATGTTAATATTAGGTACCTACCTACCTAACCACGGATTAAGATATATCAGCGTATCTTAATTCGCGGTACCTACTCAATTGTATGTACCACCAGACAGCACTGCAAATAGATAACTACCTCAGTACTTTACGGTCGAACTCCAAGAACTGTTTCAGCTTATGGTCTTCGGCCGACTGACTGGTGCCATTATAATTGGCCACTGTTTTTACCAACAGTTGTTGCTGCTGCTGCTGCTGCTGCTGCTGCTGCTGGTGTTGCCGTCTGGCGGTCATGTAAGGGTCGTCCGGCAGCGGTTCGTCAGCGTTCACCACCACGCCTTGGCTCGACAAGAACTGTCTGGTGAACGCATCGCAGCTGCATAACTTGTACTTAACGCCGTACAACGACAGTTCCACGCCGTTGTTTAAGTCGGACCAGTGCCACGTACGGTTTTTACGGCGCGGATTCGGCACTTGACCTCGTTTTAACAGACACCCTTGGACGTAACCCGCGTTCTGTATCGCAAGAAGGAAAAAACGAAATCTTTATTATAACTCAACAGCATTTTAATGTTAATAATAACTTCTTATAGGCAAAATCAACGTGGTGTTTTCATGACCGCTGGATTTATTAGAGTTGAAAAATAAATAACATCATTACAGTATGTTTTCAACACGATAATTATTATTAGGTAGGTTAGATACCTATTAATTATAAAAAAAATTGCCAAAAGTAAAATGTCCGATGGCGGCTCGATTGCGCGCGTTTGTCCAAGGATGTTTGGCCATAATATTTCTTCTATCGACGGATTGGTGTTTATTCTGCAAGATAAGCAAAGCCCTAAAGCAATGCAGGACTTGCTACCCGACGGGCCTGCATATAAGTACCGATTCAATTGGCACGCGTTTTTTTTTTTTAAAATCTTGTCGAGTATTTCACCGGGAATGTAAAGAAACACATCGTATTATATTATTTTTATATTTTTCAGTGTTTTCAAAATTCGTGTTGTTTACAATAAATCGTAAATTTAATCACAAAACAATTTCGCATTACATGCGGTATTGATGGAAACAGTGCACCCTGTTATAATATAATATGTAGTTGGTAAAAATCAAAAAAAATACCTCCCCAATGTACAATTGGATAAAATTTCCTTCAGGAAATGTGCTACACATGAAATGTCGGAGTAAGATTTCTGGAAAAAAAGTAAGTTGTTCACAGACAAAACATGAAAATAAAAAGCACACATCATAGTAAAACCAAGATAAATGATTTATGTAAGTAGGTAGGTACTTACGAATAAGTTTTACTTACCTCTACAATGGGTTCCGAAACGCTAATTGTGTCGTCAACCAAGTAGTATGTGATTTTAACATGGCGTACTCTGAAAGTGTATAAAGGTGATTCCGTTTCAGTCTGTACAGTAAAACCATTGAAGGCAAGACATTTTCCATCGAATAATGTAAAGTGTGGTTGAACAATTGGTTTGACCGGGTCTTTCGCTTTCCCATAAGTCAATTCTGAATTATAACTGTAAATTATAATATAACATGGGTACCTAACTTAACTATAATGTTTAGGTAAATTAAGTTTAATCAAAAATAAAACAGCTGGTAAGTACTAGGAATGGATGCAACCACTGTCGTAGGTACAAAGTAGGGTAGGTAGAATACATAAAAGTTATTTAATTTATATCTATATACAACAATAAACGATTGCTAACGAAAAACGATTCGGAGCGATGTTCTGTAAGACATATTTTGAAAGGTCGTAATGTTTACGATTTTCATCGACGTTTGATTTTAAAACTTATAAAAAATAAAAAATATTACATTAAAATTTTTTTTACTACAAAGTACAACTTACAATGAACTTCCTGTCAAATTGTCTAGCATTTTTGTTTAATCTAATTTTTATCCACAAAGTACACACCAAACATAAATTAAGTAAAAAACTCGCAAAATTATAATGTCTATAAATAGCTCAAAAAAGACATAAATGTTTTGAAAATTTGAACACGTTTATAAAAAGGAAATATAAATTTTCTGTCCAAATTTAAATTCCCTACTGACATTTTAAATTGAATTACAACAAAAAAATAAAATTGAAAATAATAAAAGCATTATTTTCGTAAATTTTCCCGTTTTTCCCCAATTATTATGAAAACTGCTTGGAGGAAAATCAAAAAACAATTGTTTTCGCCATCGAAGAAACAATCAGCTCTAAAATTTTACATTTCCATTATTTTTGGGGATGAAATGACTACCTAATTCTGAATATTTTGATACTCAAATGACAGCCTATATTAAAAATCCTATAAACTGAATTAATATAGTAGGTATTAGTTAAAAATAAACTTCAACACTAAAATTTATTTAAATTAACAGGTAGTATAACTATTTATGACTTTTTGAAAATAACGGTAATATTGGTAACTTTTTAGAGTTGCTTATTATTTCTTAAATTGTCAAACAATATTTTTTTGCAAAAATTCAATACTCTTCAAAATAGTGTTGTTGTACGATTAGAGAATCATCTTGTAAAAATATAATTTTAGTTTTGGATGGCACTATATGGCGTAGTCTCTATTGACCGTATTTATAAAAAAAATATTTTTTCACAATCATATTATGTTTACATCACCTGAGTCTTTTATGGTTTATGTTTTTAGATTTTAAAAGTAGTGAGGAATGTACCTGCTGGTTATACTAAAGGATGTTTTTTTCTGTCTGTTACAATTTTTCTACCAAAAACCTTGCTCCAATCGAAAACTGGAAAAAAAAATTTTTCGTAGCAAATTTTATCAAGCCGGTATATTGAGAAGTTTATTTTTCTATTTTACTTGTGGTTATCTTTATAATTGAAGGGAAATACGGGAAATATTTATGTACTAACGATTTCTATGTTATTTTTGATTATGTTATTTTGTTGTAATTTAGTCAGAAATAATCATAAAGACCTAAAAATTTTCATTCAATACTAATTAATTAAAATTAGTAATAAAATACTAAATAGTTATATTAGTCTGTTCTATACATAGGTACGTAGTGTAATTTTAAAAATATAAAGCTTTTATGTTTTGACGTGTTTTAACAATTAATTTTATTTTGTTTTATTATAAATTTTTTTTTGGATTTTTAAAAATTCGATATAAGGTTCATTATAAGGTGTTTTAATGACACTTTGAAATTATTTAAAAAGTTCGTATCCACAATTTTTTTAATAAGGTTATAAACCTTCAAAATTTGAGTGAAATCGTAAAAACGATTTTCCAATTAATGTGGATACCTACTACCTATTTGGTTCTATACAATTTAAGACAAAAAAAAAATGGACATACTTTATATGTGGGTGGGGCACTGTTGGAGGTAAGAAGTTGGGAAGGTAAAGAGAAATTTGAACGTATATCTGTACGCAACGATTAACCATTGCCATGAAAAACCGATTCTGAGTGGAGTTCGGCTAACAGTGTAGCTTTGTCAATAATATATAGGTATGTATGCCATATTATAGTAAAATGTAAAATTACATCATAAGTATATTATATATATATATATTTGTATAATATTTGTTTGAAATTGCACCTATTTTCTTGTTTTTTTCCCGGTTGATTCCATTTATTAGAACAACTACCTCAGTCAGATTTCCTAACAGAAGAAATGCTATCATTGTAAATCTGAGCAAAATTGTTGGTAGAAACGTTATCCAAAGAAAAAAGAAAAATTAAAAAATGAACATAATTGTAAAACCAATACCAATGAATTACATATTATATACAATGAAATAAAGAAAAATAATATATATTTTAAATGTACAAACCGATTTTAAAAATAATCTTATATCAACACATTTTAGATAATAAATAATAACCAAATAATTTATACTTCTTAACATATCTCTGTCTAATAATTACTCATTTTAAATAATCACTATCTTGTTAAAATAAATTATTTCTATAAAAAATGATCAATTTGAATAATTTTTTTTTCTATGTATAAATTCATTTAATTTATTATATTCAGTCGTATTTTACATTTTGACTTTGTGATATACTTGATGATGAATTTTCAATTCGAAACCGGTCGTATAATATTATTATAAAATAAATAAATGAATGAGACTCGTTTGGAATATTATAAGTGTATTATATGTTGTATAATACACATATCAGAATACTCCAGGTGACGTATTCATTCATTAATTTTTTATTTATACATTTATTTACTATATTTAATATCAATACATTTCTCACTTTACTCAGAATCTAAAAATAGGGTAAATTTTAATTTATTATATAGTTAGGTACCTACGAATTCAAACAATTTTATGTTTATTAAAACATGGTTAATAGAACTTCAGATAGAATCGTTTTTCAATAGCGATAATTTATTACATTTTATGTTCAAATTAAAATAGTTACAAGTTACCTATAAATTAAGCAACCACTTATATCTATTATTTACAAAAAACTAAAAAAATATTTAAGTAGCTTAGATTAATTTGTTTTGAATATAAATTTATTTCCACCGTGCACCCTCTTCTGATTATTTTTTAAAACAATAGGTAGTAGGTACATAATTTTAATGTCAATTACTGATCTGTAAATGTTGTTTGTCAAACGGACTTTATTTGGAAGTTATAGACATTTTAAGATCGCTCGGAACACTGACATAAGCGTAAGTGTACCAAATATTATGTATGACTACTGTCAAAGCCGACGTCTTACAATACTCTCAACCTTCATGGTCGTTTAATATACATTTGTTTGCACTATACGGGTGAGTTCATTTTTTTAGAAAAACGTTAAGTGACTTACCGGCTACCTGAATGGTTTTGAATTTTGATTACAAATCGAGGGTTTATTTCGAACGAATGGAGGTGGTTGAAGGCACGAACATGAAACTACATTGGTACATTTACGCGCGGAACCTAATAAATATATGTCTATAACTTCCGAACTTCCAAGTTCGTCTGACTAATGTCGAAAAAAAAATGCCCGGTGAAATAGATTTGTTTCATTTTTTCTACCATGTTCCATTCAGTGTTTCAGTATAAAACATGGAGTCCACGTCCAAAGGATCTTTCCCAATGCCAATGGACTTGTCTTTGGGTAGTGCATATCCGTTTTTCCATTGGAATTGAGAACTCAAATGATGATATTTTTTCTGTGTAAGCAAAATTTTATTATTGGTTCATTAATATCTAATATCGAATCAACAATCAATTTTGACAAATTGAATAGGTAACAATATAATATGTAAAAAGGAGCGTATTTAGAGTTTTGGCGCCCCGAAACATTTAAAAAATGAAGCTCTTTTCATATTATAATTATAAAATAAGTAAAAAAAAAAAAAAAGGCTATTTAAAGAGAAAAATTCCACTATTTCCATTCGGGGCATAAAATTCCACCCCTCTTTCAAGGAAAGTTCTACTTAGAGGAAGTAATTGTTAAAAAATGTTAATATTTGTTGCTGTAAGTACGTACCTAGGTATAGTAAATTAGTACCAATATTTAAATACGCCCCTGAATATAATATTATGTATTACAGACAATATGCACTTACCGTTATATCATTGAAACGAAATCCTGGTATAAATGGTAAACCGTCCATTTTGGTAGGTAATTTTCTATTGAATAGGTAGGTGTATTTATTAGTACCTAGCCTATAAGTTACAGTAGGTATGTTTAATAAAAACATATTTTTCGAGATGTGATCAATAATAAACTTGGTTACCAAGCATGGGCGTAACTAGGATTTTTAAGTTATTTGAACTTGAGTCAACCACCATATTGACAATTGTTTTTGTCCTAGTGATAGAACAAAAAAAAAAAAACACTGTTCCTGAGTTCCTGGAAAATTTTGAACAGAAGATATTTTAAGGAATTTTCATTAGGTTATATTTCAAAATAAAATTGAAAGCTTTGTCACAGTGAACCATTCCCCTCCCACCCTCGGATTTACATAACGTTTTAATATTGACTGCAGAATTAATACCTACCTCATATCTTTTAAAGGAGATTTTTCTTACCTAACCTTGAGAAGCAAGAAAACAATTTGATATCTAGAGTTCATCCCTTTAAAGAAAAGTGGACAAACCCAACAATACTCTTTTTAGGTTGGATTCACATAAAGTTAAGTAGTCACTTGTTCTTGTATTTGTTCTGCACATATACATTCTTCAATATTCTTGTTATTCCCCCATGTTCAGTAGTTACGTACTATAAAATATGATAGGTTTATCATAGAGTGATTTAACCAAAGTGTACTGACTTATTACACATAATAGTTTGTTAAAACGATAAATTGTAGAAAAATATGACAAATTTAATACTTTCACCTGAGTGACTTAATCAAGTATGAAGTCAGTATAACATATTTTGGTAAATTATATACAATTTATTGTACTAAATATAATTTTTAGTTATTATACTTATTATAAAAAAAAATTGTATTAAATTAACAGTAACATAACTAACTTATTTTTACTTTTATAAAGATATGAGGTATTAGTTATATTAAGGTAGTTCATTTTGAAGTTTTGGTCAGATACTGTTAATAAATTTTAGTACCATCATTTTAAAATAAATCCTTGTATAACATAATATATAGGTACCTCAGTAATTTAATTTATAGTAAAAATTAACATTAGATGCCTAGAAAAAAAAATATTATGAAATTATATATCAATTATAATCAAGCATTTTTGAAAAGCCAAACAAATTTTATTTACATAAACATTTGTTTTAGCTTTTATAAAACCATGATAATTTCATAAGACTGTAGCTCAAAAATTACAGATTTTTTTAAAAATTGTACTATATCTAGATCCTAGTAGTGACCGTTACCTTCATTCCAACTATTTGAAGTTGGACACCCTAGACCTTAACTTCCACTTGATCTAGTCCCTACATTATCTTCGTATATACACCCAATCAAAAACTGTTGTAATTTTTACAACAGTCCTAATATGCTATGATAATTATACATATATAAAATAGTAATATATTTTAACCATAATTTATATTATATTAATACAGACAGTAATTAAATAAAATATTAAAAGATGGATATGAGTTTTAATTAAAAAAACAATAATAATACATGTTATACTTTAAATTTTAAAAAATTGTTGTTTTTTACACAAATAAATTAAATGAAACAAAAGATACATGGACTTGATGGCGATAAAGTGAACTGAAACACTTTAAAGCTGGTCTAAAACTTAGATAATAATAATTCAAGGAATCCCTAAAACTGTGGATAAGATAAAAATAGAATATAAGTAAAAGAAATAAATAAATACAAAACTGTTTTATGATTTATAACAGTGTGTTCTCTCAAAGGTTGATTGAATTAGAAAAAAACAAATTCAAAATAATAAAAATTTTATAAGTAAACTAATGGGTTTGAAAATGTTATTAGTACATAAAAACTCGTAAAATACCTACATAAATTAATTTGACACTATACCACTTGTAGTGTTGAGTACTATTTATTATGTATTATAGATACAGCCATGTAGGTACTGAAAGAAGAAACTTTGTCACTAATCATTATTAACCATGAAGAATAATTTAATGTTTGCACTTACTAATAGTGAAGTAGGGTGCCTTCCATTAATAATAATTATAAAATAATTTATCAGATAATCGTTGAAAATTATAGGCAATAATTAAATTGGGGTTTTAACTATTAATATATTAGATATCATTTTTTGTGCAAAAAAAAAAAAAAAAAACAAATCAAATAAATACTAAATTATTATTTTTATTTACTTCAATTTTTTTTACACGAAAACTAAAAGCGGAAGTATAACATGACATGAATGTACGTATACATAATTAATAATAAACTATTATATATAATATATATATATATATATATAGTGTTCTTTCTTCAGGACAAAATTTTGTACAATTATATTTTGTACTATGAAAATGATAATAAATGCTTTAATCAATGATACATTTAACATTAAATTAATAACAAATTGTTATACGCTCTATGTTCAAGTAAAAAAAAAAAATTATAGTAAAAAAAAGAATACATACATACATAATTAATGTATGTGCAATGCGTATAAGAAATCAGTTGGATTTGTTGGGGTAACTAAAAATTATAAATTCTTTAAAATTAGGAAGACTTAAAAAAAAAAAGAATATTTCAAACATTAACACATCTAAAAGTTAATATTATATTAGTCATTTTTTTCTTTTAGAGAATATTAACAAAATTTAAAATATTATCTTAAACATTAATTCAATAATTTGGTGTCTCTGGTTAAAAATAAACAATCACAACATTGTTGGTGTTCGAAAAATGTACAATCGACTCAATAGATAAAAAGATGGGAAAAACCTGTTAATTTTCATTAATAAATACTATACATTAATAATATTATAATATAATTTTGTACAGAAGAAAACAAAGGGAATGTGAAGTCGATATGTATGTGTATATGTATATATACATACATACATATACACACATACATACATACAATATCCCCTAACAGATATATTATGATAATCACCAAGTTTTACATTAATGAATTGCTTTTTAAACTATATAAAACACTTAAACAATTAATTTGGTAAGTTTAAAATGATTTAGAGAAAGATAATTCGTAAAAAAATATAAGCTGCCAAAGAAAAAATAATAATAAAGAAAAAATATATATACACATACTTAAGTAATATAAATACTATTATATGAACACAAGGGTGTTAATTACTGTTGGCACAATGGTTTTTGTTAATGGAGAAGCATGTATAAAACTATAAATGTCATAACATTAATTCTATTGGTTAATTTTTCTTTGTAAAATTTGAGAATTGTCATTTTTTTTAAACATAAGGATAGGTTTAAAATATTAATAATATTAATTATTTACTGAATTACATTTTTATATAAATCATGTAGATTTTTCACAATTTTTTTTTATATTTAATCCCTTTTAAATTGAACGGGATCTTTTAAATGTATGCTACCAAACTTTTTGCTGATGATGGGCACTAAGGTCTTTTCGTCCAGCAAGTAGCAAGTAATTATCATCTCCAATTGGTGCTTGTCTAAAAAAAAAAAAAAAAATAATATAATAAATGGTTTATCATTTTGGTTACATGTTACATACTTGCTGCCATATTTAGTTTCTCTAGCAATAGTTCTCAAAACTGTCCGATGCTCTTGTTCTAGTGTATATATTATTTCTCGTAAAGTAGATAAGGTTATAAACGTAGTTTTTGGATCTTCAATTAGTATAGGGAGACATAATCTGTCACCTGGATAAACAGCTTTGCACTCACATGCTTCTGTAAATATAAATAATTATAAGATATTATTAAATCATAAATAAGAGCAGAACATACTTGCATAGAGAAAAACCTATGCAAACTAAATACAAATAAATGTTTTTGGTAACTATTATAACGGTAAGAATGAACTAAGCTTCTTGACACAAATATTTAGTTTAATTTATTAATTTATATTTGTATTAACTGCAGAATATAAACTAAACAATTTTATTTGAAGGCAATAATAAACTATTTGAAATTTAAGAAGCCAAGTAAAAACATATAATTTATTTTATTTCAATATATAAAAAATAATTGTAAGTTAATAAACTCACTTAGTACACTATCAAATCTGTCAATATGAGCCACACAAAGAGCATGTATTCTAGAAAGCTCTCTATCGACATCAACACTACTAGTTTGTATATGGTCGACAGATGTTGATACTTCTTGACAGCCTGTGGTTCTTTCAATATTAGATTTACAACTAAAAGTAAATAAATACCAATCATTAAATAATTGTCACAGTGAGAACTGCATTACACTAATTAGAATAGTTAAAAAAAAAAAAAATTATATTTCCAAATACAGACATAGTTTTAGCATTTTCTGTTCATATTATGTGAATTCCTTCAATTTAATTTTAATTTCCATTAATCAATATTTTACAAGGAAACATATTATAGTATTATAACAAATTAACAATGTATAATTTACTTACCAAAGCCAAGTGCCATTAATAAAAGCAGCTGGATGATATAAGGTAAGCCGTTTGCTATTTGAAAAACACATTTTAGTTAGTAAGTCAACCCACTCTTTTTCTTCTACACAATTATTGGCTTGTATATATAAAATTCGCTCAGGTTGAATTATTTGGAACATATTATTTTTGTTAAATGATTCTTGTTGGAGTCGTTCAACAGCTAATATGTCTGAAAGTGTTATTGTGCAAAGGGATTCTTTACCTTAATCAATAGAAACGAATAATATTAGTATATTAATTAAACATTAAATAATTTTAAATTGTATTTACCTTTTTGTTTAGCATAGGATAAGTCTCGTGTGGTTAATTTAAAGTAGCGTTGCTTAAAATTTTTTCTACCAAACTTGTTACGACCTTGAGCTCGTTTAGTTAACATCCTATAAGAAATGTTGATTTTATGAATTTCTAGTATAATTAGAATCTTAAATTCTTTTTTCTAAACATATTATTTTGATCCCATAATGATTTTTAAATTGTACTTATTCAATTAGTGATATACAATCAGCACTATTAGATTCAATGATTAAAACATATAATAAATACAATAAGTTGTATACAATCATATACATACATGTATAAATGTATATATACATACATAGTTTAGACAAGATATAATGTTTACTCTGAGCAGTGTTTTATTTAAATATGACCATTTTAAACATTTATTTATGAAATTGAATATTTCTGAACTTCTTATAAAATCAACATTTTCAAATTAAATGAATATTTAATATTACAAACCCCGAAAAACCAATTTTGGTACCCTAAAGACTTAATACTGGAGGTTTTTCTTAGGCTTCTTGTTTTTATAAAGATGAGTAAAATTTCATTAAAATTTTAATATAACCAATAATATAGGTATGTTAATTAGTAAAATAAACAAAATTAGTTTTAAAAAAAATTATACAGAAGTGGCCAGCAACGATAAATTTGTTATGTCACATGTTGTTAAGTTAATTATCTAATATCTAATATTTATTAGATGATGTATATCAATATCATCATTAATATTATTTAATTCTATGTTTATATGTGGGTTAATTAAACAGAGTATATACATAATTGAACGTAATATAAATTATAATTTCTTAAATATGTAATTACAACTTTTAGTATAAATACAAAGTTAAAATAATGTTCAAGTTATTGTATTTGGTTCTTTACTCGTAGCTAGGAGTAATGTGTGAAAACATTTTGGATTCAAATTAGATTGTAATTGAACTAATAACAATAAAAAGAAACTGTTTTTAGTATTATTCAAAAAAGTATCTATGGAGTGGAAATACAAAATATGTAAAGGTATTTTTATAAGACTATAAAAACAGAATAAATTTGTCAAAGAGTATTCTAACGAAAATGCAGTATTCAAAAGGTTTGTTTTGCTGAATATTAATTTTATAGAAAAAAAAAGATAATAAATATTAAAAAATATAGTGATAACTGATAACACAACTATCTTAACTTTAATCATACTACTCATATTATTTCAAATTTGTTAATTTTAAATGAAATATCACAATATTTTTTTTAAAAACAATAAAAAATATCATTGCAGAACCCTAATTGTGTCTTATTAGATAGAAGATTTAGAAATTGTATTGTTTGCATTTAGATTGGGGAGCTTCAGTGGCACAACTGTTTTAAGAAAAACCTAATTATTTTACTGGGGGTTTTTTTTTTGAAACTATAACATGAATGTGCATTAAAAATGCAATAACAATATATAATTAAGTTATATTTTTACATACTCTTTATTAGATCAATTTTTATGTGCTTGAATATTGGTACCATTAAATTCAGGGAAATATTCTGCACCAGAATACAAAACTAAAAATATCATTAAAAAAAAAAAAAAAAAACCCGAAAAATCTGAAATGGGAAATATTATATAGATTAATTAAATAAATGTAATAGCTCAAATTACAAAACCAAAACAACTTAACTAAATTATTAGTTTAGTTCAATTATATATATTACAAGTTGGTATGGTTTTATAACAAATGATAATTGTCATGCTTAATGTCTTAGTACTTCTGCTACATACTGTATAAATAATAATACAAATAAATCAAGAAAATATAATGTGAAATAGAGCATAATAAGTTTAACAAATAACTTTGTAAATTATATACATCAGTTCTTTAATTTTACACATTACTTACCATGTAGTAATTTTCCTTAGAAAGCTAAAATATATTTTACCATTATTCAACAATAATGGGAGAATATATGAATATTAATAAAATAAAAAATATAATATAATTACCCTTCTTTGAGCGTAACAGGAGTGTCCTGTGTACATTGTGCTGGACCAGCAGAGGCAGAAATAATTTCTAAGAACTATACATATAATATGTGAATACTAGAAAAATAATTAATTATAATAAATGTTTTTACTTGTCTAACTGCAGTAATATTTTGTTCAGTATAAACAGCTTGAATCATTCGCTGCATATATTCTTCTTTAAAATTTGATCTTGAACAAACAAGATTTCCTAAACTTTGGATAGTTTTTGATACCAGTGTAAGTGTTCTGTTTGTTTGAGAATCCTGACAAAAAACAATATTCTATAATTAATAAAATCAAGACAAAAATGGTAATAGCCTAAAAGTAATCAAAGCATACAATTTGTTCTTTTGTGAGATCAAAAAGTCTGGGTCCTAATATTGCTGGTGCGAAAAATCTTAAAAATATAAATCCAGACACAACAGAATACTTGATTTCTTTATTTTCTAAAACAAATTTACAATTATTCATAATATACTACTAAGGAATAACACAAATTACCTGGAAAAAATGTTATGGCTACTTCTTTAAGTGTATGGAATAATTGGCACATTACAGTTGGACATTTTAGAGCTGATGTAGTAATAGCTTTGATTACATCTTCTACATAAATCTAAAACCAAAATTATAATTCAATGTTAAAAAATAATTTTTAACTTTTGCAATAATATAGGTATTTTTATATAAAATTATTTTTCACTTGTAAGTTAGCAAAATTATGTTCAATAACTGTGGATTCTTTAACTCTATTTGGATCAATTTCACAAGGCCTTCTTTCAGCCAGTAATCTCTCTATTGGTGGCCTTAAAGTTTCATGTAAGTACCTCATTCCAGATATATGCATAGATTCATCCATCATTTTAGATACCATAGAGTTACCACGAAATATTGTATTTGCATCACTAAAATAAATTAAAGTTTAAGAAATATATTATTTTTAATTTGTATTATTATTAAGTAACTTACGTAACTTTTGATATTTCCCAAATTGCAAGGGATCTGATTGTCTGAACAATTTGCCCATGGTGTAGCAAAATACGTACAAGAGGTTGAGCAGAATCTATTTTATTTGGAATTATTTCTCCCAAAAGGTAAACTGTACTAGCAGTTATCGGCTACGTTATTACATTTATTTTAATTAATTAATTATAACAAATTATCCTAATCAAATTATATTAGATAACCCACCTGAACTGAATGACTATTCATTAGTAAATGTTTAAGACGTTCATAATTATGGGATGGTAGAACATGATCAGCTGTATAGTGAATTTTTAAACGCAAAGACCCAACACTTGGATAATTACTACTTTGGTCTTCCCTGAGACTTGATTTTCTATTTCGTGGTTGTAGAAAGTACCTAAATAAAAAAAAAAATAAATTAATAATGATTTTTAAAGTAAATTAGCAGTTTTACTAACCATGCACTAACAGGTCTTCCTTGTAATGGTATGATTACTTGACCCAAAAATACAGTATTGCTGCCGGATATTTCATGATAAAGTGTAACTATAAGCTCAGCCCAATCAGCAGTAGGAGATTGACCAGATAAATGCTGTTTAGGAATTCCACCCAAACCAGGAAGCTACAATAAATACACACATAAAGTATTTGTTCACTTTTTATAAATAATTAATAAATTAAATTAAAAATTACAGTGAAGGCAAAAGCTTCGTCAAATACAGGTGAATTAGTCTTTTTCTTGACTTTCGTCCTTTGTGTTTCTGTTTTATCATTTGTATATCGAACAGTAACATCAGCAAATGGATCACAATTTCCATTTGTAATAGCTAATTCACATGCTTCATTTAAGCGTACATTTAGTCTACCTCGGCTTTCACAAAATTCTATTTCAATATGAATTTTTCCCTAAATAACACAATTTTGTAAAAACTTTAATTTTATATTAAAACAAATTATTTTTGTATCCATTTAGGTGAAAGTAATTAATACACATCAGAAATAATTCATGCACATACAACTATAAACAGTATGGAATGAAAATTATTATACAATTAATAATACAACTTGTAAAATGTTTATCTATACTTTAAATCAGGGGTAGGCAACCAGCAGACTGCAAGTTCAATTTTTAATTAGCATAAAAATAGATATTCTGTATATAAGTTCTATAATAAAATGATTGCAGGTACATGTACACGTTATCTTTGCAACCAGTTTTTCTGATTCATATTCCATTAACTAAAAAATTAAATTATGTTTGGATGCACAAATATTTGTGAACATAATATTATTTAACATAAATACAGTTAATATTTTGCTGAAGTGAAAATCATATTGTAATAACAATAAATAGGCATTAGACAGATACATATACTCGATTTTAATGAATGGATAAATTGAAGGATAATTGTAGAATGAAAGTTATTTGTACTTTGTACTTTGGGTTTAAGATAGATGTCTAAAATTATTTTTTTTTGTACTTAACTCACGCCAGAATGGGGGGCTATAATTAATTGAAAAGTAATATATTTCAGCAAATTTATGTGCACCAGAATGAGGAGACTAGTCTATGAAAATATTGTGGCCATCAAGCATGCTGGAGATAGACTTGCGCAAATATTAATGATATTATCTGAAATATCGATACCATAATTTTTATTTTATTTTTGATAGATATGATGGCAGCAGAAATGTATCAAAATCACGGTTTCGACCACGTCTTTGAAACAACTAGAATGTGATAAATATAAACGGCTCTCAAATAACTACAATATAGAATAAGGATAGTACCACTCGTCTTAAAATTATATACCTATAGAACATAGAATGTTGGCCGCTATAAAAAATATCAGTGGTACTTTTTTTTCTCAAAAAATACTTTTACGGTTAAAAAAAAATGGTTCCATTTTTTTCATACAAACCTCAATAAGTTACACATTTTTTCGATTGATAGTACCTTATCGGTAACTTTTTTTTAAAATCCCTTACTTTTAGAAATTATTAGTTATAAAATATATTATAAAAATCAATATATCAATGCATTGATGAATCGAAATTGATTTAGCTGTATATCTAATAGTATTATACATCTTGCACAATAAAGAACTAATTTTACATGGTTCAATGGAACATGGTGTGACAATTATGTATGCTCCTAAATACTAATTGAAGAAATTATTGAGCAATGCCTCAATTCTGCACAGTTGGTCATCTACTCATTTTGGTCCGGACATAGGAAATATTTTTAAATTATATATTATAAATAATATAGATAATATTGCATAAAAAATAAAATAAAATTATCTATGTGCAATTAACTACCGAATCTACTGCACTCAGAAATCTGAACATTTTCATACAGAAACAAATTAATGGGAGGAAGTTGGATATAAGAAATTCACATTTAAAGAACTCTTAAAAGATTTCCAGTATTATGATATGAAAATGAAATCATTTGTTTTGTTTTTCTGGGAGACATTAATTTAAAATTGAACTCATTAAATTGAATTTCCTTTATTGACTTGTTAGAATTATAATACCTGATATTTATAGATTTAAATGTTATGAATTGAAATTTTAAATCAATTTGTCATGTTTAGTGTTTATACAACTTCCGTATACAAAATATATATTATTTAATATATAATAACTGATAAATGAAAATGAATATATTAACTCAGAGGTTTCTAACCTGTGATACATGGAAAGCTCGTAGGTGAATTAATTTTTTGATAAGTGAAAAAAAATAGTAATTAGTTATAATGTAGTTCATTAATTCATAAATAATAATACAAATAATAACTATACATACATATTTAATTTTACTAATATGCATTAAATGCTCTTAATTATGTAGGTTCAATAATAAAATGTTCCATACGTATGAAATAGCATATACCTAACATTTTGTTTTTGAATAAGTGAAAAAAAAAAAATTATTAAGCCAAGTGGTACATGAAAAATTTCAAAACGTGTAAATGATACACGGATATGATACAATTGTATTAACCAGTAAGTTTTATTTTTATTGAACCGTTTATTGTTATATACTACATATATATAATAATAAGTTTATGGAGTAAAAAGATATGATAAACTAGAGTACAGAAAATGCAAAAAAAAAAAATAACTATGATTTTTTTATACCCAAAGTTGAAAAATAAAATTAGAATTATGTTGTTAATAATATGGATATCACTATAATTTTAAAATTTAGCTATGCAGCTTTTATTAATTTACTTTAGGGCATAAACTATTTTGTTCTTAATAATTATTATTGTTTTTTTCGCCCAATAAACAATGCCGACCCACCTCCAAATTCATAAAAAAAGGAGCATATTTCAATACAATAAATCTAAACTCCATAATCATTAGGTAATTAATTCATAGATACTAGTTAGGTGAGTGGTGTGTACTCTATATTAGATTTTAATGAATAACATTAAATACCTGTACTTCAGATTCAACATTCAGTGGACGTAAAGGGAACCAGTGATCCTTGTCATTAAATGATGTTAATTGGTCCCGCCGAACAGTAACTCTTCCTAATGGCCTGTCTCGTTCATAAACACATACACCTAGGTAACGGAAACGACGAGGTATCTCAAACTCAAATTCTTCACCCCAAAATGGACTAAAAAAAAAAATTAATTATAACAATAAGTGGTCAAAAATAAATAAGTAATACATAATTAAAGAGAGACCATGGGAATTAGTTTACCAAGTTAAAAAATAAACATATACCATATGGTGAGAATAAAGTATTAAACATAGGTAGGTAATATTATTATGTTTGAACTTAGAATGCAGAGTAAAAAATATTTTATGTATAACATTTGTAACTAGTGCTATTATATTATGAAAATAAGAATAATGATTTTTAACAAACCAAGAAAAAAGTATTTTCAAAATGTAGGAGAGTAAAAATATTTAATTATAGGTTAAAATACACATAATTTAAGTACCCAAAGAAATAGTAATAGTTAGTAATCATTTTAGGTAGTTTGAAAAACTAAGTAGATATATAAATTATTTAATCAAAATGTCTACCTATGTTATTTTAGATATAGAACATATTAGAGTATTTCAACATATTATCAATGTAATTTTATTTAATACATTAAATCATTTAAATGTAGATTAATAATTAATTTATAAATTTGAAAAACTTTTTTAACTATCCAAAATAAGAATATTTATATAAGTATTGACAATGAAGCTATCAATCTGTATACCAGTATACTATACTATTATAATTATCATAAATAATATTAACAAATAAATTGTTTGGTTAATAATAATAATAATAATAATAAAAAAAAAACAAAAAAAAAAAACAGGTATTGAGTAATAAATATAGATGTTTAAGGTTTTAAATATTTAGTTCAATTAGGTATCGATAAAAATTGTTATTTGTAAATTACACGTCTAAGAAAATAATATTTAGGTTATTTATTATTATTGTTGTTTATTTCAAAAACAAATTATGTTACCTATTTGATTTTTTTTTAGATTCAAATATGCATGACTTTATCATAGAAATCAACATTATCAGGGTATTATACTACGTATTACCAGATTTGTCTTTAGTTAAAAAGTAATAAGTGATAACTAGGGCCCAGATGTACATGCAAAAATAAACATTTTTTTTTTCAAAATGACTAAAGTATACGATTTATAGTAAAAATATTAGACAACCTATTTAGATTATATACATTTGTTTAAATATGTAAAAAAATTTATTAAAACAAATTAGAAAAAAATTATTTCATGAATTATGATTTATTGCATTGTGTTTGAAATAATTACTAATATTATTTACATTAAATTCTTATATACGATGAGTACCAGCATGATGTAGCCTTTAGGAAAGTCATTTGTATGCTCAAATGTCATGTTTTTATAGGAAATACCAGGTTTTAAATAATATTGTAAAATATACAACATTTATGCAACTATCCCGAAAAAATACAAAAGAAAAATAAAATAAATAAACATAGAATCTCAACAAAATGAAACTTTGAGAATTTTAATCACAATTATTCTACTTGAATTGTAGTAGAATGTGCATTTGTATATAAATCCAGACCTTAGTAATAACTATTTATTAGGTAAAAAAAATGAAAACAATGAAGTATGGACAACTTTGTACGCGAGCCACTGTTGTAGATGGGGAGCTTGGAGGGTAAAATAGAGAAGGGAATTTAATGTAAATTTGTAAACAACGATAAATCATAGCTAACAAAAAAACGATTCTGAACTAAATTAAGTTAATAGTGATGCTTTGTCAATAATATATATCATGTTAAAGTATAGTGTGTTTTCATGACAACAATAATTGTTTAAACAAGATTAAAATAATAAAAACTTAATAATAACAAAAAATAAATAAAAACTGTTGCCAATGACACCACCTTATTTTTAATCTTTCAATCTTCTTTATCTTAAAGAACCAGGTTTTCCTCATTATCTTAAATATTAATAAGAATTTCAAAAAATGACCTCTCTAAAGTAACTCAGGGAACATTTCCTTTTAGAAAAGGTGCTATACTTGATAATTGAAGTATGCTTTCTGATAGAAAGTGTTCACATAAAAAAAAATTAAACATCATTGTAAAACCAATACATTCCTCGCTCCACTCAGAATTTAAAACTAAATAATTTTAATTAAACTTAATTTATACAAAGTTCAATCAAAATAAGTATTAGCTGTTACTTATTATATTTATAGAAGCAAAATTTGTATCTAAAAAAGGTACCCATTTAAAACTTTTTCTATACAATCAATAAAATATATGATACGAAGTTAGGATATATTATAAGATACATTAATTTATATTTGCATGAAAAAAAAATCATTCAAACTCATTATGATTCTGAGTAAAGTTTAATTAAAATATTCAGATAAATTATTTTGAAACAAATTTTAACATAAGTTTTAATTTAAAACATTTATGTAAAATAAATTATTAATAATTTTATTTGATAAAAGTTTCAGATTTTTAAAATGTATAAAAATCTAAACTATAAACACTTAATGATATTTCATTTATTTTTTATTAATACAAGAACATATTATGATGAGCCTTGCTTAAAATGTTCGTGAATTTTTAGATACAAAATTGTATACTTACATAATAAAAAAAAAAATCATACGGTTTCAATAAATAGTAGGTAATTCAAAAACATTAGAATGTATAAAAATAGTGCGTGTCTAGAAAGTACTTAAATAATCAGTGAAAATTTCAGGACAATCATTTTCAACAAATTCCAAAAAAAAAATAGATAACAAAAATTGTTATTGCTTAAATAATAAATATTACGGTACTATTGATATCATTGACAAAACAAGCAGAAAAATAAAAAAAATGACCTCTCCAATAAAATTTGTCACCAGAAACCACTTTATTTGTTGATGATCAGAGAAAAAATGTCTGATCGAATTGTAAAAATGTAGAAAAAAAAACTTTGTATCATGATAAAATCAATTGATTTTTTGGTACACACAAAATCTAAAAATTGAAAGTCTAATACAAATGTGTTTACATAATATCAAGGCTGGTTAAAGTAAAATTTAATAATAACCATATAATATTAGTATACAGTATTTTTTATGGAATTTTTATTTGTTATACACAATCTATAAATTAAGTATCTTTATAATAAGTTTACATTATCATTATGTTTAAGTTTTATTTTTCAGATTTTTTTTTTTTATTGTTTATGTTATTTTTGTATAAACAATGACAATGAATGTGTTTTATGTACTTCATGCCAGATTAAAAGTTAAAACTATTTAGTTTTTTAAACTTAATGTCAAAAATATTATAAAATATCAAATAAAGTTGTATAGGAATTTTTAATTTTAGTTACAAATCTACAAATGAAAAAATATTTTAAATTATATTGATCAAAATAATAGTCATGTCTTATTAAATTTTAATCATTAAAAATTAGAATTTTGATATTTCTTTTATAGGAAACCAAAATATAATTTGGTTTCCTATAATTGGTTTCCACATGATAATGATTTGATAAATGTATAAAATGTTTAAATTTTCTTACTATTATAATACACTTGAATAATATACGATATATTTAAATATTCTGGTTAAATTTGGTATAAATTATTAAATTATTACATTATTAAGTTGAGTATTTAAAATAAAATTAATATTCAACACATTAAAAATGCTGATAAATATTAATTTTATTTTTATACTTTATGTTTTCGTCTGACCACGGAGGCACATATCAATATTTAAAAAAATTTGAAAAATAATATCCAATAGAGGCCAGAACTAATAATTTAATTGAAGTTTCAAATTTTGAATAAAAATTAATGCCAATATTTATGTAAGTATATTTAATAAATGAAAAATGTTGCTTGGAAGAAACTATTTTAACATAAATTACAACCTCAATTAAATTAGTAAAATATATATAAAAAAACGTATGAAATTAAAACACCGTGATTATAATTAAGTTATATTGTATTTCATTAGATAATAACTTCTAAGGCCAGGTTGCATAAACATTTGTTAAATATTTAATAGATCCGTAGTAAATTATTGAATGTATGTATTATTATTAAATAGATCACTAAACCAATTTACTAATAACCGTATTGATTCTATAAATCAATAAATCTTCCAATAAGAAGGGTTTTAACCCAAATGGTTCAATAAATAAATTTGATTGAATGATATTATGCATTCCTGAATTGATGTTACATTATTAAGTTCAATATAATCAATACAAAATTGTATAATGTGAATTATAGTTCCAAAACATCTTTAGATCTTGAAACGAAAAATTACAGTAATATTGCAAACATTGTTTGAATCAGAGAAGAACAATCTTTTAGGTTTAAAATTTACTCAGAATATAAACAAACCATTAATACTTATTACGTATGAACACAATCATAGAGTATCTATGGCTATTAAATATCTTTTTTTAAATTAATATATACCACAAAGCTCCGATTTTAAGGAAGGTTAATTATTATGTATTTTATTTTAATAAGTAATAATCAAGGTAATATTAATGAACCAAGTAATATAAAAATTATACATTTTTGTAATGAGATAAAAAATGATATAGGTACCTATATAAAATTATTATTTAGGACAAGTTGTACAAAAGATTATGTTTTTCACTTAAGTAATATACTTTTAGTATTCATTATCAGATAAAATATTTGATATGTATGTATAAATAAATATGTTTTATGACTTAACTTGTTTTTAGAATATAACTATATACATTTTTTAATAAAAATAATTGACAATTTCAGGTAATTAATAAAAAAATAACAGAGATTGTGATTGCTATGTTTCATTACCTATTAATTTGATAAATATTTTTTAGTTTATTTTTATTTTCCTGTAATAAATGAAATAATGAAAATTAGTAATTTTTGCAAAATGCGTAGTGAAAAAAAAAATTTCCTAGGAAGTTATTTATCTCCTTTATCATCTTCATTACTCCCAAGTATACCACTGTAATTGATAATATTGTTCAGAATAGATTGATCCAATTAAATTTTAAATCAAATCAATTGGTTTAATTATTTTAATTTGAGATAACAAGCAAGTATGTAAAGTTTATAAATTATAAATTTGTACTTTTATTTTTTGATAAAAATTTTAAATACTTGTTATTTATACATTATAAGAACATGTTTTAAAATACAAATAGATGGCTACAAATTAATATTTATATATATATATATATATATATTATATATCATTTAACACATTATGAAATACTAGGTAAATCTACAATTAAAACTTTTAATAATGACAAAATAATATAAGTATAATTAAGATAGGTACTATAATACTAAATCAGCCCAATTGAAGTATACTATATAATTTATAAGTTATCTTGATAAATTATATGTTTTTAAATGGTTAATAAGAAATTGAAATATGTTTCTTATTAATTAAACAATTAAAACTATGATATTATACTTACTACCTACTATAAAAGTATATAACATAATTAGGTATTACAAAATGATTCTATTTTCAACAAAATAATTAGTATTAATAAAGAGTATAAGGAAACATTATAAATGTAATAAATCCTACACGACCCAGTGTACCAATGGTTTCTATTACAAGGGCATGTCGACTGAATATTAATTTTCAAAATAACATTAAAATTTTTTAAACAAACGTTTTTTTGGTACTCACTCAATTGCTTTTTCAATAGTGGCAGTACGGAATATTTCTTCTTGATCAAGTGTAATCGTACAATGTCCGTCTCTAAGTGTCGAGTGTCCTTTGCCCAAATTCTTAGCATCACCTAAACACAAACAAAATACTGGTCATTCATGATTTTTGTTCAGCAAAAATTTGGGTTAACAGGTCTTCATTAATAGGAGCATATGAGAGGTCTCCACACGGGGATAGCAGCGGAAACATAGGAGGAACCAAAAAAGATGGCCCCAAAAAGAATTGCGCGAAAAACGAGAGAAAACCACTCACCGATTTTGATCTTTAGTCTCTCCACGACCCTGAAGTTCGGCTTCCCATCGGCCATCGTCATTTCGCGTAAACCCGGTGCACGTCCGCCGCCAATTCATCAACGACGTTTCATTCAAAAAAGTAATTGATTCATGGTTTGTGTGTGTCCGTCCTTCCTTCCGAAAAGCGTTCCCATTCATGCGAAATGCTCGGGGGGACGGGACGGGTGAGCGCGCGCGTGAACGATAGAGATGGAACGAGCGTGCAACGGCGATAGTGTTATGTACTCGGGTGAGACGCAGCACGCGGGGTTTCCCGTCGGGCGGAAACGTATGTCGGTCAGGCGTTCCCAAATGGTCCGCGTTTCCGGCCAATCTGCCTAAATTGTGTTCATAGGTCGAACGTTTCACGACTATCGGACATTGTATCAGGTGGGCGGGTTTGCTTTTTGGGTGCGGGTCGGAACCTTTGCGGCTTTGCGGATCGTATCTTCCGCCGGAAAATACGGCCTCCGAAACAGTAATTAAACGACAACAAACGATTTTTGGACGGCTGAAGTTCGGTGTGATATGATATTACCGCTATGAACGTACGGACGTATGTTACGAGTTGTTGCTTTATTGATTAAAATTGCTCGTGGCTTTTGTTATTATCATTTATCAATTATTTTTACCCTCAAATCTCAATTTTGTATTTTTTTCTATGGTATTTCTCGGCTATTATTATTATTATTTTATATTTGTTTTTCCGAAATGCCGTTGACCGATGTACTATCCACGCTGGGCGACAATCCGTACTTTGGCGCGGGGTTCGGTCTCTTTGGGATCGGTCTCGGAGCAGCATTGTTACGCAAGGGTGCGTCGACTGGTCTCGTGTTGTTCCGTCGAAATTTCATGATGACCCTGGAAGTACCGTGCCGCGACAAAAGTTATCAATGGGTATTACTGTGGGTCACCCAAAAGGCGGCCCGGCGCACTCAACATTTGAGCGTGGAGACAACCTTTGAACAAATGGACACAGGACGGGTGAACACGACGTATCATTTCTTGCCCAGTATAGGCGTACACCTAATCGAGTAATATAATGGTTTTATATCTCGTGACTGAAGCTCTTGGTCGGCTACTTCCTCGTTTTCTCCAGGGGAAGGGGTGTCATGATGAGACTGATTTTAAAATTTAAAATATGAAAATTATGAAAATGGTCATTAATACATTTATCTACAAACCTGTAAAAAAATTCAATGTGGCACACAAAAACGAAAACCAATTGGTAAATCACAGTAACAATGGTATTAATAAATACTAATCATATAATATATTTTAAATAACTTTTTCAATTAAATTGGTACCCAACAATAATTATCAGGAACAACTTTCTGATTAAAATAATCGATAAATATATGGGAGTTTACAGAAACATTGCCATACTGGGCTAATAATGTTTAGTTACAGATATAGTTAAATATGTATATTTTTCGTTGTTTAAAATTTTTTAAAATTCAACATTCAATTAATTTGTAGTTTTGATAATCTCACACCTATGATCTAATAGGTTTATTAAATGATGAAATATAAATAATTGTGTTAATTAAAATAAAATAAATGTATTGAATAGTTTTAGTGAAGTCTTATTTGTTTAAAAAACGACCTTACCCCTTCCTCTTAAATGGGTATTGGATAGAAGATCAATTAAAGTATTATCATTAAGGTGCTCATTAAAATGTTAAAATAGTTTTTTGAATTTTACAAAATTTGGAAAACCGACACCAGGCTCCTTAAAATTAAAATTGGTTAACATTAGTTTTTGTATTAAAGATGTATGTACTTAAAATTGATTTGTTTTAATGTTTAATAAAATAAATTGCTATCTGTAGGTATAATGGTAAATATATTCAAGTAACTCGAACAAGGGAACAACAATCATTAGATCTACACGCAGGTGTTCCGTGGGAAAATGTTGTATTAACAGCATTTGGTACAAATAAGTCACTGTTCACAAATATACTAGAAGAAGGTAAAATGTAAACTGTACATTCTTTTAAAACATTTATTGATTTAGGTTTTTTTGCCAGGTAGCTCGTCAAATGGCTTTAAAAACGATGGAAGGCCGTACTATAGTATACACCGCATTGGGATCAGAGTGGCGTCCATTTGGACATCCACAAAAACCTAGGCCACTGTCATCAGTAGTATTAGATGAAGGTGTTTCTGAGAGAATATTGAAGGATATACAAAAGTTTATTGCCAAACCGTATTGGTATATTGAACGCGGTATACCATATAGAAGAGGTTATTTGTTACACGGTCCACCTGGTTGTGGAAAAACATCATTTATAAAAGCTTTAGCTGGAGAGTTGCAATACGGTGTTTGTTTATTAAATTTAAGTGAACGTGGACTTACAGATGATAGACTGAACTATTTAATGACTGCTGCTCCACAAAGTACAATTATATTATTAGAAGATGTGGATGCAGCATTTGGTGGGCGACATGAATCAAAACAAGGTAAATTATTGAGATTATTTTATGTTTGTTAATTATAGTATCATTGTGAATTTATCTGATTCTATTGTTCAATTTCACTTTAGTTGCTACAGCTTATGAAGGACTGAGTCGTGTAACATTAAGTGGTTTATTGAATGCTCTTGATGGAGCGGCTTCATCTGAAGCCAGAATATTATTTATGACCACCAATTACATTGATAGGTAAGCAAAGTGACAATATATTATTATACTTTGATTGTGTTTACTAAAAATTTATTTGATTTTAAGATTGGATGCTGCATTAATAAGACCTGGTAGAGTGGATCTTAAAGAATATATAGGTCATTGTTCACAGTCACAAATTGAGCGAATGTACCATCGATTTTTCTTAGATAATAATGACAATGAACAACGTGCTAAAGAATTTGCAGAGATTGTTATCAAAACAGGAAAACCTGTGAGTGCAGCTCAAATACAAGGATATTTTATGCTGGTGGAAGAGTATTCACATAATGAAATAATTCAGAATCATCAACGCATATGGGAATCTAAATAATTCAATTTATATGAATTTGTTTATTATTTTGTTGCTCATTTTTTCAAAAAATGTAGTCAATTAAAAAAAAATAATCTTTAATTATTGAGCCATTTGTGAGAGTACCATTTTACCATGTTGAACTGATAGTCAAATATAATTTATTTTTGAAATATCTATTTAATTAAACTAATCATTTATTAGTTTTAATACAAAAATTTCAAAAAAATCAATCGTTCTTAGTTTTATGTTATGATAATCAATTTACAATTGTGTTAGTTTAAAATTTTCAGCTTAACTTTTTGGTTAGTTAACCAACAATTCATTAACTCAGAGGTTCTCAAACTTTTCAGGCGAGGCTCCCCCACTTTGGTCAACCCCCTCATAAAACTAATTTTAATAGTCATGTTTAGAGTACCAAAAAGTTAAAAACAAACAAATAAAGGCTAATATTCATATTCATATTACAAATTTATTTTAAAACCTATGTATTTATTATAAAAGGTTTTAATCAACAGGCTACTTTTAATGTGATGGGTGGGTAATGTTTTTTTTCATCACAAAGTTTGGTGAAACGAGGAGAGATATTTGATAAAGCTACTGTCAATTCTTTGCTGACTTCTAGTCTTCCATGGTACTTAGATTTCATTGATACTAGGGCAGAAAATCTTATTTCACATAAATACGTAGTTGCAAATGGGACTAGTATTCTCATGGATTTTTCAAACAATATTGGGCACTCTTCTATTACACTTACCCAGAATCTTGTTAATGAGTTGTCTTGTTCAAATGTAGCTTTCAAAAAGTCACTGCATTGGAGATCAATAAGCTGTTCTTTTTCTGCCAAACTCAATGAATTACTTTCCTTCAGCGGTTGAAATGGTTGTTTTACCCAAAGAAATGGTTGCAGGTCTTCATAAATGTATTCTTTAAATTTTTCTTTTTTAAGTTGACAGATGATTTACAAAACATGTTGGTTCTTGAAGAATCTCCTCACACTCAATTTCTTGCACCATGTTCAGTAACATTGAGAAAATGGTTAGGTCCGGTGTTTTTAAAGCAGCCTCCCATAGTGACAACTTTTTAATGCCTTGTATATTTTCTTCCCAAATAAGAATATTTGCTTTTTTTTTGCAGAGATTTATTCCACACATTTAGTTTTGAAAAAATATCTGTAAGGTAAGTTATCTTCAAAAGGAACTGTGTATCACAGTAAAACTCTGCTAAAGGTTTTTTGCAATCTCTCAAAAACATAAATACTTCATTTCTAAGTTCAAATATTCTTTTAAAAACATTTCTCCGAGATAGCCACAGAGCTTTGGTGTGAAATAGCAGTATTGTATGCTCTGAGCCCATTTCTTTACACAAAACTTTAAACAATCTTTACTGTAGTGGTTGTGCATTTATTAAATTGACTGTTTTAGTGACAGTTTGAAGAATTTTATTTAGGTTACAATGTTCATTTTTAAAATTTTCTTGTGCCCCCCTCCCTTTAAGCTTTTGTGGCTCCTCGGAGGGTCGCGCCCCACACTTTGAGAACCTCTGCATTAACTAACAAAAACAAAAAAAGTATCATTTCACTTTTGTAGAACTAAACATTAAGTCTCATTGGAATTCTCTTATCGCATAAAACACCTGCTGCTTCCATCCACTTTATCCAATCACACTTAATCTTATGTTTCACCATCATTCAAGCCATTGTTCTTTTGGACTTATATCTAAACCTCACCTATAACAGCTTATTCTTATAGGGAAAAAATCCCTTTCCTTTAAGTGATACTCTGTATACCTCAAGCCTATTGATAAATTATTTAAGATTTTCACCTTTATGGGTGAAAATTTTAAAAAGCAAACATTTGCAAACATTATGCACCATGATACCTTCTCTTACCTTTAGTTTCCGCGCACATCTGAGATAGAACAATTGGTCAGTGTTGTTAGAAATCCTCATACTTTATATTCTTTTAGAAGGGAGAATAAAAAATGTATTAGATTATTATAAACACAATTTGAATAATGTATTATTGTTTGCATTTAAAAAATTTGATCACATTCAATTGTATAATAATATGTTTATTCACTATGTAAGCAAAATATTAATTTTTAGAGGAATATAAAACACTAAATTTATTCCTTAAGAAAAACCAAATTATTAGTTTTTAAAAGTTTTTTTAATTTACATAAAATGAAATCTAAAAAAGATGTCCAATGATGATGGGAACAGATGTAACCACTGTTATAGGTAATATTATAAAAAAATAAGTAGGCTCTAAATATTTTCTTTAATAATATTTGTTTAATGTTTTACCGATTTCCCCAGTTTTCCTAGTTTTTCACATTTGATGAGAAAACTTTAAAAAAAATCGAAAAAATGACTTCTCTAAGGTACCTCTCCACACCGATTTCTTTTCAGAAAAGTTGCTATATGTAAAAATTGGAGCAAGTTTTCTAACAGAAAAAAAAAATCTCAAATTTTTACACTTGATTTGATTTAAGGGATTTAACCAAACATATTAAGAACTTATAAAGACTAGATAATTTATTTTGAAAGGATGAAAATTGAACAATCTGTCAGAGCCAAATCAGCTTATCGCAATTAGCTTTATAGGTGATTGAAATTTCTTCAAGTTTTTCAATACCTCTAGTTTACTTAATAATTTCAGTTTTAATTATTTTTCCAGGTTTTTTTTTAAATTCTGAGTAGAAAAGAATGTATTTATTTTACAAAGATGATTATTATTATATTAATATTTTCTCTACCAGAAAGCTTGTCCAATGTTTATGATGTAGATCATTTTCTCAGAGGAAATTTTCTTCAGGTGGTTCATAATGAAGGTTATTTTTTGATTTTCCCATTAAAGAGAAAGTTTACCAAATATATTAGTGAAATATTATGATTTTTTTCTGTGGATAACTTTTTTACCAGCAATTTTGCTCCCCTTTATAATGATAGCACTTTTTCTGAAGGAAATTGACTAGGAAGGTAATTTTTCGGTTTTCCAAGCAAATGTGAACAACAGAAAAATCAGTACAATATTTAACAAATATTATTGAATAAGGTAAATAAATAAATAAAAAATGTATGTATAAAAATAAAATAAATAAATGAATTAATGCGTTGTCTAGAGTATTATCACAAATGTATTATACGACCAGTTTGAATTAAAAATTCATCATCAGTCAAAATGTAAAAGAAACTTTAATATTATTAAAGAAAATATATAATGGTATTTAATTATTTTACCATGACATTATTGTGATATTGTTGACAAAGCATTACTATCAACCAAACTTCATTTAGAATTGTTTTTTGTATGCAATGGTTCATTTTTGCTTACTGAAACAAATTAATTTCCTCTTTATATCCTACCTTCCAAACTTTTCACCACAACAATGGCTGCATTAATCGTGCAAAGTATGTCAGTATTTTTTTAAATATATTTGTTTATTTACACTTAAAAATCCCAATGTCATAATAAAGAATCATGTACATAGAATGTGATTATGTCTTATGTATTTAGAATTTAAATTAAGTTTCACATTCTTTGTTGATATTCAATAGTTTTAAGATTTTCTGACAGAAATTACCAATAATATGTGATTGTATAGTACAAGTTAAAATCATAATATGATACTTTCCAGAAAATAATTTAAAAAAAAAAAAAAGCTGATACTGAGGATGGGTGTAAACCCACACTATTGTAGGTGGGCAGGTATGATATATAAAATTATTTAATGTATATCTATTAGCAACAATAATTGCTTACGAAAAACAATTTTGAGTGAAGTTAAGTTATACATGTTTTAAAAGGACGTAATATTTAAGATTTTCATTAAAATTTGATACAAAAAACAAATATTGTATTAAACTCAATTTTTTTTTACCACTAAATACGAAATATCTCATATTGAATTTTCAAACATTTCTATTTAGTCCAACAATTTTATCCACAGAGCACCTACTGAATACAAATTACATAAAAAATTTAAAATATCTATAAATAGCTAAAAAATGACTCAGTGTATATAAATTACTACTACATATAAAAAAATCAAATATAATAGATTGCTATCTTTGTACATTTTCCTGTTTTGCTCAATTATTATAATAACTAAAGGGAAAATCAAAAAAACAACTTTGTTAATTACCAAGTAGATTAAAATCCATCAAAAACAGGTCTCTTTTTGTTTTTTTATTGGAGCAATATTTCTGGTTAAAGACATAAGCTGTACAAATTTAAAATAAAGAAATCATAATGCCATAAATTTATTAGTTTTCATTTTTTGTCTTTTTCTAATTTTCTTATTTATTGTGAAAATTACTTGGAAAACTAAAATAGATTTCCCAAAGCATCAACTAGATAAAATTTCCCTTCAGAAAATGTGCTACACTTGATAAGAAATCTGGTAGAAAAGTTGTTTCGCAGAAAAAAAAAAAAAATACAAAGACTTACATTACTTGAATATTTTGACTGAAAGACAGACCATCAATGTTAAATGTAAAAATTATAATGAACTTTTAAGAAACAAACAGTTTTATATTTTAACTAGTCTTCAATTTGAACAACTATAAATAATTCAAAAACACTAGAATAGTATTCTCATTAGAATTTTAGATAATCTTCGTTTTGGCAATCCACTTCTCTCTTGGTTTTCATCTTATCTGAACTCTAGAAGACAATTTGTCTCAATCAATGCAGTGCTTTCTAATTTCTGTATCATACCTTCTGGCGTTCTTCAAGGTGGTCATCTCAGCCTCTACTTATTATCTTCTTGGTTAACTCACTTCCCGATTTTCTCTTACGTGTTAAAGTAGTTCTATTCGCCAACAATATAAAACTCTTCCTCAAAGTTAACCCTCACTGACTGCCTCCTTCAATCAGATATCGATACCTTCTCTGACACCTCGTGTAGAAAAAGTCCAAAACAGGTTTTTATCATATGCTGTTCTCCTCTTAAAAATTTATTATCCCTAGCATGAATACTCTCTTATTCGTTCCGTCCTTCAACTTTCATCCTTAGCCTCCCGCCATATCGACAACGAAAATTCTTTCATTAAATCTCTTCTTAATGGTTCCATTGATTCACCTGACCTCCTATCTAGAATATGCTTCAGAGTTCCCACCCACAACACTAGAAACTACTTCCTTTTCCAGCCACCGCATCATTATACTTCATATGGTTATAATCATTCCCTACACAGAATGCTCAGGTGACTAAATGAGTTTACTCCTCATCACATTTTCCAGTAATAAGATTATTCTGAATTGTTTATTTTCTTTTGTTACCATAATTTTTATTGTATTAATCCACCACATTGTTATAATAATATTGTACACTACCTACATGCCTACTTAGGCGTTATAAAATAAATAAATAAATAATATATTATACTTGTTGGTAACGGAACTGAAATATGAAAATAACACACTTTTATACTAATTTTTATCTTGGGATAGTATTTAATTTTTAAAACTTACCAATAGTAAAACAAAAAAAACTATTAGGTATTAATTTAACATTTTGTTTGCATAAATTATTAAATATATTTAAAAAAACATATGCCACATTTTAGATTCGAAGCAGAGCGAGAAATAGATTGATTTTACTAGGATGTGTTCTTAATTTTTTTTTGTTTTTTTCTATCTGTGAGCAACTTTCTTATTGAAAATATAACTCCAATCAAAAAATGACAATTTTTTTTTTTAGCATTTTGGTTCTAATTGGTGCATTGAGAAGGTAATATTTTAATTTTCCAAGAAGTTTTTATAATAATCAGATACTATTCATATGTTCATATGTTGATGAAGATTTCATTATTTCTAATATGTTCAATTTTTGTTTTTATCAAACATATTGCTCTGAATTACAAGAGTATCATCTTTAGTGCTAGAAATCTTGTTCCGAATTTCAAGAATATCTTAGGTCGTAATATGATTTTAGATGGCCTACGGGTTAAAATTGTTTGCAACTATGTTTAATTTTGCATAGATAAGTATAAAACATTTTAAATCACAAAAATGAAACACGTTATGTGGTAAATTTTGGGGCACTGTTACAAACCTGTTTTAAATAAATACTGGACTAGTAAAAATAAATTTAATTAATACAATTATGAAAGTTTAATAATCACAATATAAAGTTTAAACCTATAGTTATTGTATTCTTTATGAGGATTTTTCAATCAAACAGAATTATTGTGAAAATCATAATTTATGCACTTTTTAATTAATTTTATAATAATTTACAACTTATCAACCATTTTGAGTATATGTCGTTGTTCTTGTTCCTGCCATTCTTTATCACCTTCTTCACCAATATTACCAGCATATTCTGTAAGACAACATTAACAGGATTTTATTGATCTGTTTTAAAAATTAAATATTATAATATTACAAATCTAAATTAGTTTTTTTTTCTGGGGTAATGTCATCATGATACATTAAACAAAATGAAACATTTTTTTTATTTTTAATGATAAATAAATAACTATTATTATTATTATTATTAAATTAAATAAAAATAAGGAATTTTATATCTATTATTATCAAGCTATTGCATTGTAAAGGTAAATTTAAATTTAATATAATACCATCATTCTAATAATCACTAGTGTAATTATCATTAAATATTTAGATATTATAAGGCTGTTAATATTGGCAAACATAGCAATAGATCAATAAATAAATTAATAATAATAAAATCTAAATACATTAATAACATGAAAAAACATGTTTACCATCAGGTCACCGTTTACCACTAATTTTTGAATGTACAGAAGTGAATTAAAAGTGATCTCTAAATATAGAGTTAAAAAATTTCCTTGTTCTTTGATGTTATAGTTTAGACTAGTGTTTCTCAATCTTTTTACTGCCATGACCAATGGTTCATTAAATGAATACATCATTTTTCAGCTACTCTTAAATATATTATATTTTATACACAACAGCCCAATATTTTATGTTTTTGGAGACCCTAAATAATTAGTTGACAGCCTTTAAAGAGGTTGTGCCCCTTAGGTTGAGAAACACTGGTTTCTCAATGGTGTCACTTTGTTAAATAATAATTTGAATAGGTAATAAGAATAACTTAATGAAATACCTCTCATTATTTGCCTTATGGTTTTTAATGTGCCTCCTCTCATATTTAATATATGAGTTACTCTTTTTTTGATGTTTGGTCCACTATTACAAACCTCCAAAATAATATAATCAACCAATTGTAAGGTAAATAGACCTCCATTTAGTCTTTTCAAATAAATTTCATCTTCATCTTCTTCATCATTGTTCTAAAAATTATTATCATTAGGATAAATACCTACATAAATACATTTTGTCAATATCACTTTACCATTTCATCAATTGCAGCATCAATTATTTCAACTTTTTCAGCATATTTGAAATGGAGTTCCATGAGTCTATCAACCTTCTCCATGTCATTTTCAGCAAATTTGGTCATGAGACGTTGTCTTTGTGTACCACGGCAGTTATGCAACATATTAGCAATTATTGAAACAACATGCTCTGTAATTATATGGTTGTGTTATTATCTCAATAAAATAAATACAATTTAGTATTTGTAATATTTGCTATTTACCTTCATGTTCTTCTGTACTAAGCATTTTCTTTCTATTTTTTTGAGGAGTTTTCATGAATAACGGGAATATAGTTCGAAGTCCTAATATATCAACAAACTTGTTACAGTTATCTTTTCCTTGTGGACCTGATAATGCATGGTTTAATACCTTTAATGAACCATTTCTACTTAATTTTTTTTCCCTGAAATGTTTAAATTAATTTTTTATGTTTTGTTATTATAATAAAATATGTTATTGATAAATTTAAAGAAGTGTGGCTTCGACAGTAAATAAAATGAGATGGTTTGAGCATGTCATGTGGAAAGAGAAATATGAAACAGAGAGAATTTTAATGAAAATAGTAATGTTATGTAATAAACATAAAAGGAAAGAGGAGTAGAGAGACTGAAAAATATATGGTTTGATGTGACAGAGAATCATATGAGGAAAGTCAGTGTAAACAAGGTGAGAGATTGGGTCAAGTGGAAATTCAAAACAAGGGTAGCTCACCCCAAATAATTGGGATGAAGGCAAAGGAGAAGAATAATGTTATTATAATATAAAATTACCTTAATATAAGATTCATTAGCTGAAGTCCTTCCCCTCTTAGGAATCTGTCTCTATTTTGTTTATCCATTAAACATGAACATAAACAATCAAAAAGGTTTTCCATCATTTCCTGTTCATCTGGTGAAGATGGATCATGTCTTTTATAGTACTGAAATTTAAATATTGAAAATCATAAACTATTATTTGTTATTTGTGTGATAACTCAAAAAAATATTTACCGCTAGTTGTTGTAATAAAATGTCAATTCCTCCAACTTCTCCAACTAAACCTCTGTTATCTTCATTGTTTTGTAATAAAATAGATAATATTTCACTACAATAAAGTTTATTGCCATCATATGGGATTTTAGCTTTAATTCTTTTTAAAAGCCAAGGAATAAGACCTTGTTTACCAATATCAACCACAATATCAGGTCTGAGTTCCATAATATTTTCAAATATTCCTAAAGTTGTATGAACCCCATTAGCTTCTTCTTTGACAGATTCATCCATACGCTCTAGATTTTGAACTAGTAAAGCACATATCTGTTTACTGAGTAATGCTTCAATTAATATTTCTGTACCTTCTTCATTTTCATCTAATGAATCAGTATCAGTTAATTCCTAAAATAATAAACAAGTTGCAATAATTACTCGTGTACAGAAATTAGAATATTACAAACCTGTAGTAAATTAACAACGGCAACTGCTATATCAGTATTCTCATGAGCAAGCAATTCTAACAATGATGAAACAGCTTTTAAATTAACTAAAACCCGGTATAAATCTGGTACAGTTGCTATAGCACGCATTTCTGTTATAACATCATGCAATTCAATTTCTGATTCCATAAACCTAAATCAAAATAGTCATAATAAGTAAATAGAGTACACAAACCATAATTTATAAATTACTTTTCAGGATTCTCAGGAAATTTTATTCGCATTTCTTGATTTTTAAGTACTTTTTTTTCAAATAATAAAATCATACGTTTTAAAGCTGGTTCATCTAAGACACCAATCTAAAAAACATTAATATTTATAATTATTGAGTTAGAAATATTTTTATTTAAAAATAGCAAACAAATATTTCTCAATGATTTTATTACATTTTAACTCAGTTTAATAAGTAGCTAAATATGTATTAAATAAAGTTAAAAGTATATATTTAAGATGGTACAGATTAATTGTTACATACATCAGAACCAATTGAATTTTCGTCAACTAATTTTTGCACCATTTCTTGATGTTCTTGTTTTTTTCGCTGTTCTTCAGAAATTCTTTCTTGTTCTGCTTTTAATCGCTCTTGTTCTTGTTTTTCAATTTGTTGAACACGAGCTTTGGCTAGTCGTCTTAATTTCTTCTGTCGTTCATAGTCCGTCTCATTTTCTTGAATTTGATTAACCTCTTCTTCGGGTAATGGTCGTTTTGGTGTATTAGCAGGCTTAAAAAAAACACATTGTTGTCAACTAATTTAACTAGTAAATTGACTAGAAATTATAACATACTTTGTAGTCCAATAGTTCTCCAATGTCCATAGTATTAAAAATAAATAAATACAAATAGTGTAGAATAGTGGTGATTTGTAAATCTAATAATTAATGTATTAAGAAAGTTAATTAATGAATTAAATGAATTTAATTTAACGTTGCTTTACAGTAATTATAATTTAGTGAATTGAAAATTCTGATACTGAATCCTGGTTCTTGATAACGATTGATTATTGACTAGGGATGGAGTCATAGATAAAATATACTATATATCTATAGATGAGGTATAGGGGTCTGTTCTTCCCTAAAGATAAGAACGATTCGATTGTTATTAAATTTTATATAAAACTATAAAGACTTCATAGCGTCAATTTTTCATGCATAAAACCACAAATTGTATGAAATGTTTCATATAATCTGTGATAAAATATTGCCGCGTTTTATAGTTTACCAACTACCATTGTACATATAGATAATACTATGATTATAATATCTATTATGCGCTTAGTTAGTGCTAGAAATTATAAGTTGTTCACGTCCAAGTGCCAGGTTTTTAAAATGTTAGGGGGCTCACACTTTTAGAACTTATATACAGTTTTACCAACTCTTGCATATATTCCGTATAGCTTTCAATCTCATAGGGGTTTGCAGCTCCCGAACCCATCCCCCTCCCACTACACGACATTCTAAATTGATATATTGTATTGAATATTATTAACACTTAATTATTACTATTAGCAGTGGTGAAAAGAGGTGGGGGAGGGGAGATTAAATGCCCCATAATTTGAAATTTTTACGAATCCTAATAATAATAATATAATAAATATAATATTAGCGTTATTATTTATATTATGCTATTAGCGTTATCTGTGAGCTACGTGATTAGTTATTTGAAACAAAGTTCGCTTTTTTTTTGCTTCATATTATCATAGATTAAATATTCACTTTTCGATTACTGAAATAGCTGTTAAAATATTCATGTTTGAATTTTGAAGTGGCACTGACTAATGACATTGGTTCAATAATAACAAAATATACTTTTAAAGACAAAATTAGTAAGAAGAAATCCCTTGGTGGATAAGTAAGACAATAAGCCTCCAACATCAATCCAGCTCGTCTATGTTTCCGGTCTTTACCGCGAATTGTGTCTAATATTTCTATAAGAGCGTCGAATGTTTCTAACACAACATCTAATACATATTTGTGAGACATTCAACGTGTGGTAGTTACGCGTTTTTCTTTTTATTCTTTTATTTTTATAAATGTGTAATTGTTTTTCACAACCACTCTTTTTTTACTAGAACAAATAAAATCAAATATTTGTTCCAAGTTTCCGAACAAATCTATTGCATAAGTACTAAAACATACTAGGTCTGTTATAGGTAATGAGATTAAGTCTGTGGGCATAACACCAAACATGTATGGCTTGAGAGTTCTTTGTTTTAATAATTGTTTGAACTTCGTTATATTAGCCTCTCATATTCGATGCATCATCATATGATTGACCAACTAAACACTTTTTCTAGTTAATTTAATATTTTGTAAAAATTACATTAAATACATTTGCTAAATCACACTCTAAAGTAGAAGCACTTTTTCTTAGTTATATAAGTCCCTCTTCTAATTTCAAGTTGTTCTCAATTATACGAGTAGAACGGATAACAAAAAATATCTGTTCTTTTCTCGCAATATCAAAAGTACAGTTAATACTTATACTAAATGCATGTCTTTTTTGAATAGAATTCAAAATATTTGAGCAATAAAGGAAAACTCTGCATTAATATGACATTTGTGACGTCTTCATAATTAATAAAAGAAAACAAGGATTACTTTAACTGTATCTGCGTGAAATAATTTAACTTATAAGAAGAGTTCAAATTATAGCGAAACGATATCATTATTTACAATTTTTAAAATTATATATTTCTATCAGAAATATTTGTTCAAATTTCAAGAATAGCATATTTTCTGAAAAAAAAATTTGACTAGTTTGTGAGTTAGAAAGTAGTTGTTAGATGTTTCGTATAGTTTTCCTAATAATTACGAAAAACCGAGAAAAATGTAGGAAATACGCGAAGTGTACGGCATTTGAGTTTTTTCTTGTTATTTGGTTAAAAATTATTGTGGAGTTTTAAAAAATATTTTTATTGGTCTTTTATAGAAGTGGTATAATTTTCAAAACATTTTATCTATTTTTAGACTATTTATAGATATTTAATATTTTCGAGTTTTGTATGTATTTTTATTCGGTTGATATCTGTTATTAAAATTATATGTTTTAAGAGAAATACCAGAAATTTAACAAACGGTACATTATAGGTTGTACTTAGAAATCTAAAAAATACAAATTTGAGTTTTTAATGCATTTTTTTTTTTTATAAGCGTTTTAAAATAATGTTTTGACGAAAATCTTAAAAATTACGGCATTTAAAAATATGTCTTACCGAACTTCGCTCCGAACTTTTCGTTAACAATGGTCTGTCTCTGCATACAGATAAAAATTAAATAACTTTATATATCCTACTTCCCAATTTTCCATCTACAACAGTGGCTGCACCCGTCAGTATCAGTTCTTTTTTATTTTATTTTTCTGTCTATAAACAACTTTTCGAAAAGAAATGTGTAGTACCTTTTCTGAAAGGAAATTTTATCTAGTTGGTGAATTAAACAGGCCATATTTTGATTTTTTAAGTGGATTTCATTATAATCGGGAAAAACAGAAAAAAGACGAAAAAGAAGCCATAGGACAATGGGGATGGGTGCATCTATTGTATGGCTAATAATATGATTCTATTTTTTCATTTGCCTATGCTTGTATTCTGCACTTTCTTACAATATTTAACCGTCCATAATTATTATGTTTGACTGTATATCTGTATTTAAGGTTATATTGAATAATAATGCTATAGTGATGAAAAGAAATTTCCTAACTTAAAATTTATCTGGTGTGTGCTGGTTAAATTTAATCTTACATATCGTTCTATTCGTTCTACAGAAATATACTTTTAAATAAGACGTCTTAGGATAATGTGGATGGGTGCAGCCACTGTTATAGATAATTTAGTGTATACCTGTAAGTAACAATAAATCATTGCTTACAAAAAACGATTCTGAGTGGAATTCAATTGATAGTGATGCTTTATCAATAATATATATGCCATTTTATAGTAAAATAATTAAATAGGCTTCATATATTTTCTTCAATAATATTTGTTTGTTGTACCGATTTTCCCAGTTTTCATACGTTTTTTCCGGTTTTCCCATGTTTTATTCTGGTTTTTCATATTTGATGGGAAAACGCTTGGGAAAATCGAAGAATGACATCTTGAAAGTACCTCGCTAGTGAAATGAAATTTCATTTTAGAAAAATTGTTATCATTAAAAGTTGGATCAAAATTACTGGTAGAAAAGTTGTGCACAGGAAAGAAAAATTCGTAATATATGAGTAGTATATTTCGTTTAGTTTTCCATTTTTTTTTTTCGGTTTTTCAAATTTGATGAGGAAACTCTTGAGAAAATCGAAAAATGACTTCCTTAAAGTATCTCTCCACGCTGATTTTATTTTAGAAAAAGTGCTACATGTAGAAATCCGAGCAAGTCTTCTGGTAGAAAAGTTGGGCACAGATAAAAAAAAAAACGTTTTTGTAAAACTACAAGTTTCTTCGTTCCACTCAGAATCTAAAATGAAAACGAATAAATTCGCTTTAGAAGCCATGCGGTGATGGACCCAATTCATTATATTTTTTATCGTGATGATAGGCATATATTAGAGTGTAATCAAAAATTAAATTTGTGTAATTTCTATGCATTCTAAAACTCAATAGTTGGACAATATTTTATTGTTGGATTTAAGAATACCAAATCATGCAGTTTAACCGAACTTTGCTCAGATTGTTTTTCGTTGAAGTTTGAATTTGTACGAAAATCGTAAAAATCACGGCATTTCATATACTATTATACGATTTTTGTGGAGAACACTTTTTTTTTTTTTAACGGACCCACTATTTCAATATGGGAAGCAACCCATTGGATACCTTTTCCTTCAAGTGATACTCTCTATTCCTCGAGTCTACTGTTCATTTATTCCAGATTTTCTCCTATCAAAGCTGTATTATCTGCAAAACATCATGCACTATCATATCTCCTCTCATCTGTTGTTTTCACGCAGATTCAAGATGGGACAATTTGTCAAATAATTGTTTATAACTCGTACTATTTGACAGAATTTTACATGGGATGTTGACTGACGAACCACATTTTTCGCCTCTTACGACAAATAGAGTTACCGTGGAAATATTCTAATCCTTTTCCACAGAAATCATGTTGGAAATTGTATAAACATGTAATAGTATGATAATATATAATATAATGTAAAGTTATATCGTCCATGTTGAATGTAGTTTGAATGATATTTGGCTAATTCCGAGTTATTTTTATAATTTTACAACAGCGAACAATTATAATTTACAAATATAAACATTATTTAATATCGGTATTTATATTCAAATATATTTCTAACACCTTAATATAATTTATTTTTTTAGTAGATATTTAATTAAATTCACATATAAAATTTATATTTATAAAAAAAACGGACATACTTCGCACATTGAGTGGACCGTTGTTGTAGATGAAAAGTTGGGAAGGTAGAATATACTGAGTAATTTAATGTACCATATATTTGTAAGCAAAGATAAATCATTGCTAATGAAAAATGATTCTGAATTGAGCTCGGTTAATAGTAATGCTTTTTCAACAATATATATTATTTATATATTTCTTACTAATACGATTTTCGTCAAATTTGGTATTAAAATTTAGAAAAAAAAAAAATACTACATTTAATTAAATTCTTTTTTGTACAAAAAGTACGACTTTTAATGAATCTCCTGTTAAATTTTTAAGTATTTCTGTTTAGAAAAATAATTTTATCTACAGAGTATCTATTAAATAAAAATTACATACAAAATTCTCAAAATTAAAAAAAAAAGCTCAAAAATGGCTAAAAGTTTTAATAAACTTTACTACGTCAATAAAATTAAAATATA